ATTATCGCAAACCAACTGGCAGTGACATGTGTCTAGATTCTACAGCGCCGCCTAGAAGACCAAGCGAACCATCTGGTACATGGAAATGGACCAATGCAGGTGGACCAGGGACCGCTCCGCCCGCTCAGGCGTCATTGGTGCTCGCTTACCCACCCCAATCCACAAAATTCCCCCATGCACATGCGACTCACGCATTTTATGCTTTTCAATTAGCAGCCGTTGCCAGTCGGGCGTTGAAGAGCCAGAGCCGCAATGCCCTCCACAGGCGTCTATTTCTGGCTGTCCCTCCCCGTAGTGTTGGTGGCCCTCATCTACCAGCTTGGACTACCGGCTTTCATTGGTGAACGACTCCCAAACTTGCGCGTCACGACTCATTGCTACAAATCTGTCAAAACCCTGTCTCCAGAGCTATTAAACCTAGATTGTTTTACAGTCAACGACGGTCTTTTCTCAAGTGTCTTCGCCGGTGATGCTTCTTCCGAAGAGGTCAAGGAGGCGCGTACTGGATATGTGTACCCAGGCTTGTGGGACGGACACGGCCATCTAATACAGTTTGGAGAGTCTCTAGACTCTGTGAGCTTATTCGGTGCAAGCTCAATGGCTGAAGTCCAAGAAAGGTTACTCAAGTACAAAGCGGGCCGTCCCGATCAGGGCACAAGCGATCAGTGGCTGAGGGGCGTAGGCTGGGATCAGGCGCATTTCGGACGGTGGCCAACCTCAGTACGTATCACCAATACCTCGATGGGCCAATCACCCTTGGACAAAAATCTGTGACGAATTCCATGTTGTCTTATAAAAGTATTCGTGGTGGAACGACCACAGTTGTCACATGCCACCATTAATTTGCTAGACACTATTGGTCTTCGTCCCGATGTTTTTGTTTGGTGGGTGCAGTTATTGCCGAAATTACTTGCTGACTTAACTCTAGTCAGATCTGGAAATATCTGAACACTTCAAAGACCTCTATGTAATGCTGGACCGGGTGGATGTTCATTGCATCTGGGTTTCTGAAAAGGTACTCGAACTTCTTCCCTCGCCACTACCAGATGTACCTGGCGGTGAGATACCTGAGAAGGGCGTCTTCTGCGACAATGCCATGGACATCGTTCTGGAACACTATCCCAAACCTGACGCAGCGCGGAAGACCAAGTTCATCAAAGCTGCGATGGCCAACTTAAACCAGTATGGTATTGTGGGGATGCATGATGCTGGAGTTGTTCCAGCAGACCTGAAGCTATATGAAAAGCTCGCAAATGATGAAGACTGGACTGTCAGGGTGAACGCCATGATTGAATGCGACACTAGAAACACCTTTTGTCCGGAAGCAGTGGAGAAGATTAGCGTGTCAAACGGAAAATTCCAAGTCAAGAGTGTGAAGCTCTTCGCAGGTATGTACTCGTTGGTGTCTGTCTGAAGGGGGTGCTGACATGGCACAGACGGGGCACTAGGCAGCTGGGGTAGCGCAATGATCGAGCCTTACAGCGATAAACCCACATCATCGGGCTCACTCCTTGTCAATGCAACCACATTGTCAGAAGTCACGCTCAGGTGGGCCGAACAGGGATACCAAGTCAACATTCATGCCATAGGGGACCTTGCGAACAGGCTCGCCGTTGATGCTTTTGAGGCTGCTTTGAAAAAGGTGTGCCCCGATATTGCCCCCTACGAATGCCAATCGCAACGCCGTTTCCGGATTGAACATTTTCAAATCATCCATCCCGATGACCAGGTCCGAGTTGAAGAACTTGGCATCATCCCGTCTATACAACCTACACATGCGACCTCAGACATGGAATATGCGGAAACTAGGCTTGGCCGCCAGCGTACAAGCGATTCTGCCTATCGCATGCGTTCAATGGTATCTCAAGGGCTGGTTCTAGGCAGCGATTTTCCAGTTGAGCCTGCCAGCATCTTTGAGGGCATATACGCAGCCACCACGCGACGGAGCCCCAAAACAGGTCTAGATGCGGATGGCGGCAAAGCTGGTTGGTATCCCGAAGAAAGACTGAATTTTGAACAAGCGCTAAAGGGTTTTACTGTTAACCCTGCATACGCTGCGTTTCTCGAAGGCAAAGCTGGTGTCATCGAAGTGGGGGCGTACGCAGACTGGATTGTTGTTGACGAGGACTTGGAGAAAGTGGACTTCGAATCATTACGGAAGGCAACGGTAAGGGAAACTTGGGTTGGCGGGAAACTGGTCTACCAAAGGCCCAGCGACGGACAAGTTCCCCGTTAGAAGCACCAAAAGGCAATACCGCCCACGAATCTCTCCACCCCCACGTCTCGAATGACATGCTCGGGCTGTCCCGACGTATCACGTTTGTCGGTGTCTCTGGGGGCTCTGGGTATTCCTGGGATCTCTTACATAACTATCCCCTTCACATTTATCCTCGGCCAACTCTAGAAGCAAGTAGCGGTACCTGATTTGCTTTCACATAGGACTTGAAGCTGCAGAATGCACTGTTTCCCCGCTTACAAGGTCAAACTCTGCAGCCCTGCTACAAATACTTTCGCTCAATGCACAATCAACCCCACGTATTCGTATTTTCTCGCCGAATTTTGTTGATCTAACCCGAAACTCTGACATGACCAGCATGGTGCTCAAGCGTGCTTGACCAACCAACGCCACTAGATTGATGCTTATTATTTTTGATCAAGTGGTTTGCACCAGCAAGAGTTTGCTATTCTTCGCCCACGCACCCCACGCGCCTCACTGTTAAGCCCTGATGCCTAATAGTGGATCATGAAGTCTTTGATACATAGGATATTTGCTATTTTAACCACTGCTGCATCCTGTATTTCCGCAATACATACTACCAATAGAAAGATACCAAGAAAACACCTTGCTGAACATCCAATATGATGACCACTCGACTACCCTCAATTACCAATGTATCCGAGCAGACGCCCTTGGCCAAGACCCTCACAGTTACCCCTCCTGTCACTCCAAATGGAACAAATGCAGCAGCACACCAGTTAGTGGCTGAGATAAGAGATATTCACACCAGACTCAGTGAGCTATCGTCATTAGCGCCCTCACATCAGGTCAACACTCTCCTGACACGTCTGGTAAATCTATGCGTGGTGCCTTATAGCGCCGAATTTACCACCTACTTCTTCGGCATATCGGGCGTGGAGCAACTCTGTGACAAACTACGTCCAATATGTTCCGAAGCCGAGGGGGAGCTAGAAAAGTTCCACGCAGAGCGAATGTTGAAAGAATTGGGTATGCCAACATCATGCAAATCGATTCCCTAGAGAAGAGAAAACATGCTAATACCTCCATAAAGACACCAACCAAGAAGCGGCCCCAGTTAACATCCTCCAATCATTCCCTTACTACGACAACTACGTCGACCTTTCCTGTCTAGAGGCCTCCCTCATCAACGCCTTCGCTTCCTCCCCACCAACCTCCATTGCCTTCATCGGCTCGGGCCCTCTACCCCTGACATCCCTATGCTTCCTATCCCAGTACCCCGCCGCACATATTCACAACATCGACCGCGATGCCGCTGCTCTGCGTCTCAGCGCCGCTCTATGCACTAAACTGGGGTTCTCGAAACGCATGAGCTTTACGAATGAAGATATCACGCACGAAGATCCTGAGGCCAAAGTTTCCTGGTCGAGGTCACAAGTTGTATTCTTGGCGGCGCTAGTAGGAACCGATACGCGATCCAAGTTGGAGATTTTGAAGGATTTGGCTGCGAGGTTACAGCCAGGGTGTTTGGTTGTGGCGAGGAGCGCGAGGGGGATGAGGAGTGTGCTTTATCCTGTGAGTTGTCATCACCTGTTCCTGCTTGAATACATTGAAGGATTTTAACCCCCCCCCCCTTTTTTTTTCCGATGACAAAAAAAAATGCGCTCAAAATAATTGTTTCTGGATGTGAGTTTTTTGCTAACTGAATCGAAATTAGATTCTGCAACTCTCAGAAGACTTGCAAGCGATTGGACTGGACGTGTTGGCTGAGCTGCACCCGTGGACGAATGTTGTAAATTCTGCTATTGTGCTTCGTGTAAAGGAAAGACGAGTATAAACTAAATATTGAGTACGGAGATGGAACATACAAAAAGGGTATCACTGATGTTCACTGTCGATTTCTGGTGTTATTACGGCGGGCACGTTTTGGATTTGGTGGTGCGACAGCTAGGTAAGGTATTTGTAGTTGACCTACCCACTCATTACAAGGGGCGCAATCTATACTGGGTGGTATACTAGGTACAAAACATTTCTGTAGTCAATCCTTAAGCTCACTACGGCGGATGCATTGTGGATTTGGCGGTGCACTGATAGACAGGAAGCATTCACGCTGCTGATCTGTGAACGCTTTGAAACAGATGCGCTTGGCCCAAGCATCCCCGGGAGTATAGAATCCCTACGCAGTTGATCTCTCAGTTCGTTGCGATGGGTGTGTATCTTGAATTTGGTGGTGTACCAGGGCGCTACTACGGATTCCACGGCGCGGATCCTTGGCTCTTCTTTTGGGTTTAGCCGCTCCCCGTCGGGGATCTCAAAAGAGATGTTAAAACAACAACAACGATATGTGCTATACTACAGACACACCTTGAAAGTGGGTAATGGGTTAGTGAATGCAAACAGTGTATATAACGAGTTCCACCAAGCCAAAATACCGCCCCACAGCATTCTGATCGCTTTGAATGTTCGCTGTACTAACTGTTTGGTCGCTGCATTTATTTGATGCTTCACTAGTATTTCGGAAGATTCAGGTACCAACCCTACGGCCTGTTTACCCTCATGGGCTATTTTTGAAACATATATGCTGTTGCCTTGTTAGTCACGAGCTGTTCGGCGGGATGGACCGGAGAGTGTGGTATTACGGACGCCTTACATCGGCCAACCGACCTGCCGAACATGATATTCAAAATGATTAAAAAGCCTCAGTTTCTGCCTCTAGAAATCAGAAATATCGAATATCAAAAAAAATATATATATCATTCAGTTACCCTCTAAAACTCAGTTTCCAAGATATAACCACCCTGTCATGGAATCCCACGAAAACGAACCGGACCCAAGTCTCACACCCAAAAATCCTCCATCCCCCTACAATCTCGACGACAACAGCTCCAAAATCTGCACCCTTCCCGACGGCCGAAACCTAGGCTACGCAGAATACGGCTCACCAACCGGCCACGCAATCCTCTACCAACACGGCCTCCCCGGCTCGCGTCTCGAAGCCTCCTCCTACCACTCCCTTGCCCTCTCCCTCGGCGCCAGGATCATCGCAATCGACAGACCAGGCATAGGTCTCAGCTCACCCCACACATCTCGGACCCTGCTCTCCTGGCCCAAAGACGTCGAGCACCTCACCCAGCACCTCGGCTTACCATCGTACTCCATCCTGGGCGTGTCGGGCGGCGGACCCTACGCCCTCGCCTGCGCTTTTGCTCTTCCCGCTACACGGCTAAAATGCGTATCTGTGATATGTGGTCTGGGGCCCCCGGATATGAGTATGTGGCACGCGGATATGGTGCATTGGCTTAGTTTTCCCTTTGGTTGGCGTTTCGCGCCCGAGATTTTGCTGGAATGGTTTTTTCGGCTCGATGTTTTTGGTCGGATGGAGGTGAGTGATGGGGAGAAGTTGGAAAAGATGACCGAGCCTGCTCGACTTGCTTCGATCGAGAATCCCAAGAACCGAAGGATTCTGGGCGATGAGGCGTTTTTGACGGTGGCGCTCAAGGCGGCTCGCGAGGCGCAGAGGCAAGGGTTTGGGGGTGTGGCGCTGGATGGGAGGGTTGTGTGTCGGGATTGGGGGTTCAGGATTGAAGAGATTAGAAAGGACTTGCCAGTCAAGCTGTGGTACGGCAGGGATGATGTTTTTATTCCGCCGAACATTGGGGTTGAGACTGCAGAGAGATTAAAGGGTGCTGGGGGGAAGGTTGTGTTGAGGTTGGAGGAGGATACGCATTATAGTATTTCACAGGATTGGAAGAAGGAGCAGTTGGAGGCTATTCTGGCGGAGATGCGGGAGTGAGTTGGTGGATTTTCGGAAGTTCAAGATATTTTTTCTTCACTCAGCTCCAATATTGTGTTAATAGTATTTTCGTGTACGGGTGCGGAAATAATAGTATTTTGAATACAAGATGGGAAATCAAATTAGAACTTCTCATGCCCTTTGTGAGCCATTATCTACACGCCGAATGCTCATTTTCAATAAAAAAAAATGCTGGCGGTTGCATGGGTGATTGATCGCGACCTTGACACAGGCTTGTAAGTGGAATAGTTTCTTGGAGAAATAACATCGGACTGAGCAGTAGCCGGCAGCTCAGCAGCGTGGATAAAGGCCGATGAGTCAAGGAGGCACAGTAACGCGCTTGTATCATGTGGGGATTTGATGCTCGAGTAAAGGGTAGGTTATCAACGAGAAGCAACTAAATTCTGGAAGAGCGAATTTGATTTTAAAAATGTGCAAACAGTTAGTTATATAGAAGACTGAAAAATGCACTTCAATAATAATCATTACGCCAAAGCGGAGTCTAAACCCGTATGCATAGCAATGCCATCACCGCACTCCTCCCTGCCGGAATAACCTCTATGCTGAGAATACCAATTATTGATGATGAATGCTCCCTTCAAGAAAAAATGACAGAATGATAGAAAAAAAGAAACGCTAAAGGAGGGACAAGAGGGTATACCTGAGGCAAATAACGCCAACGACGAATGATGTAGTCAAAGAAAGGAGAGAGGGCGAAAGTGCTGTGCGAATCAGGGAAGTCCTGACCGAATGGTCTTATAACCAAAAGACTGTCATGCTGGCGATCCGATGTAGTAGCGTCCGCAAGAAAAACAAGGAATGATGTTCAAGAGCCCCGACAAGGTTGCTATTCCTGCAACTGATGCGTAGGACATGCTCCTCGACCCTTCTTGTTCCACCACTCTTTGATGCATGACTGCCCTTTGTTAGCACAAATTCTCCAATCTGTATCCAATGCCCAATAAAAAGAACATACCTCATGAAACTTGCACCAACAAACCAGCCTCGCCATGCGGTCCCCCGCCTCAAAGTCTTCCAAACAAATTGTGCATTCTGCTTGCGCCCCTTCATCGTCCACACAGTCCTTCTCGGTTGCAATGTAGGGAAACATGCCGCGCGCAGCATGGCTCATTCTGTTGCTGGATCCTTCGCCATTGCCTGCACTGCTCATACCACGAGTACGCTGAGTAGGCAGACTTGCGGATGTCTGTGGTGCAGGTGTTGGCTTAGGACCAGGAGAAGCTGAATGTAAGGCGATACAATCTTCAATGTGTCGAGTGCGGTCCGTCTCATCGCCATCGGGTCCCTTGGGCGGGAGCTCGTCCCCACAAATAGGACATTCATCTTCCTCAGCAATCTGACGTCGAGGCTGAGGTAGCTGTGCGTGATAAGGATTTAGCGGTTGGGGGATTGCAGTGGAAGTGGCTTGTCCAAACGGCGATCCTGCAAATGATGCCGCTCCAAAGGTTGACCGGTGACGAGGGCGGTTACTTGACAACGTCTGCGAAATGAGTGGCGCGCGATGGTGCGGATGTTGCTGTTGAGTGGCAGAGGGTGGGAGGGGAGGTAGTCTTCGCTCTCCGACGTTTGAGCTGCCGTGATAACTTACTCGCCTGTTCTGGCTGTTGTCGTTCGGAGCCTCGCGGTTAACATACCCATGTCCTGGATTCACAAACCGTGACGCATCATGTACACTTGACGCAGATCGGTGAGCGCGTGGGTGCGGTGGTGGGGCGTGGGGCGATCTGGGAGACGGGGCATATTGCAGCGGGTACCTGGGGTCGCGGCCAGAGGGCTGATACTGCGGCGGTGGACTAAAATTGGGATCAGGTACACATGGATTGCAAACGCGGACTTCCTCGCCTCCGCCTAGCGCTGGGTTGCGGAACGGGCCGAAAGCCGACATAGCATTCTCATCATCCCCGGTCAGATCAACGAAGTTTGCCGCCATTTCAGAAGGGGGATGGACGATGAACTGTCGGGGTATAGTGATACGATGTGGCGAACACGTGGCGCACACGACTCTTCCACATTTCCTGTTGGTAATCGTTAGCATACACTTTGTCAAAATTAGGTTTCCTCCTGCGATTTGCAAGCTTCTTCTCCGTTCTGGTATGGATGCCCAACTGGACATGGACAGCGCTCCCAACAAGAAAGGAAGTTGCGAGCTTACCTGCAATGGTGCCTCCTAAGCAGAAATGTAAAAGGTCTCTTGCACACCGGACACTGCGTAACATCGCTATCCGGCTGCCATGGTGGCAGGACAATGTCGCTCTGCCTTCTGACCGGCGTGGTGTTGGTTTGTGGTGGGACAGGAGGTGTGGGCGGAAGCGCTCGCAAAGAGGCAGGCGGGGAGTCTAGGACGATGGGGTCCATACTGGAGTTGCCTGTGCTTTCAGAGTGTATCCGTATACTCGATGGCCGCCTCATAGGCGAGTCAGCTGTTGTCAGGCGTCGCTTGCGGTCAGAGCTGCGAGAGGACGGCGAGTCTGTACGCGGCGAGGGGCGGCTGGGAAGCGTGTATCGCATGGAAGAGGGGTTTGCGCGAGCTTCGCGGGCTGCGGCGGGGTCGAGCTCGCTGGAAGGTGGTTGCTGGTTAACGTCGGTTTCGGTACCGTCTCTCAAGAAGTCCATCCACGTTTCGGGGTCTTGCGCCAGGAAGTGTGACGCTACAACTCCCTCTGGATGTTGTCGAGAGCTATTTCTCACGAGAACCTCACGTTGTCCCTGTATATTGCTACTCGCGCCTTCACCATGACTCTCGTAGGCATGGGAGCTTCGAGCATAAGGTCCGCTCGGACGCGGGGCAGCGTTTGGAGGCATTTAAAGTGTATCTGGTCTGCGTGAGGAATCCAACGGCTGGTTGTAGAGGAGCAAAGAGCGTGAGTCTGGTGCCACAGCAACCCAAAGAGTCACTGCTCATGTGATTACAAAGTGGTGGGTTGGTGTCTACGTAGAAGAGGGTCGGGCGGTATACGGCAATGTGCCGCCACTTTGTTCGTCTCCTTTACCTGGCTAGAACCGTGCTAAGGTAGCCGGTAGCAAAACTGCTCTTTCCCGTCAGCATCCCACCACACCTCCAAGCATCGACATCTTCACTCACCTATCAATAGTGGAGGGTTGCGGTGAGGGAACAGGCGCGGAGGTGGGTCCTTGCGCGTCGGCTCGGCCAGGGGAACTTCGACCACTCGTCCTACACTGCGCATGTAGCGGCAACTGCTGCAATCCAGGTGAAGACGAAGCAGGGAGGGTAGCAAGGCTGGGTCGGGCTACGCGATATTCATAGCCACGAAAAGCAAAGAGCGTTTCGGCCGGGCGCACCACGCTGAGGGTGCTGCGTGAATGCCTCAGGCGCCACTCCTACCTATCGTTATCTTAGCGGTTTCACGCGACACATGACGCCACATCTTAGCCTCATACGGAACAACGATCACCCGGACAGCCCTGGCAGATCCCCAACGCCACAAGGTCGCTGCTGCTGCAGGTCATCTGCAAAGCATTTGCATATGCAAGACCGGCTTTGAAAGATAAATTATTTTGAATTACTATTGTGCATGCTGGCTCAACTAGCGGCTCTCCATGTCCTGCGTATATGAATAAATGAAATGTCTAGATAGCTTTGTACTTGCATGTGCTACTGAAAAAGCACACTGCTTGCGCCCAACCAAGGGAAACGCCCCCCTCCCCCTGACCCCGTTTTTTTTTGAGCAATTATACAGCAAAGAGATTCGTAAATGCACGGTATGCGTTGACATGTATTACAAATAGGTCAGAATTGATGCCACAAGTGCAAGTAAGGAACGTCCTAAAGAAGCGGCCGTCACATGTTGTGACTACGCTTGCTGTGTTGCGTGCTACCGCTGCGACTGCGGTCCACAATTTCTGCCGAAGCCTCAAGATGGCTTCCAGCATCATAGCCGTCGGTCTGAACACTGTCTTTCATCATGTGATGTTGGACGTAACCGGTGCTCAGAGGCCGCTCACCCGTGCCAATCGCTCCTGGCGCATTCAAGTCGCTGGCGCCGTCGTGACGATATATGCTCGATGCAGCAGAAGGCCCGGGAGTCCGTTCAGGTGATGGATCATTGGACCCGAAAGGAAGACGGATAGGTAACCCACCAGATTCGCTTGGCATTAGATGATGGCTCTGCTGGGGATGCTGATATCTAGAACTGGCTGAGTTTGAGGCGTCCATTGCCGTTGGCAATTGTTCTTGGAGCAGGTCAGAGTCGGTTGACCCCACCCGCCGCGAATTCTTGCGCGGTATTGTGGGAGTACGGCTTGGAGGCCCAGGTGGTTGTGTGATACGGGAAGATCGTGACCCAATTCTACTGGGAAGCTCAATTCCACCAAAACTTTCAATGGGACCCAGGGCTGGCGCTGTGGGTGATACCCGATGCAGCGGGTCGAATCGATCGTCGTCGCTGCTATCCGATTCGCTGTCTGAAGAGTCGCGTCTGTTGCCGCTCAGGACAGCGGCTGATGCTACACCAGAGGCTACAGGTGTAGTCTTCGGCTGAGGGGGCGATTCTGGACTGTCCCGATAGGGCTCTTGTGCGATTTCGGGCGAGGTTGTGTCTTCTTCAACAGTCATCATCTGAGGCGGAATCCGCGTGCTCCTGACCACTTCGAAACCCTTGCTCTTCTCCTTCTTACGCCCACCAAGTAGATTCAGGCTCTTGAACCAACCCGTAGCCGATGAAACAGGACCCATGGGATCTGCTGGTCCAGTCTTCAACTTGCGCGTTGGTTGTGAAGACAAAGCAGGACCACGAAGACCATAGTAAAAGTCAGATTCTCGTACGGAATAGTCGGTGGTGATATTTCTTCTGTCAAGATTAGAATCAGAGTCGTCCCGGTTCAGTCGAAGATATGCCGGAGCTGGAGTGCCGGAGTTACGCGAAGGACCCTCGAAAGGCATGGTAGTGTCCGCATCAAATTGGTCCGAGTATGGAGCATCAGCAATATCGGCACTTCGGGCAGGAGCTTTTCCAGGTGCAGTTGCCGTTATCGAGTCCATGGTATGTTTTCTGGGTCGCGGAGGGCGGTAGTATGGATCGGCGGCGTCCATTGCACCCATGGTAGGTCGCCTGGAGCTTTGGCCCGACCCACCACCCAGAAAGTTGAAAGGTACAGCGTTCTGTCCCGGGAACGGACTGGCATTTCCAAAGTCCCCCTGGCTGAATCCGTCAAAGCCTACGCTCGCGCGTTGGCTATCTCGGTCGTATGGCTGGTTCAGAAGAACAGCCGAACTGGCAGACATACTCCGGGATCGACTGCTCATGAGTTGGATGTTCTTGTTCTCGTCATGGGCAAGCATGACGGCATTCGAGTTGAGACTGCTGCGAGCATGTCGATGAAGATTGCGCTTGGACAGTTGCCGCTTTCCAAAGACTGCAGTAAGACCACCTCTCTGGTCCCCGCCTACACCAGCAAGTCTTGCCGACACTTCAATGATGGTCTGAAGAGCATTCAGGAAGAAGCCGAATATCAAAACAATGGCATGAAGGAGCAAGATGATGTATCCGATCCAGCCTTTGGGTGCCTCGTCAACGTCGAGAGAGGGTACGAACGCTACCGAAAGCAAGACACAAACAAGTCGAATTATTGAAAAAAAGGTGTGGTAAGCGTTCATCGACGTGTTCGATTGGAACGGCCGGAAGGCGTGCAGGGTCAAGATTAGTATAACCTCACATATGGCAAGTACGATGATTTGGGCGATGCCCGAGGGTTGGATAGCGCCAATGGCAATGCCACGTACAATCGTCAGCAACACGGGAATAAAGGCGAATGGTGCTGCATCGTCCGAGTAGGTGTTGTAAAGAGGCCCATATGTCAAGACGGTGGGTAGATCATCAAACAGGTGGGCTCGGGGACGCGTGGTAAAGATGAACCAGAAGATCCATGTAACCACACCAGCGACAAGGAGGAGCATGATGACAGCGGTAACCACGACAGATGTCGGCGAACGCGGTGCTACGACGAGCTGGAATAGCGACAGCGCTATGATGGGAAGCAAAAAGTAGTTGAAGATGACGCGCACGATGTTGCCGGCAGTAAACGCCCAGTTCTTTCCAGTCAGATCACCGCCCTGAGTGTTGGTAAGCCAGCGAGCAAGCCAGCGAACGAAAAATCCTAGTTGAGTAAGTGAGACTACACAGGCAATCAGAACAAGGAGAAAGATGGCCATGCACGCCCATATGTCTTCGTCTTTTGTCATTCCCACATACTGGCCGAGACGAGTGAGACCGTAGGTGCCGTTGACGAAATAGATGCCATCGATAAGACTCTGAGAGCCGCTGCCACCGCTGACGAAGCTTTGGTTGAAGAGAAGAAGCGACCAGCTGGCCTGGCTGACGGCTGGCTGGAAGAAGCCTGGATAGTTGAGGCTAAGACTGCCTGCAAGGACGATGAACTGGATGTACTGCAGACAATCCCCAAAACCTGGTGTGACTAAACGCAAGAGATCTTCGTCTCGACCGTAGTTGCTCGTGGAGCGGAAGACGTTTGAGGTTCCCCAGGGACTACATGTAGCGGCAAAGACGGTGGCGATACCTACCAGGGCAAGTATAGCGGCGGGGAAGTAGCAAAGGGAGTCTGCGAGCTTCTTGCCAAGGTCCGGGGTGATATTGGCAGATATGCAGCCGAGCGGGGTGGCGTTGTCGTTTCCAGAGACGATGCGCATTGTCGAGGCCCATGTTGAGAATGCATACGAACTGCTGAAATCGCGTGCAACGGTGATGGCTGGCAAAGTCCAATACTGACTGGCGTTTGCATTAAAAGCAGGCGCAATGGGACAGCTGGTGTTGAGAACGGACTGGCAGAAGCGGGCAGGGGGTGCGCTGTAAGCAGAGTAAGAGACGACCTTGTTGTTCCAGAAGAGGGTGGTGTAGTGTTTTTGATTTTCGTTCAGGTCGACAAGTTTGCCAAACGTCTTGTTCGGGTCCTTCCAGTTGTCGTCTTCCAGTGGCGGGTACTCGCCAACCTGGGTCTGGCCAGAGACATTTCCGTAGACGGTAAAGTTCAATCGATATTCGGGGCTGAAGTCGGCCCAGACGTACTCGGGGGTAAAGCGAAGATATGGCGTCTGCTTGCCGTCGGCGAGGTAGATGCGTGTCAGACAGTCTCGGAAGTTTACAAATACGGCGCTGGCGAGGGGCAGGAAGGAGGCGAGGACGAGGACGAGGACAAGGGGCGACAAGGTGGTGATGGCGGGCAGGAGGGACCGTCGACATCTCCGTCTGGACCGGGGTGGCGTGTGTGTGGGCTGTATAGCAGGCACATCGAGGTAGGTGGTGACTTGTCGCCGTAGTGCGCCATTGCGCGGAGTGCTAACGTGCATCATGACGTCCCCCTCTTCATGTTCGCCTAGCCGTCTGATCCCCGGGGCCAACGCGGACAAGGGAATGAGCAGGAGGGCGAGCGGGCGGGCGGTTGGTGTCGGTAATGCGATTGTATGCGCTGGACGTGAAGGGCGCAGTCGAGGGTTTGGGGGGAGAGGCGCGGGTCGAGGGCGAGAGGAAGGTCGGAGAGGCAGGGCTGGTGGGCGTGGAATTGGTGGCGGTGGTGGTGGTGAAAGCAAGCAGGGGAGCGGGCGAGGATGGCCTGGTGCGAGTGAAATAGGCGTCAGAGAAGGCTATGTCGATGAGCTGGCAGGGGAGACGGGCGCGGGGCGATCAGCAGCGGCAGCTGAGGCTAGCGCAAGGGCAGGGGCAAGGGAAAAAAGACAGCAACGGCGGGATAGCGAGTGTACGAAGAGAAAGGCGAGTTCAGGCGTGGGTGCTGGGCGGAGCGGCCCAGGCGGTTGGGAGGGAGACGACTCCTGAAGCCAGTGTGTGTGGCAGTGGGGTGCAGCAAGTGCAAGCACAGCGGACCACGGTCGCAGGGCGCTAGCTTCGTATAAGACGGTGGTGCAGCAGCAGAGGCACTGCTTTGGGTTTGACTCGAGGCGCTCGAGGCCGCAGTGGAAATGGTCATGTCATGGTGGTGGTGCTTAAGCCTCCGCCGAGCAGGGCGGAATCCTCGTCTTAGCAGCCGGCTGCTATCACCACCACCAAGCCACTTGCAACGTCATAAATCGTCTTTTGCTGATATCTCGCCAGATGCGGCCCTGTGTGCATCCATGTATGTACCCATGTGTCCATGTACATAGTTACTATGCAAGCACTTGGAGGCAGAGGACCGCGGCCATGGAGATTATTATCCATGACAGGCATGCCATGTGTGATTGGACCCTCGTGAGGATGCATGTTTATTTAGCAACTTCGGAAATACGGAACTGCTACGCCCGCTTCTCCTTACATTCGTCAGCTTCCTCGTGTCTCCATGTTGGGCCAGCGGCTGTTGATTGCGCACCCGGCTCGTGCAGATACATACCGTGTGCCCATCTTGCTCCTCGTCAAACGGCTTACTCATGAACGCCATGATGCCCATCTCATGCCGTCCATCCTCGTCGGAACCGTGGCGCAGCCGTTCAACTAAATTTAGCGCGTCTTGGGCGATCGCTCGTTTCAGGGCCGGCCACTGCCAACTCTTAACTCGCCAGACACACATCCACCAACCCTCCACCAACACACTTACTTGCATGCTGTGCTCGACGGCATGCTTTTGTCCAAACCCAACCACGTTGTTGTATCTGCCGCTCGGCGCTCTCAGTCTGTGTTTCGGCCTCAGTACGTGTGTCTGTCCTTGTGCTCTTACAAACACGCGGGCGTATGGCTGCTCTGCCACCAGCACGTGACTGTGTTTTGACATGCTTAGTGCTGGAACGGTACCTCGTTCGGTGACACCCACAACTCTGGTTCGACTAAGTCTACCCGCTGTTTGACCAGTACCTTGAGCGTGGAAATAGACGACTTGTCCTGACTTTGGCATCGTGCTAATGCACGCGCAGGGTTGCTTGCGGCAGAGCCGATGCGGAGCGGCGATCCGAGCACGTGGAATGGCTTACTTTTCGCGTGTGCGTGTTTTGCATCTCAACCATGCCCATTGTCTACGCATACGTGCTTTTCTCCATGTGCATGTACATGTCTATCTGCACGCAGTGCAGACGAGGTAGCACGTCATCTTGGCGAACATGTTTGGCGCATCTCATGCCCTCACTCTTATAGGCGCAACCAGCATGTATCGCGCCTCCCTGCAGCTTGGCATTCCCTCGTGTTCCTGCAGCCAGGCCTTGCGTCCCCCTCAGGCTCCATCCGGCAGGTCGTGATAGCCCGCCATGCAGCTCGTCATCGGCTCCGCCCCTATCATCCATACCATGGTTAATGAGGAAAAAGTCCACCGCCTGTCCGCCCTCCGGCCAAATTCAAGTCAAGCCAAGGCGTGGAAAAGCTTCCTTGGCATACTGCGAATGAGGAAGGTGCCAGTCTTGCAGTCCCACTTATTACCAACCGCCTTGTCAATCGCCCCGTCTTGCATTCGACATGCCGCTGTATATATTGCTCTACCGTGCCCAAACATGCATCTGCGCCCTGACTTCTGTACCTGCAAAGTTGTGAACCTGTCAAGCCGAGAAATCAGCCATGGCCATCAAGACCGCCTTTCTGGCCGCCAGTCTCGTGCTGCAGTCCGCCCGGGCCATCGACGTTGAGTGCGTGTAGCTTGACAAGCTTATGATAGAGAGAGTACTGACATGGACAGGGGACTGCTTGCTGCTCCTCGCCGAAGCAATGGCATTCTCAGCCCCAAAGGCGTACGTTACTCGACCTGTATCAAAAAAAAAGGTTGTTATACTGAAATAAACAATAGGACCGAGCACTCTTCTCGGAGACCAAGTTCAACTGGACCACTGAAAAGGCCAGCACAGCTTGGTACTTCCTCGATACCGAGACTGGAGATGTTAAGAAGGCTCCATTTGGAAGCGCTGCTTCCGAAGTCGTCTGGGTTGGCGATACTGACGACAGCATCCTCTACATCAACTCAACCAACGAGCAGATCCCTGGAGGCGTGACACTTTACACCGCCGATCTCAGCAAAGACAGCTTTGAGCCCACCCTGGTTGCATCTCTGCACGCTCCGCTATCCGGCCTCAAGGCTGTAAAGACAGACTCCGGAATCAACTTCGTCGGCAACTGCCTTGCTTACGAACACAACGGATCTGCATACAACCCAGAGCTTGTCACCGCGCCCAAAACTTCTGGCCAACTGTACGATGCCAACTTTGTGCGCCACTGGAACTACTACATTACAGCTGAACGCGTTTCGGTCTTCAGCGGTGTCTTGAGCAATCTCAATGGCACGTATTCGTATGATGGAAAGCTCACCAATTTGCTCTTGGGCATCAACTACACAATCACCCGTCCGGAAAGCCCTGTTCAAGCCTCTTCGAGCGATGCTGGCGACTATGACCTCTCTCCCAACGGTAAGCTGGTAGCATTCCGTACCAAGTCCCCGGACCTTCCCAAGGCAAACTACACCGCTAGCTACATTTATGTTGTTCCCTTTGATGGCTCCGAGATTGCAGTCCCTGTCAACGGCCCAGGCACTACTGCTCCTGAAACAGCTCAAGGTGCATCTGGTGCCCCTGTATGGTCACATGACAGTAGTAAGCTGGCATACACCCAACAAGATGGAATCGACTACGAATCCGACAAGTACAAGCTGTACGTAGCAGAAATTGACGGCACCAATAGTAAAGTCCGCTCGGTCGCCGAGGACTGGGATTCCAGCCCTACAGGTCTCAAGTGGAGCCATGATGATGCTGATCTATGGGTCACGTCGGAGCTGCATGCCTCTGTCCGCCTGTGGCTGGTGCCCCAAGATGCTCCGGCTGACTTTAAGCCAACCAACTTCACTGGCCCTGATACTTCGATTGCTGGATTTGGCATTCTTCCCGATGGAAGTGCCTTGGTATCGGCATCAGCCAGTTGGACTAGCCGTATCTGGTACAAGCAACACCCCGGCCAGGACAAGGAGGTTCTTTTCACCGCCAATGAGGTCGACCCTGAACTCGAGGGCCTGAAACCTGACTCCGTGTCAAACTTCTGGATCACAAACGAAGATGGCGACGACATTCAGACGTTTGTTTTCTATCCTACCGATTTCGATCCTTCCAAGAAGTACCCACTTGCTTTCATCATCCATGGCGGTCCACAGTCTACTCAGGGTGACACCTGGAGGTATGTACACTATGCGCAAATCAAATCTCCAGCTCCCGTGCTAACAAATGAAAAGTACACGTTGGAACTTGAGGACGTGGGCCGATCAAGGCTTCATCGTGACCACCACTCAGTTCACCGGATCGCCATCTTATAGCCAAGCCTTCACTGACAAGGTAAGGAGCTCAAATCCTCCGCTCATGATAACGCTAACCCGCTGTCTAGATCCAAGCAAACTGGGGTGGTAGCCCCTACAGAGATCTCGTTCAAGTCTTCGAGCACCTCCGCGACAACGTCGACTACGTCGACACTGACCGCGCCATTGCCGCCGGCGCCTCCTTTGGCTGCTACATGATCAACTGGATCCAAGGCCACGCCCTCGGCCGCGAATTCAAAGCCCTCGTCTGCCATGACGGCAAGATCAACCAAGTCGCCTCGTACGGCACTGACGAACTCTGGTTCATCCAGCGCGACAACAACGGTACCGTCTGGGAAAACCGCGAAAACTACGAGAAGTGGGAGCCCCTTGCTCACTTTGCCAATGCTAGCACCCCTGAATTCGTTATCCACAACGACCTTGATTACCGTGTCCTCCAGGGTGAGGGTCTTCAGACTTTTAATATCCTCCAGAGTCTGGGTGTGCCCTCGCGCTTTTTGCATTTCCCGGACGAGGGTCACTGGGTTACCAACAGGCATAACAGTTTGCTGTGGCACAAGTCGATTTTCAACTGGATTCGGTACTGGACTGGGCTTGATGAGGAGTTGTCTACCGATGGAGTGATTACGCAGTAATGATGTGGATGAGATATGCAGGCTATGATATAGTCATTGCTCAGAAGAGCTTATAAGAGCATCTAGTGTTAATATAATTACGCTTTCAACAATGGAGAGATACGAAACTTGACTGTGATAATAATGTCAGACATTTGGAGTCCAAGGAATAAAATCAAATAACGTACATAACACGTGTATGTATAAGCGTCTATACGGGTTTTTTTTACTAATACCACATACACGCCTACGAACAACAAAACCCCCCCAACGGCTTCAAAGCCTCGCCCTCTCCATCCTCGCCTTAGGATGCCTCTCATCAATCCTCGGCAACTTGCCACTCCACGTACTTCCATTCCTCAGAAAAACCCTCCTCCAATCCGCCGGATTCAGTGGCGCCTGCGCCCACCTCATACACCTCTTCCCGCCCACTTTGGCCCTCTTATCCTGCGCAATCCCACTCGCAGCCGCAACTTTGCTTCCGCGTTCAGCCCCAAAGTTACTCGGGATCGCCTGGCTAAACTCCTTGGCACTGACTTCCAGCAACGCCTCTGTATCCGCCTTGATGCGGTCTGCAAGGAGTCGGATCGAAGACTCGGCGCAATGCGCGTTGTTTGCGCGGCGCTGCCAGTACTCGAGGAAGCGATAGGCGTGGCCCAGCATGCCGCACATTGCGCCTGCGGAGTGCAGGAAATGGCCGTTGCCAAAGGAGTCACCCGCGACGACGCCGTTGGTGGCGATGCGGGCGTCGTTGCCGATGCGCTCGACGAGACTGAAGGGTTTGGGGCCGTATACCATGGCTACGCGGCGGAGGTCGTCGGGCGAGATTTCGAGAATGAGTGAGGCCTGTGAGATGTAGTAGTCGTAGAGGAGGAGTTGGTAGGCGGCGAAGTACTCGGCGGAGTCTTTGCTAGTGGTGGGACACACGAGGCCGCGGACTGCTGGGCAGAGCGAGATGTGTTCAGGCACTTCGACGATGAGCCAGGAGACGCGGGGGTCGTTTTCGTGGCCGACGGCAATTTGGCGGACCCAGGTTTCGTTGCCCTGGTGGTCGAATTCTGAGGCTATGCGTCGGCGGAGGCGGCCGTCGACGAGGATGTTGAATTGACCGGCGACAAAGTCGGCTTGAGCGACTTTGGGACCTTGACCGTCGCCGTGATCGACTTCTACGTCGTGCTGTTGGAATCCTAGATCTTCTGCTTCGCGGCAGTTGATGCCTGTTGCGATGCTAAAGAGCTCTGGGACGCCGAGATCGATGAAGTCGCTCCCTGGTGTGCGGATGCGCTGGAGGTCGTTGTGGTACTGTACTTCAGTGACCTCTTCGATACGGATCTGGACGCGGCCGCAAGGAAGATGGACTAGCCCGCTTCCATCCTGTACAACGCGATGCTTGGAGAACAGACGGCATCTAGGCGTTCTTCCGGCGTTCAGATCAATCTTCTCGAGCTGCTCGAGGTATCTCCGGAGAAGAAGCTGAATAGAAAAGGCTGCAGCTTGCCATGTGGACGGTCCATCAAGCACTTCACGCATGTCGGTCCGGATCTTTCTTGCATCGGGCGCAGTAGGCATGTTCGGGGGTGGCACAGATGTTACAGTACGATGCGGTCGTCCATCTTTCCAACGGTCATCAATGTACTCGATGTCATGAATGTCGCCAACCATGTGATGGGTTTTGTCGTACCCTTCGATGATTGATCCTGGTATGATATTTCCGGACATTGTTGACTGAGAGTAGAATAGACCGGCAAGTGTGAACGGCGATCCATCGAGTCTCTTCGGCATATTTTCGAGGCCATAGCGGTCCAGCATCATCTTATCGATCAGTCCCAGCTGATGATACATATCCTCGCGAATGTTCCAGTGTACGCCTAGAAAAGGATCGCCACGAAGTTCGACCCCGACAGCACGTCGACCCATGGCTATGGTCCATAGCATGGCCAGCATGTTTGTGCCTCCAAGGCCAATGGCCACAAAGTCCGCATCTTTGGCCCCTATCAGATCCGCCGAGCGACTGCCGCCTGGAGTTGTGACATTTTGGGTCCGCTCTTGGGCCAGATACTTGGTTGTCATATAAGAGTTTTTGTTAACTGAAGCCATATAGGCGATAGTGCGGACTCTATGTCGCGAGTTGGTATTGGCAGATTATTATGGACAACTTTGCAAATCTGGGAAAGAAAAGAAAAAAAATGGGTTCTTGAAAGACCACACTGACCAAGATGGATCGCGATCTCAGTATATCACTGATACTTGGAATCGCAACTTAAGCCTGTATTGGGGGTTTGACCTTCTCAACCAAGCAAGTGCCGATCCTTCCATGCACGGCCTTGCAGGGTTCTTTGACGACCTCTCTATCGGGTTTGCCTGAGATTTGAGTCTGTGATACGGTATCAGTTCAGCAGAGAGGTTACCCTTATGTCCTCATGGTATTCTCCTCAGTATGGCGTTACGTGGTTTCCAGACGCGGTAGTGAGGCGAACGCGATACTGCAGCGCCAGTAAAGTGTGACCACATGTTCGCTCTCTGGGGCTCGCACAAGCAACACAGGACAGACGCGCGACTAGCGTCTTCTTTGGATGTAGCGTTCTATGTGGCAGTTCATATCTAACTTATCTGAGGTAGTTTAGTTGAACGGAACAGGAGACCGACCAGTGCGCTGCAATGTCAATCACATTGATGCCCACATGGCCCGTAAACACGAGAAGCGAACTACCACGGTTTACCGCTTGCTACTCGTGAACATACCCCACGAAACTCAGGTAGCTCTTCTCTTATTTCGGGAATTGTAACTTCGTAGAATTTAGGATCGATCTGAGATATATTCTCCGTAGATATGCAATAACGGAAGGCCTGGTACTTGGCGCATTGTTTCGTTGATGTCGAAAATGGGGACGAGTAAAAGTTCGCAGGTGACCAGTAAGATATGGAGCAAAGGTCATTGAGGCGACCAACTAGAATTGCCCATAGACGCGCATTGTCTTGGGTTTGTGCACAAGGGGGAGTGGGGAAAGCGGAGAAATCATAGTACGCACCAATCCGCGGACGGCAAGACGGCCCGACGCTAGGTCAAACACAAACTTGATGACCGCTCACCCCCAACACAGAACAGCATGACCAATCTTATCCAGGTAACACTCCAAAACTTGAAATGATGCGGAGGGATAAATGTGCTACCTCGGCTAGTTTCACATGTCCAGGGCCATACTGAACTCAACAGAGCATCCAATTCCTCGTTGACTTGGAAGCTTTTGACCTTATCAAAGTGGTTCGACCTCAACTGTACATCGATCACTCTCTCATCCGGTTCAATCACATGATGACATCAGATACGGCAGCTTCGATAGGAAGCAATGTTCACCCGCGGGATTGAAGCAATGATATTCATCCGCGAGTTCAGCTAACAAGAACTTCACCAGTCAGTTCAGGTTCAACCCTGCATCTGCGAGGTTCTCTTGAGCCTGGCAATGCATTTTGGTGTTCGCACATCTCGGTTCAAGAACCATTTTCTGCAAGTAATCTCATTACTGTAAGGCTGAGCTAGGAGGAAGAAGCAACATCCCCCAATGAAGAATCCTGCATATATCAATCATTAGCATAACCTCACGAACCCTTGATGGTTTTTCAGAAAGGAAAGGTGAGGTTTTGGCATAGAGAAAAGCGTGAACGTCAAAGCCACAGTTGCTAGATCACAAAAACGATTCGCAGAGCCCTCATGATGAAGTCATTGATGCTGAGCTGAACCAAAGATCGTGGATGGCACCACCAGGGGCATCCATACCAGGAATCGTTCCATGTCAAGTTGTGGACCCTGAAAATGATGTTGCCAACCGGCCGGACAATACCATGTCGGAGCCACGAGCACAATAGGACGCTACAACTTTATCAAGGCCCCAAGTTTGAGTAGCGCATAATCTCGTTAATAGAGTAAAATATTGGAGAAGGGCCAGGGAATGCCTCGAGTCTAGGTTTCCCACTGACAGAAAAATGGTGACGTGAAGTGAAATCACGATAGTGCTAATATGGCACCCCCAACTGGACTCCGACCAAGGTACTCTCATCCATGGTCATACGTCTCCTCACGGGAGCTGGGATCAACCTTTTCTACAAAACCCCCGCGATGGGCCATTTCACTTCTTCGCCTTGAATACTTCACTGCCACTAAGATCTCGAAGCACCGTCAGTCAGCATGTCGTACACATTAGCCGACACCATCAATTTAAAGAGCGTGATTGTCGCGATCGCTGCGCTGAGCTTCCTCTTATATCGATGGTGGGAAAATCGAGTTCGAAGAAAGGCAAACAGCACACAACCATTTCCCTGATTCGACAACTGACATGTTGAAGGAACAAGATGCATTCGGAAAAGGACAAGGCTGCGAACCAGTGCCTAAACTGGTCACTCGATGGCCCCTAGGCATGGATCTTCTTTGGAAGGCAGGCTGTCATGTAAAGGATCAGACATTGATGCAATTCTTTACCGGAATTGTGGAGTCAAGTGGATATACACATGAGCAGCGAACGCGTAAGTTGGAAATACGGGACTTTGGGAACAGCACTAATGATTACAAGTCGGTAAGATAACGTACAATACGGTCGAGCCTAAGAACATTGAGGCAATTCTTGGAACTCAGTTCGATAGTCAGTCTGTAAGCTACATCTTCTAAATCCTTTGATTAACAGAGCTTCAGACTTTGGCGTTGGGAAACGCTTCGACAATTTCTATCCTCTGATGGGAAGTAGTATCTTCACTCAAGACGGAGCAGAGTGGAAGCATTCGCGTGCAATGCTCCGCCCCCAATTAGCCGCGAACCTCCAAAAGAACTATGATGCAGTCGAAAGCGCAGTCAACACACTCATCAAGTCTATCCGAGATGATACGGTCGTGGATTTACTGCCCCTTTTCTACGACCTAGCCCTCAACACCACACTGTTCCTCCTATTCGGAAGTACAATGGGCTACTCGCAGAATGACGACAACCCAGACGAGGGCGAAGGATTTGCCGATGCCTTTCTCGTAGCACAGGAATTTCTATCTCATCGCGGCCGCCTGGGAGATTACTACTGGCTTGCCAATTCGAGGAAATTCCAGCGCGCCTGCAAAATCACTCATCGCTTCATCGATCGGGGCATCGACGCAGCACTCAGTGACCCAAGGGATGATGGCACCGACAAGGACGCCAGCTTCTGCAGTGCTCTCCGCCGCAAAACCTCGGACAGAAAAGCAATCCGCGCACAATGCCTCGCCGTCCTTCTTGCAGGCAGAGACACCACAGCCTGCACCCTCTCCTGGGCATTCCGCCTCTTGGTGCGCCACCCCCGAGTCCTCGAAAAGCTACGCACAGAAATCGAATCAACAATTGGTCTGGGCAAAGATGCGCCGCACCCGACTCGCGCCATAATGAAACGCATGCCCTATCTCGACGCAGTCTTCAAAGAAGTCCTGCGCCTCTACCCCATCGCCCCCGTCAACGGCCGCACCGCAAACTGCACAACCACGCTCCCCGTCGGCGGCGGACCCACGGGCCAATCCCCCTTCCTCGTCCGCAAAGGCGAAATCATCGGGTACTCCGTGTACGTCATGCACCGCCGCAAAGACCTCTACGGCGAAGACGCTCATGAGTTTCGGCCTGAGCGCTGGGAAGACGGGACCCTGTTCCGCAGGATAGGATATGGGTACTTGCCTTTTAACGGGGGTCCGAGGGTATGCTTGGGGCAGGAGTATGCGCAGCTCGAGATTGCGTATACGATTGTAAGGTTGATTCAGAATTTCCCCAATATGAAGTTGCCGGTGGATGAAACGGTTGTGCCCCTGGGTATGGAGAAGCAGGCGCTTACGCTGGTGCTTGCGCCGGGAGATGGAGCTCGGGTTCATATGCGCTCGTAGGGGAGTGAGGTTTGGTTGAGATCTTTATGTTGGTCTTGATGAGAATGTAATGTGTAGACAGGTGGCTCTTGCTATAGGTGCGTTCAGATTTAATTAATTGGATGATCAGCTCTCTGGTACCTCGCCGTGATTTGAGTGTTCTAGACCTTGACTTGAAATAAAGAAGATTTCCATCCGATAAAGGTGCGTGATGTATGAGTACCCTCACGATATCGAAGTAATGTTCTTCAAGCTTCCCGCTACTGTTATCGTCAGTTTAGCATAAACACACTCAAAAATATAGAACATTGCCACATGCGGAGGTCCATGCGCACAAAATCATTCGGTAAGTTCCAATGATGTATTCTTTCATTTCTTTCCTCTCTCAGGGCCATTCCAAGCCCATGGGTTCTATCCTCATTTCCCACCCTTCCTAACCCCCCTTTCCCCCGTAAACGCGCATTTTGCATCGTCGTTTAACCTAAACAAGCATCAACAAATCAGCGCGCCGCGAACCCTACAACTTCGCGCTCGTACCGTTATAAGCAATGCACTCAATCTCAACGGGAACACCCTTTGGCAGCTGCTTAACCGCGACGCAGCTGCGCGCAGGCTTGTGCGAAAAGTACTGTTCGAAGACGCCGTTCATTTCGGCAAAGTGGGCCATGTCGTCGAGGAAGACGTTGACCTAGAATTTTCCTTCCCGTCAGTTGCACTGTTTCTCAATAGCGAATGGAGCGTGTATGCTGTAAAACCAAGCTAATGCCTGGGGTTTGTGCTGTGGGGGGGGGGGAGGGGGGGGGTAAGTGTGGAAGTTGAAGACGCACCTTGACGACGCGGTCCAGACCGACACCCGCCTCGGTGAGAATGCCTTTGATGTTCTCACAGCATGCCTTGGTCTTATCTGCGATGCTGCCTTCGATCAGGTTGCCCTTTGTGTCTGCAGGGATCTGGCCAGAGACGAAGATGCTGGGGCCGGCGATGATGGCCTGGGACTAATGAAGGTGGTATGGTTAGGGTTCGTCGGATACAAAGGTACTTGGGACCTTTATTGTGGAGGGAAAGAAGAACGTACGTAGGGTCCCGCAGCTACGTTGTGTTGTTAGCATTCACTCGCAACATGGACGTGTCGAGAGCAATTGGAGGAAAACGTACGAGGGCAGGCATTGGCCGTGGATACTTTCTTGATTTCTGACATTTTTCTTCGTTGTTCAGTCGCAATGGTTTGGAGTGCAATTGGGAATCTTGTTGTCGAAGGAGTGAAGGTGGTAGTAGCTCTCCCGACACACAAAAGTCTTGTAGTAGCAAAGAGTCGTGGACAAAAGACAATGCGTTGCATGGGACACTTTATCTACGTCTGGCAAAACGAGGCTATCGTCGGAAAATCCGCTATGATAAGTTAACTACTTGGGCAGGGCCGACCGGGCGCCAAAAACCCCGCCTGATAATAGCCAGAGGGGCGCCCAGTTGGCATTACATCAGCTGGAAGCTGTGATAGTGAGGGGCATCCGCACGGTTGCTGGCGGCCGGCATCGGAGCCAATGAGCGTCACCCCACCTTCCCGTTTTGGGTGCTAGCGCCTGCGAGCACGCCAGCGTAGAGGGGTAGATGTAAGATTTTTTGGTCTGGTCGGAATTTTCGCGACGGGAAAGGAACAATGGTTATACGATGTGCAGCACTTACGTGGCAGATGCAGAGTACGCTAGGTAAAGTGTATATCTCGATGAGATACGTGTAGTGGGTATAAGTAGAACATTGTCAAAAAGGTGCCTGCCAGGATGTGGTTCGTATGCTTCCTCTAATCCTCCCATGAAAGGACATGTCTTTGTTGCCATGTACTCTGGATAAATGTCCAAAACCCAAATAAACACCACCCAAATGCGATGCTTGTCATCTATGGCCTATCATGTGTTTTTGTACCACCTCGGTTCCAATGTGCTAGAATCGAATTTAAAATCGAGAGCTGAGCTCGGGACCTGGAATGGCCTCTCTACTGCTCAGGGTTTGCAAGGAGTGTGTATACTGGCGCATTGAGCTTATCACGGCCCTTTAGGAAAGCGACCTCGTCAAGGAAGAGGTATCCAACAACCGTTCCGCCAAGCTTTGTGACGAGGGATCCCGCGGCAACCGCAGAGCCGCCTATATCTTGATTAGCGTCGATGCAATCGCAAGGGCTCGTGCTAAGCCTATCAGTCTTTACATACCAGTCGCAATGATGTCGTCAACAACGAGCACCTTCTGGCCGCTCTTTACGGCATCGACCTGCATCTGGAAGAAATCGCTTCCGTACTCTTTCTCGTATTCCGCGGTCTCGCAGGGACCGGGCAGCTTTCCCTTCTTGCGCACTGGCACAAAACTGGCGCCCATTCTCAGCGCCAGACTGGGCCCAAACAAAAATCCGCGCGCGTCCAGGCCGACAACCACATCGGGCTTGCCGGATGCGCTGAAGTGCTGTTGGACGGCGAGTTCGAGTCCGTGTATCAGGCTCTCGTGTAGCTGTGGGTTGGCGAACAAAGGCATGATATCTTCGAAAAGGACGCCCGGCTGGGGGAAGTCTGGGAATTGGCGCAACGACGACTTCAGCGTGCTTTTAAGACTGGCGAGTTCGGCGGCGGCGGAGGCACCGGAGGTGGAGAGTCCGCCTTGGGAGGGGCCATTGTTGGTGGACTCGACGTGAGAGCTGGCGGGGGCTGTGGTGTTGACCGAGTTGGATTGGGCGGCAGCGGAGTCGTGGGGAGCAGACATTATGAAGGAAGGGGGAGGGGGTCCCAGGCAGATAAGTAGTAATGGCTCGGTCTAGTCTGGGGAGGGGGGTGGTGAGATAGGGCTAGGTAGAGGGCTGCCGATTAGAGGGGTGACGAGTGGTCAAGGCTGGGGGGTTGGCTGGCTGGCTGGCTGGCTGGCTGGCTGGCAGGCTGGCTTGCTGCCATGTAATGCTGTCAGCTTCGGGAGACAGGACAAGGTGCGCAACGAGTACCCAGCGCCAAAGACAGTCTGTCGACTCTGAGTCGAAGCAGGAAAAAAAAAGTTAGCCCTGGTGCAAAGCGGTCCGGCGTATACCAGCACACAGGGCCATGGCGAATAGAAGGGCGGGGTGGGCATGGTGGCGCCCCACCACGTCTAGCCCGTTGCGCCGAGTAGGTAGCACACGGTTTCAGTCGTGCCGGCGCCTGTACACCATCACCACGACGCCTCTCGCCAGTGCCCGCTCCGTCAGTAAGTACTTTACAGCAGTCCTCCCTGTCTGCATTGGCGTCTTGGAGGGTGTCTCGAATCACGCCTGCGGCCCACCTGTACATACTTTGCATGTCGACGTCAGGATACATGGACGACCGGGGGAGCTAGGAGTCATATCGAGCGCCTAAGAGGGCTTGCCTCAACAGATTCTCTGCTCCCTCGACAGCCACGCTTCGAGCGGCTTTGCTCGACCCTCTCGTTGCGCGCCCACGACAGCACGACAAGCAGGAGGCGCCCCTTTTTTGTCTTTGCTCTGCCTGGGCTGACATGTCATCTGTTGCATCATACGTGGGCCTCACGTCACTGCCAGCTTTGCTCACCTCGAGCAAGGCATGGGCCAAACCATATTCCCCACGTACTTGTAACTGCCTGTATGGTGTATGGTGGGCATGTATGTGTGTGTGTGTGGCTAATGCGGCCTACCCTACGGCGGTGAGACGTTCTAGAAGGTCGAGCGGGAAGCATGGGACAGGTGTGTGCTTACTTTGCAACCCTTCCACTCGTTACCATGCTAGCACATCACCCCTTCCCAGCAGACTAACCCTTGGTGAACCAGTAGCCTTTACCCTTACAGCCAGCCGGGTAATCTTCGTCTGACTAAGCGGCTTAGCCTTCGGGCACGTTGGCCTCATCGGAACAATGCTGTCGGCTTGGGAGCCACTGATAGTTTGATTTACGCGTCCTCGCAGCTCGCAGGCCCTCTGCCCCCACAACAAGTCGTGGCTTGCATATGCAACTGCACCCCGTCCAAAACAGCCGCCCCGTATTCTGCTGTACGAGCAGCCTCCTTATTCTCAACGTTCCAAGGTTCGCCAGCACACTTGTCATGCACCCATTCTCATTGCGCCATCGACGACCTGGTATGTAATATCGTGACACATTGAAGCTCTCTCTGCAATGGTTCCTGAGACAAAGCCGCGTGTCACCTAGCAAACAACTACCATGGCAATAATACGGGTTGATGGATCAAACTTTTGCTCTAGAAGCTTAGGAAAAGGTGGGTATATACTGTTTAATATGCCGCTAAATCTGCGGATCCGTCCCATGCCAGACTAGAAGGAACCACTACACGCCCAAACCCACGACTTTTTGTTCTCTGCTCATTGGTAATAGCCAAAGGTAACAGCATTGGCTCAACCCCAGACCTCCATGTTGTTCACGATGCACTCCTCATCAGTCCTCTTCTTCAACGACCCAACCACATAGACCTTCTCGCCATACTCTTGCAATCGGTCCATGGTAGTTCCGACGTCCTCTTGTTTCACAACAAGCACCATGCCGAGACCAGTGTTGAAGGTTCTCGCAAATTCCGTATGCTCCATCCGGCCCGCTTTCTTCAACCACTTGAAGACGTCTAGAAGGGGCCATGATTTGGCATCGAGTTCGGCAGCCAGGGTCTTCGGCAACATGCGCGGGATATTCTCAAGCAGGCCGCCACCCGTAATGTGGGCCATGCCTTTAATCAAGCCCCGCCGGGCTACAGCTAGCAGCGGTTTGACGTAGATCTTGGTCGGTGTCAGGAGAGCGGTTCCTAGATTCTCACCGGAGCTCCAAGGACAAGTGTCCAGGTATGACATGCCCTGCGCCTCAACGATCCTTCGCACAAGCGAAAAGCCGTTCGAGTGGACTCCACTTGATGCAAGACCCAAGAGCACGTCACCCTCAGCCATGGAAGCTGTGTCCGGCAGTATCGTTGCGCCCTGCTTGATAGCGCCAATGGCTGCTCCACCTGCGTCATATTCGCCCTTTTGGTAGATGCCAGGCATCTCTGCAGTCTCACCACCCACAAGAGCGCATGCCGATTGCCGACAGCCGTTGGCGACACCCTCGACAAATTTTGCTGCGCCCTCGACATCGAGCTTGCTACAAGCGTAGTAATCGAGGAACATGAGTGGTTCCGCTCCCTGTACGACAAGATCATTGACGTTCATGGCAACAAGGTCAATTCCAACCGTATCATGCTTGCCCATTTCAAAAGCAATCTTGACCTTTGTGCCGATTCCATCGATAGCACCCACAAGGATCGGGGCCTCTTTGTATCCAGCTGCCTGTAGGTCGAGCAGCCCGCCGAATCCACCAATCTTGCCATCGGCTCCAGGTCGCTTTGTGCTGGCAGTCAGCGCCTTGATCTGCTTGACGAGTTCGTTGCCTGCATCAATGCTAACACCAGAGGATGCATATGTCAATGCCTCACCGGCTGGCTGTGGTGTCTTGGTAGGACGAGTGACGACAGTGCCTTCTTCTGCTATCTCAAGGAGCTTCCAATCGCACTTTATGCCCTCTTTTTCGAACTCTTGCAAAAGGTGTTCTGCAATCTTGTCAAAGTTTTCTGTTGCAAGAGCCAGTATTGTCGGGCCAGCACCTGAGAGGCAGATGCCCAACAGTCCGGGATGCGATTGCGGCGTGACAGATTGGAGGATCTGGGTAAGTCCAGGGATCAAGCCACTCCGGTATGGCTGGTGGAGCTTGTCTTGCATGGCTGTGTAGATCATGTCAGGGTCAGGTGTGGCTTGACCGAGGGCAGTCGTCAAGACAGCCAGGCGCTGCATGTTAAAGATGGCATCTTTCCTTGAATATGAATCCGGCAATACGGCGCGTGCCTTTGCCGTGGACACTTCGAATTGTGGAACTATGCATACACACTTGATGGCGGGCGACCAGTTGAACTTGGTGTAGTGTCCAATGTTCAGAGGAGGCTCGGGCGGGCGGAGGCCGGTATCTACGCCTCCTGCGGGCTGGGGCAAGACTTCGCTAAGCGGGATCTCAAGGCGCTCCGTGTCTTCGGGCGAGAGTTCGTTTAGATAAGTGCCGACAAAACCTCCATAGAGCGCTGCCGCGACGTTATCGGGGTGTCGTTCTTCCATCAGGCAATAGTCGAGCATGCGCGCTCTTGACAGGTTGAGATTGCCCACTTCGTTGGCCAAATGCACACCTGCCACAATGGCTGCAGCTGAGGAACCCAGGCCTCGCCCTAGGGGTATGGGGTTCTTGACATGTACGTGTGTCTCGGGGGGAAACTCGCGGACGCCATGGCAACGAAGGACGTATACGGCTGTTCGTGTGATGAGATTGTCCTGCGCATTGAGGGGGACATCTTCGGCGCCTACGCCTTCATATGTTACTTTGCAATTGAGCGCATGTTCAGACTTGTCTTTTTTGGTGACGATGACCTCGAGTTCGAGGTAAAGGTTGAGCGCAAGACCGATAACGTCGAAGCCGGGGCCAATGTTGGCTGACGAGCAGGGCACCTTGATCAAAGTAGTCATTCTGGGCCAGAAAGCGCCTGAGGCTTGACGTGGATTTCTTGGATGAGCCACGCAAAAAAAAAGTTGGGCTCACACCTGAGAGATGAAAAAGATGGCGCGGGGCTCCGACGCCGATGCCGACGCCGGCCGCGCGGGGTACCTCCGGCTGCGCACCGCCACACTCAACTCCAGCCTCACCTCATGTGTGAGCCCCCCTGTGACCACACTCCAGATTCAATATCTCACATCTAACATCTCTCACGACTATCTTGTCTTTGGTTTCTGCCTCGTAGCAATCCCCAGTCTGTATAGTCTCTTTTAGTCCTAGGCGTCAGCCCTTTTTGCGGCGATCAATAACCCTATGGCGTCACGCATGTGGCGCCAGGCATCAACATCGACAGCCTGGTCCGACAGGATGCATAGAAAGGCGGACAGCGCATTATGACTGCCTTGCGTTGGAGGTGAATTCGGACTAGCGTCTCCTATTACAGTCATACAGCTGTGGCTCTCTGATAGGTCTGTCCCGTCACAATGTGCAGCAAGGAGGCCTCCAATTGATAGGCAGCACCGCAGCCTCACCGGTGAGATGAGTTATACTTGGCTTATGCAAAGTACTTCAAGCTGGCCTTGCAGCTTCATCGACCTCTCTCTCACTCACCTTTTCCATCAATTGAGCGCCCCCCATCGAAGTAAAGGGTTTCCCTGGGCCACCTCATAACCTCTTTACGAGTAGTCGGCTTGAACCCGCAACCCTTCAACATCTCCAACTGTCGCTCAAAAAGCAAACGGCTCTATGGAGTTGGACAAAGGGATATTCGAGCGCCAGCAATGGAGGCGAGAATCGCGGGATAGAGGTCACCGAGACCGATCGCCATCACTCTCATCCACGTCTTCGGGTGACGATGAGCCCAAGCTGAACGGCATTAAACACATTCTGGTCAATGGCAAGAGCAAGCCTAATGGCGTGGCCAAAGAGAAGAGCGAAGAGGATGACGAGCCTTGCGAGCCAGGAATGAAGAATGGCCTCAAGCACTTTTATTCTGGCAAAGAAGACAAGAAAGGGCGCTTTCAATGGCAGGAAGAGATTCCTGAGGATGTGGGCGACCCTGCTGAGAACGAGAAAACTGCGAAATGGGCACTTCTGGTGCGAAACGTCAAAGTCTACAACGACCCGCGCCGCGTGTTGTCCATGCACTCAATTGTCGTGCAGAGTCCACTCCTGAAGAAACTCCTTGTCAAGGTGCTGAAGGGCTACCCTGGAGTGACTGTTGGTCTCAATCGTCTTGAATTTACTGGAAAATTTGAACCCCTCATCCATCGCTGGTAAGATAGTCTCCTGTACTCTTTGGCTCATTGTAGAACATCCTCAAGCTAACACATGTACAGGGCCGAATTGCAGGGCGCCATTGCCAAGCTCAGCGACGCAACAGAAGAGCAGCGCACAACAAAAGCACATGCAGAGCTTCTGCAGGGTATCCTAACAAAAGAATTCAAGAACATGATCGACACTTCACAAGACATGAAGAGCAAACGAGTCATGACTTTCGAAAATCTTTGGACACTTTTCCAGCCAGGATCGGTTGTGTTCGCCCGACAAGACGGCCAGGAAACAGCACTGTCCTTAGTAGAGACGCGCTATGGTCAAGACTGTAATGGCATACCTTGCTTCTGGGCAACTTGCAAGTACGTGGACTGGGACGGCGCCAAGTTTGGAACCAATAAGATCAACTTGTCCATTTCAATTTATACCGGAACACGCGCTATCACTTCCCTTCGCGTTTATCCCATCGAGTTTCATCCTGAAGGCGACGCTATCCGCACTCGCCTTATTGAGCGCGGGGCCAAAATTGAGGAGCTCGCTGGTGCTAATTATCGAGCTTACCAGGGCGTCGCTTGGAGGAAGGGCCAGTTCGGCACAAAGGACAAGTACAATGTCAAAGGTCGGATTGTGATCGATACATACGGCTGGAATCGGTTCAACCCGACGCAATCGATCTTTGTTGCTCCACTCAACCAGAAAGAGCCTGCCGATTCAGCGTCTCGCTGCAATGGAGACGGATACGATTCTGAGAACGAGCAAGAAGAGGAGGAAGACGATGATCTCGACGGAGATGACAGCGGAATGCCGATAGATGGCGCTTTTGCGGACGAAGACGATGTGGCAAAGCATGTACCCTTGACTCCAGAGCAGAAGCTCATTTGCTCGCCTCTGCTGCGCGGGTATAGTCTAAAGAACAAACTTTGGCTGAACTTCTTCGTCAACTGCGTCAAGGATATCGAATGGCAGACTGATGCATTTGATAGGCTAGTGTTGCCCAAGAACCAGAAGGAGCTGATTCTGGGCTTCACTGAGTCCCAACGCAAGTTCCGCGACAGCTTCGACGATGTTATTGAAGGCAAGGGTAAGGGCATGATTGTTCTCCTATGCGGCCCGCCTGGTGTTGGTAAAACTCTCACGAGTGAGTCGGTTGCCGAAGAGATGAAGGTCCCACTCTATATGATGAGCGCTGGAGATCTCGGCTTCGACCCTCGAAGGCTGGAGAGCAATCTGCAAGACATTCTTGAGATGTGTAGTCGCTGGAACGCTGTTCTCTTGCTCGACGAGGCGGATGTCTTCCTAGAACAGCGTTCGCTTCACGAGCTCGAGCGCAACAAGTTAGTCTCCATCTTCCTTCGCGTCTTGGAGTACTACGAGGGTACGATGTTTCTTACCACCAACCGCGTCCAAACATTTGATCCAGCTTTCCAGTCACGTATCCACATTTCACTCGACTACCCTGGTCTTACTGTGGAATCACGCAAGACTGTATGGAAAAACTTTTTGGACTCTTCCTCGCAAGAACACATCATCTCCAAGTCTCAACTCATGGATCTTGCGCGCATGGATCTGAACGGTCGTCAAGTCAAAAACATCCTCAAGATAGCTAGGCTACTTGCAAGTCGCAAAGACGAAAAGCTCAGTTACGACCACATCATCACTACAATGGATGTCACTCAACATCTTCACAACGAGACCCAATTTAGTGAGCGCACTAAGGGTACCTTGTATGGCTGAATGACACTGTGAATGTCATAGATCGATCACATGACGACTTGATGGCTACATGTAGCTTCGATTGGACAGTTGGGTGGCGCTGACAAACTTTCTAGAGTCTATGTGCGGGTAGAAGTTATGAGATTTTGTTTTCGATGATGCGCAATGGCTCCTGATTTTAAGTTCTGGTACTCATGTCAAATCCTTTTACTCTCAATGGTTGATTTCAGCTTCACATGACGTGACACTATGGTACAAATTCATTTTACTCATTCACTTTTCCGTATTTGCCTTATTTTTACCAAGATCACTCACTTCCCATAATCTCCATAAAAAGACTTGTCTAGACTCATCATTTTCAAAAAAAAACAGTGTGCTAAACCTCGTTGATCTTTCTATCTCGCGCCAAACCATTCGGTTTCAATGTGCGACGCTCTTGCGAGCGGGTGAGGCTACTATACGAGCTCTGAAAGTGCTTAGACGTTGTCGAGAAAGTGAGCATACAATCTAACACCATAAGTCTCACCCTTTCGTAATAACCTTCCACAGCACTATCTCACCACAGGTTGTTGAGTAGTCGCACTAGGTCAATCACTCAGCCGTTTGTGCACTCTCCGACATGAGCGACCAGGCTGCACACGGTAGATCCATGCCCAATCAACCAAACCGCAAAGTTGATGACGAGACTGCTCATGGAACTAACCCTGAGGTGAATGCTTTCCATGGCCCATTCCAAGCCGAACAATATCAAGCGGATGCGTACTTTGGGCAAAGCGGTAGCACAGGCACATATATGGTAAGCTGCGGATATCTGCAATATTTCATTGCAGTTGATCTAACTCTACGCAGTTCGGCTCTGGCGACAACGGAAGTCAGCCCGCATACTACCCAGATCCTAGAGCGCCCATGGTGCCCAGCGTACACAATGCACATATACAGGAGCAAAATTTATCTCGGGTACCTTTATGAGCTAGACCACAGATTTTCAAGCAAACAAAACTGATAGAAGGACAGGGAAGCAACGGAATACTCACCATGTCTGCCCAAAAGCCCTTTTCACCGGAAATACACTACGGGCTTCCATATCCTCTTTCGAACCAAAACACATTCACACACCAACCTGGGCTGAATCACAACATACCATCGAGTTTCGCCCAGTACTCGCCACATATGAACCCAGGATATCCAGATCCCGCAAACCAACCACCTTTGAACAAACCGTGGCCTCAGTCCGCGCCCTCGCGCTCCCAGCCGTCCATCCCATTCTGGGGCTACCACTTTCAAAGCTTCGGGCAAGTAAACTCACACCTGAGCGAAGTATCCTGGTTCCCCTCCATGGGCCGCTACGGTTTCCCACAAACAAGCGATCAATACAGAGTCTACCTTGAAAGAATCTGTCTCGCCCTCCGTAACATCTCCAAAGTCTGGGATATGCAAAGCGCACACTGGCAGTTCAGTAAATTCACGCCAAACGGCGAATGGACGGACTCCCGCGACGTCGAGGCCATAGCACACACCATTGTATACACGGCAATGCGCATACACGCCTCAGGCGTGACCGACTTCGCCCACCGACGCTCCATCGACTTGATGTCGCTCAACAGCGAAGATGTAGACTTCACATTCCCACAACGCATGCACTTCATCGCGTGTCTGCTCAACCACTCCAAAGCCATCGCCGCAGAAGTCATGGCGCGAGTGAATATCGAAAAGTACGTCGCGCTGCCCATCACATGCCTGCGCTCATTCCCCTACTTCAACGAGAAGTGGCTCGAGCTCTCGCCCGAAGAAAAGAGGACCTGGACAGAAATCAAGCCGTACTTGGGGTCCGGATTCACGCATCCATCGCCAGAGGTTCGCGAGCAATTGGCGGCTATGTCGCTGGCGCGGTACACACAACTGTATGGTGCGAGGCAGGCGCGCGAGGCCGCTGCTAGTGCGATGATAATGGGAAATCAAAGGATAGCACAGCCGCCTGTGCAGCAGGATGCTGGTGGGCAGCGTAGGTACTCGACGGCTGCGAGTCCGCAGACCCAGGGTAGTCCGTGTAATTCTGTTGCGGGGGGCAGTCAGGCATGCGGGCAACCGCCTACTCGTCTTGCGATGTCGGGGAGTAACGAGCATTTGCGGAATGTTGCGAGATATCGGGCCCAGAGCTTTGGGGATGGAGGGCTCCACTCGCCGGATTTGCCGGAAATGCAATAGGCATGTGTGCTTTGGGTTTGATTGAAGCGTTGGATTGATAGCATTGAGGTATGATCACTTACTGGTCCCTCTTGATTGCGGTTGCATATATGAACTTGGCAGCGCTGGGTTACTGGGGCGGCTGCCATATACGTATATACAACAAAGCGTTTCTTACATATATTTAAGATCATTGTCTATTTGCGTGATAATCTGACTGTGAACCAAACTTTATACTAAGCTTCCAGTAGCGCAAAGTATGTATAGCGCTGCATGTAAAAACTCTAGAAGTCATGGGATGCAAGTTATGTTGCTTCGCTCTTTGTTTTCTTAAGCGATGGCGTCGAAAGCGGTAGGTTCTTTGCAAGGGCATCCCTAGTTGGTGCCGGAAAGTATCTAGATCTGCAAGATCACCCTTCTAGATGAGATGTATCTATGTGATATCCATCGTTAGCGTCTTGGGACTTGATCAACTGCTAAGTGTCATGCAGGGTGATGAACTCAGTCCCTGAACACTAATTGGCTGTGCAGTCCTTCTAGAAGAAGGATCAGGGTCGGCCTTACATATGTGGGGATGCGCCAACCTGTTGTTGGCTTTCCGACAAGATTTCCGGGTGCATCTGGGGGGTTGATAGCTGTGACTATGTGAGATCTGGGTAGCCAATGAGACGGCAGGTAATGGTGAGGTGAGTGTGAAAGGCGCCTTCCTCAGTCTTGCCCACCAAATTATCAGCACCTCACGCTCCAAGAACCCCACCTACTTTCAAAATTCAGTCGCAAACTCGTATACATACATCCTAGGTACCTCGAGCGGTCGGAGTATTGTCGCCGTTGACAATAATTGCACGCAGCCAGTGTCGCATCACTGATACCGAACGACATTGGTTCTATCGTCAATGCGACCTTGCTCCTCCGTCGTCCCCGCCTATCATAGATGACGTCGTCGCAAGGACTATTGGTATCTCAGAGGCAAGACAAATTACACAGTACGGCAATAACTCCACAGAATTGTACCTTACCTGGCTTCATGCCGAACATGGTACCGCACGTTTCAGGCACATCTGGGGCAAACGTAGCCAACACAAAGACTCACGTTCCAGAACCGACACTTCAAGAACATGATTCAACCTCTGGAACGGCTCTTCTTCACTCTTATCCTTCTGGTGACGCTCACTCGATTCCAGCTCCGTATGGCAGCGCACCGCCTCACCGCGTAGAATCCTCACCCTCACCCGTCATGGCCCACAATACGCCTGGACTCAGCTCTTGTATGACAGAAAGTAACGGAGCTTCACATGCAGGCAAGACACCGAGTGGTAGCCAACCTGCTCTTTCGCAGCATGTGACAACTCACCCACCAGCTGGGAAGACGATACAGGTCGCGCCGGTTCCGTCAAAAGCCTCAGACGTGAAATTCAGTCGACTTCCGTCAAGCAATATTCCAAGAAAAGCACCACTGCGAGGTAATTCAGGTCCATCAAAATCGCCATCCCAAGACACAAGTCGGAAGATTTCGAGGCCCAGACAAAAGCAGCCGAAGAGCGGACAAGAAGAGTCTACCGACACTGCAGCACCAACACAAAAGCGTCGCCAAGTCCCGACTGAAAAATCCCAGGGCACTAAGAGACAGAGTCCGGTGGTGCTGATTAGGGCGGGCAGGAGTGGAAAGGGGACGAAAAAAGATGATAATCAAGAGAGCAGGAACGATCAGAAAGAAGAGGGGGCGTTGAGAAAGAAGAGAAAGTGCAATGAGAACGAGAATGACGCCAACAGCACTACTGCATCTGGCAAGATAACTCATGAAGGAAGGAAAGTAACAAAAAACTTCCTCCAAGGAACAAAAATAGCCCGATCAACCTACGTACCTTCATCCCTCCTTCCAAACCGCACTATCAGGCGACGTCCAATGTACGACTACGACGTACCTCTCGAACTAGAAGGTATACGTCGAGCTCTCGGTAAGAACCAATCACCTCCATCGCCTTACCTTCCACAAACATAAGCTAACCCATATTCTTTTTTTTTCTCCCTCGCCAGGTCCCGACGACTGGAACGAATACGTCTACCTCATGGAATCCCTCTGGCTCAACAAAGTCACAGCCCACGAATTCGAACAAGGCGCTAAACCGCTGTTTCAGCTTCACCTCGACGGTATGCGCAAGAGGATGAATAGCGTCATGGTGGTCAAGATGATAATGCCGCGACTGGAGCAGGTACGGGAGGAGCTGATGGCCATGTCGAGCGGTTAAGTGAAGTCAAGGGGAAGAGAAGGGGGGGTGGGGGTGGTGATTGTGGTGGGAAGAGGTGGGCTGGGGTGTACAGTAGATGCAGGGCTGCCCCGTTGAGATCGCTGTGTAACCCCGCGCGCTTGCGCGTCCTGGCTGGCGGAACCGAGTTCATCGAGGAAGGTACCTGGATGTACTTTTTGTAAGGGTGGTTGGAGGTTGTACCGGGGTAGTACCGGGGTTTATTTTTCGGGCATGCCGACAACGTGGAACTAATGATGCGGGTGATGGTACTTGGGTTCTTTTTTAATTGTCTTTGCTTGTGCAAAGATGGATACGGTAGTGTTTTCTTTCCTGAGCATTCATCTGAGCGGATTGCACTGGAAGAGCTCGTGTAGTGGATTCTTTTCCACAAGATGAAGGTTATTTGCAAGAGGCAGGTTATATGAGAACATTGATATAGGAAAGAAAGAGGGTTGAGGCAGATAGACGGGAATCATGACCTCCGTGTTAGATGCACATCGTCTTGCTTAGCCTCCGCCAAAACCTACATATACCATGTATTTGTAGGTGTCACGAGGAAGCTAGCCCGGGGTTATCATGTCGACGAGCTTGGATAAGAATAGAAAGTATATCTTTTTATTTTCTCTCATTTCCGGCTGTTCGGATCGGAGTATCACGGTGTCACAGGATGGATCGTGTGCATGTAAATAGTCTTTTTCCTAGCGTCATTACTAGACATTATTGAGCTGCAAAAAGCCCTAGATCACCCTACAGTCACCGGCTACTGCACCTGCGGATGCGGCTCTTTGTAGTGGAAAAAGGGTCTAGAATCTAATTCTGGTAATAACTTCGTACCGACTACCGATACCACGAGCCGATTGCCCATGTGGGTTCTATGTCAAGTGCCGTGCGATCCGTATAGACTTTGTTCCGAGGAAGGTCGATAAAGTCGGCTGACGGGTCTCGACGCACTAGCATGAGGGGAACTCTCGAGCGAAACGATCAAGAGGAACTACCAAGAGAAGCTATCGAGAGGCAAGGATCTTGGGAGTCAAGCTTGTGTGCGGCTATCTGCTAGGAATCGAGATAGCTGTGAGATAACGTCCCAGTTGGGTAATCCGAAGGCCGCCGTTGGGTCCCCGGAGCTGTGGGGTAGCATCGGGGTAGCTAGCACCGGCCAGCGCGCAACCTCGAGATCCGCTTGAGCAAGGCATCTCGTACTTGATTTCAAAAATCCGTACTAGCGCGCGGTTAGGCAGAGTCCGGCAGGCGCTTCCAGAATGCCCGGCGGATAGCATATTCTGGTGCGAACAAGGTAGTATGGTTCTACGTAATAGAATGTTCGCAGGTGAGATGCAACAGGTTGTACGGTGGTTTTCATGCGAGACGGGGCTGCATTACTTGGATCAGCATGTGCTGCCGTCCTGACATGCATCAGTACCGCAGCCGTTGGATTGTTAAGCGGCCGTATTGTAACCTGTTTTTTCATCGTACGTTTTCAGATTGCGAAACACAACTGGGGTTGCATTGCCGAGCACGTGAGCAAATGTTTTTCTCCACATGACCCGATGCTGGGAAAAGAGCTGGGGAAAAGCCCGGAGGTGTCCCCACAGCAAACGTGCGTGTGTGTCCGTGCAAAGCAACATATCTCGGGGCTATTGGTCCGGAAAGGCAGACGGTCTCAAGCTTTTGCCGTCGTCTTGATTGTTGGGACAAGAGGAATCAAGGTGCCCAAGCTGTCGCCGCGCGTACGCCATCTCTCTAGCTCGCTCGTCTTGTCGTGGCGGTAAGCGACGCCTCTTTTGCGCCCGTGTACTTAGCCATGTGCATCTTTTGCAAACTCTCCATAAGCGCATTGTCACCGATAGAGAGGTGGCGGCTGGCGGACGGCGGACGGCGGGTATCGCGCGATACAGTACGATCGTGAGCTGATGTTTCAGCAACGCAAATGGCGGCTAAAGTGCTCGTTGGCATGCCCAAGTACAGTCAAGTACATACATGGAGGTGTGGGATCGGAGTGGTAGCATGTACCCTGCTGCCTGCCTGCTCACTCCCCAGCGGTCGCTAAAGTATGTGCCGAGCAACTAGCGGGTGACGGGTGAGGCAAGTAAGGTGGTGATCGTGCCGCTAAGCATGTCGTTCCAACAAGCCCACTCCCGCTCCCGACAAGCCTCAGCCAATATGGCACCAAGCTCGCCGCGAGGGTGCCTTAATTCTTGGGCGTGGAGCAAGTGCTGTCCCCGGGTACTGGCATCGCGTGTCGTGTACGTGAAGCATCAGTCGGGATGCCCATGTCCTGCCTGTATGGACATGTGTAAGCTTACCGCAAGGCAAGATGAGGTCGCATTGTGGCGTGCCCCAGGTACGGAGGGAGGCTGGCAGGCGGTCGAGGGTGAGGTCATGGACATCGGGAGAGGCGATGATGCATGTGCATGTGCGTGAGGTGGGCGCCAAGCCGTTGTAGACCAAGCGTGTGGCGGCCATTAGCCTGCCGAAGCTTACTCCATGGGGTCTTTCTGTGGAGATCCCCATGAACAATAGACCTAGCGTCACCCTCACCCCTCACCCGCCTCGTCATGGCATCTCGTTGGTCAGGCTCCCATCAGGCTTCCGCGGTGTTGGCCCTTCTCCATATGCAAGTTCCAGTGAATGCTCTTAGCGCATCTCAGCTTTCGTTTTTTTCGAGCCTGTTACATGTGCGGTGTACCGTTGGAGGCTCCACTTTTGGGCCTCCCTCTCACTCTTTCTTGCCTCGTTCAGATATAAGATCGGCTCCCTCGACTCACCCCACCTTTTTTCTTTTCAACTTCTCTCCCTGCACATGTTCGTGTAGTTGGTTCCTCCTAATCCGTCATCCTGCACAAGTCCGCCACCATGGACGGAAAGAACAACGAGCCTGCCGCTCACGTCGAGAAGGAAGCCTCCTCCATCCCGGAAAAGGAGATAGCCACTGATCCTGAGAAGGAGGCCATCTACACTTCTGGCGCCGAGCACATTGCTGATACCACTGCTCGTCGCTCGTCTGTTGCTCACAATCTCGTCGAGAACCCATTGACGCGCCAGACCAGGGAGGAGTGCGTCTACGCTGCCGAGGAATGGGCTAAGAAGCATGGCCTCGACGAGCACGCCACCCTGTTTGGCAAAGCGGCCCTTGTTGCCCGCGACCCTGAGCGCTTTGAAATGATCAGCCAGCTCGACGACACCGAGCGAAATGCTCTCATCTACGAGCGCGACCACAAGTGGCACGGCCCCAAGATGTTGTGGTACTCGATCGGTTTGTGTGCTATCGGAGCCGCCACTCAAGGCTGGGATCAAACTGGTTCAAACGGTGCCAACTTGTCTTTCCCAGAGGAGTTTGGTCTGAATAAGCGAGGTGCTTATGGCGAGTGGATTGTTGGTCTTATCAATGCCATCATCTTCCTCACTGCTGGTCTCATTGGCGCTTTCATCGTCGACCCGCTCAACAAGTACCTAGGCCGCAGAGGTGAGATCTTCGTGACCGCCGTCTGTCTTACCGCTACTCCCATTGGCTCTGCTTGTGCACAATCATGGGAGGGACTGTTCATTGCTCGCTTCATCATGGGTATCGGTATCGGTGCGAAGAATGCTACTGTTCCCATCTACTCCGCTGAGATGGCTCCACACCGAATTCGAGGCGCCTTGGTCATGTTTTGGCAACTTTGGGTCGTCATTGGTAAGGAAAAAACTTGTTGTTTTCAAATCGAATCGTCTCTAATCATTCTATATAGGTATCTTCCTCGGTTTCTGTGCCAACGTCATTGTCAAAGATACTGGTAGAATCTCATGGCGCCTTCAACTTGGCTCGGCATTCATTCCTTCTTTTATTCTGATGATTGGCATCTACTTTTGCCCAGAGTACGTATTAGCTATTTTTTTGGTTTATATAGGAAAATGCTTACATATCTTCAGATCTCCTCGTTGGCTCATGAAGCACGGAAAGGTCGCCAAAGGATTCGAATCAATGAACAAACTGCGAGCGCATCCCATCATCGCCGCACGCGATTACTACTACTCATATGTCATCTACGAGACCGAACTGGCCGTTGCACGTGGAGCTGGCTACTTCGACCGCATGTGGGACTGCTTCCGTGTGCCCAGGATCAGGCGTGCCAACTATGGTGCTTCTACCGTTATGATTGCGCAACAAATGTGCGGTATTAACATCATTTCTTTCTACAGCTCGACAATCTTCAGCCAAGCGGGTTACAGCACCGATCAAGCTTTGTATGCATCTCTCGGCTACGGCGCTATCCAGGTCGTCTTTACCATTCCGACTCTGTTTCTCATTGATACAAAGGGCCGTAGGACCCTTTGTATGTGGGTAAGTCGCGAAAGATTTCCTCTCATGGTTTTCCGTTACTGACTGGATTTCATAGACTTTCCCTTTTATGTGCATTTTCTTGCTAGCAGCCGGTCTGTCCCTGCTCCAACCCGATACCGCCAGCAAAGCCGCACAAGTCGGACCCGTCGTCCTGTTTGTCTATCTTTTCACAATCATGTACTCTCTCGGAGAAGGACCAGTCGCATTCCAGTACTCTGCCGAAGTTTTCCCCACGATCCAGCGTGAGCAGGGAATGGCCTGGGCTGTATGCATCAACAACACCTTCGCCGGTGTCCTGTCTCTCACCTTCCCCCGCATGGTGTCAGTCATGTCACAGACGGGTGCCTTTGGCTTCTACGCCGGTCTGAATCTGATTGCCTGGGGCATGATCTTCTGCTTTGTCCGCGAGACCAAGCAGCTTACCCTCGAAGAATTGGACCAGGTCTTCAGCGTACCCACCAAGACATATCTTCACTACCAGATTTCGGAACAGGTGCCTTACTTCATCAAGCGCACTCTTCTTCGCCAGAAGATTCCTGAGCCTCCGCCAATCATCGAGAAGAGCTACAACACCGACGCTGTTCCAACAGCCTAGACTTGTTTTTCTCTACAACTGTGAGAGTAGTGCAAGTTTTGACCGCATGTTTGAGGTCTTGTCCCTCTATGTGGAATGAAAACCGTAATATAGTTTCATGTAGTTTTACCGCTACTGAAGTAATGTGAATGAATACCCAAATCAACTCTTTATGAAAATTTGAAGATCATCCGCTTGATTTTTGACTGAATCGTGCATTTCGTATGAGAAAGACAAAGACATTGCTAACTTTTTTTTCTTCCTTCAAATGGACAATCAGACAAACCGGAAACCTTGGTCTGCTCTCCCATTCTTTTCTTGATATCCGATTCCAACATGTTGAGGGTGCGCAGCCTACTATTTGTTTTTCCGGGGAGAAAAACAATCTGATACGCTATACGCCAAACAGATACAAACAGCCAAGTCATACTAACCCCCCCAAAACAGCAATAATTACCAACGCATCTCTCTTTTTGTCTTCAACACACACACACATGTCAAAAGGATGATAATAACCATATGTACACACGTATAAATTTTTGCTATATAAACGGGATATCACAAGCTAAATCCACAAAATCATATGGCAGAGCAAACACGTAAACAGATTTCCTTCTCTTCTCTCCTTCCTCACCCCCCTTGCAGATTCATATCAAAATCAGCTCAGTTATCGTCGTCACACCTTTGCATACCCCCCCTCTTTCATTTTTTAGAAAGTTGTATAGCTAACACTATTGCTGAGAGGATAGAACTGTAGAGTCTTTCTTAGAGAAGTTCTTGATCATCAAACCGATGACTCTCCACTATCGCTATCCATGCTATTTGCCCGGTCCATGCTCTGCTGGCTCCTATTGTCATTAACAGATGTGCTTTCCTTGCGGACACCAGCATTAATCGGAGCACTGGGTACAGAGTTATTCCTATTGTTGTTGCTATTGTTCGCATTGGTATTCATATTGGTGCTGGTATTGATATTCGGATTAGGATTCGCGTTATTGTTCATGTTCGTATTCACGTGACCATGCATGTTGGGGGTTGGCGCCGAACCTGCCATATTCCCGTTAACTGGGTTCCCATGCATGTTCATGCTCGGGCCGTGCATGCTGGGTCCGGTCATATTCGGGTGTATGACGTTTCTGTTCACAGTGACTGGACGCGTGCCGGGGATGGTGTAGCCCATTGGAGGGTCTATCCAGCCACCGTTCTCGTCAATGGCGGGCCAATAGCGCTCTGCTAGCCAGCATATCTGCCGGAAGAGTTCTTCGCAGCGGACCATTTCTTCCTTGCCATCTCGTGTAGTTGTGATGTTGGCTAGCTCGTCGACGAGTGCGCGTGTTGCGTCGAGGAACTTGTATGCGGGGGGCGAGGTCCAATTCGGTATGAGGACTTGGTGTAGTGCGGCAATGTGAGAATCACTGATGGACGTGGGTAGGGAGCTTGAGAAGGTTGATGCATATTGCCAAGCGGCACGATAGGCCTGTGGGGTGTCAGTTCTGTACGCCTTGATCTCACTGCATATCGTTACGTACTTGCTCAGTTCCCCAAAGCACAACCATTCCCTCCAAAAGAGACGCGCTTGAGCTACTGGCACTGATCAGGAGATCCAGTAATCCGCGGGTAACGGGCGTAGGCAGTTCGGTGCCCAGAGACAGCCCGTACTTTGTTGCAGTAATCTCCGAAAACTGAATCTCCCGTCGCATGTTGTTCAAAGCGGAGATCAGGAGGTCCATGGTACGATACATGGGGTGGAACTGCGAGTTCGGTGTCTGCGGTAACCTAATTTTGGCCAGCAACTGACCTGCAAAGCGTATGAATCCACGCGCATAGTGCCCGTCTTGCACCAGCCACCATGACAGAGGCTCCGCTGTTAGGGATCCGCAGCCAGCATGCGACAAGAAGGGTCGTTGGCTTGCCTGCCTGAGAGGGCCAGCGCAGACGTTGAGTAGATGCGCGGTCAGAGAAGGCATGACCGTTGGCACCGGTACAGTTTTCGGCGCAATAATGGGCTGGGTATCGCGGGCGCGCTTGCTAGTATTGGGACCCCGCCGTTGGACCTGTAGGTTTGGATTGGGCTGTTGGCCGTTGAAGATTTGACTCGAGCCAGCAGCCATGTTTGACTCAGCTGGAGTTCCATCCTGCTGTTGCTGCTGCGCGAGGAGGTGGGCTTGCGCGTCCGACGAGGCAAGGTATGCCTGGCATTCCTGTAGATGTTCGATCTGGCGCGTCGTGTTTTTTGCGCGAACGTAGCCGCAATGGCGACAACGGACCTTGTTGCATTTGGAGGGCGTTTCCTGGTCCTGGAATTCAGCAAAGGCACGCCGGATGTCGGGGTTGGCATGTCTGCCCATGACGGCCTGCCATTGTGGAGGTTAGCTGATGGCGGCGAGTTTGTTTCTTTTGCGACGGACAGGCGGGCAGTAAATGACGAGTCGCATGCGGACGAACAAGGCAATGGGACAGGTTGACACAAGCGAAAGTATGTCTGTATGCGGGACAAGTGGAGCTCACCTCAAATCGGCTGTCGCGAAGGGATGTTTGTACTGTACTGTACGTTACCGTGACGGTGTATTGTAACAATGGCGGTATGGTATCGCCACCCTCCTAAGGTTGCTGAGAAACGCACAGCGTCCTTACCTCAGCGCGCCGCTCAACCTGCCCTGGCCTTACACCCGCCACTTCGTCCGTCCTTATTCCCTCGCACACATTATACCTCAAGCTGCATCATGGGCTGGCGAAAGCCGCATTGCAGCTGAGTGAATGCACAGAGGGACTGCATTACCTGCAGATTTGACCCTATTCCAATTATGTGTTTTTCAGTGACAGGCGCATCGTCGCTGCGGTGGACGTGGGTACTTTTGTAACCACTTCTGCGTTCTGTTCGGTAACTTGGATCGGAAATATATCCGCCGGTCGTTCCGATCGGTCCTGCTCTGGGTAAACCTCTCCCACTCGGACAAGTCGGCATTGCCGTATATGCCTACAACGCGGCATCATACATACTCTACCAAAACAACCTCCATACCGGCAACATGTAAAGGACGAAGGGAAATTATGCAGCAAAGAAATGAGTCAGTGGAATGCTTCCCGATCTTACGAGCGTGGCGAGTCTTCTCTAGCACCAGCACACGTCACGTGTACGTCGGAAAGGCACAGCCGACGTGAAAACACCTCACCACCAGAGTCATGCTACCGCGTCTTTGTCAAGATACCATCACTACCGCTTCACCAAGAATGCTCACCGACATGTCGGACACCGTCAACCAGATTTCAACACACCACGTTCTCGCGCTACCCCACAAACCCACAAACGCAACCGGGTATTGGGACTTTGCCTTGCCCCAGTGCAGCAACGCCTTTCACTTGCGCATCTCCATCGTCGGTGTATGTGCAAGACAATGTGATCAATGACGCCAGGATTCTTCTCCTAGCTCTGACCAAGGGAGAGGTATAGTGGTAGGGATAGCGGTAGGCACATCACGGTCGGATATGCCAAGCACGAGAAACCTCGGCCTAGCATGACACTGCGTGAAAGGGTGCGCGCCCGCTAAGCAGGCGTGAAAAGACTTTCGCGGTCACAGGCTCACGGGGATGACGCGCTGCTTGGTCTAACTCCGACGGACGGCAGCGCTAGAACAGTTGTCGTGCATCTCCCCGCATATCTGTACCAAGCTTTGGAGATCTCGCGCCGTCGCACGTTCATTCCCGCCGAACCAGAACATGCCAGAGATGACGGTAGGCAAGCTGCATGTACATGTACGTCCGGTGTTTGGAAAGGGGTTCTCGTGACATGCAAGAAGAAAGGGTTGGCAATTCAGGATTAACAAGGCAAATGCTAAGGCCAAAGTGACGTCGCGGAAGCACTCCTCGTTGTGGCTGTTCTGGTGCAACCAACTACTACCATGCACTTCTTTATCCGACATCCTAGGCGGCTCAGAGGCAAACACCACAAAACGCAGTTCACACCCCAATGCGGGAACGATCAGTCTTCACGGGGCGTCTTGAATCAGACAATGCTACCATGCTTACTTAATGTCCCCTTGCTGTAAGGACTGGAGGCCTCGCAGATCTTTGGCTCGGTAGAAAGGGTATTTACTGTTTGGGCTCCCGTGCTTTGCAGATCATGAGGGCAAGGAGGCGCCCAAGTGCAAGGAGAAGGCCATGCTTTGTTCTTTTCCCCGGAACGCTGACTGTGGCATGCAGGGAGCGGTGCATGATATTGCAGCAGTCCTAACGGTGAATAGGCTCGGTGACATGTCTTCGGTACAAATTCCGAGTTCAAAGTACGGTACCAGAGTCTCACGCGACTATGTACAGTAGGTACAACTGCTGTAGTGCCGGTTTACTACCATGTACTACTACTACGACTACCACTACTTCACCAGGCCAAGCAGTCCGCCACTCGGCTTCAGCATTGCACCAACGCTCTTTGCGCCTTCTTGGAAGCTTCTCGGCAGCTTGACTGTAACCCGTGAGCACCACGTCGGCATCTAAGTGGCTGCGGCTCGCCGATCCCCACATCATCGCCATTACACCCGCGGCCAATCAGCACCATGTACCTGAGGTCCACCTACAACCCTCTGCCAAGTGTGGCTCTGTCGCCTTACCTCCTGATTGCACATGACCCCAGATCTTACGCTTCTTGTTAATCATGGCCGAGGCTTAGGGGACCCGATTTTTGCGCAGCTTGAATCCACGACAGCTTCCTGCATTGGCTAGTCCGACAGTCGGGCGTGGCTTTCTCACGCTTCTTCTTCCAAGCCCTTGCGTCACCACGTCAGTTGCTAAGCGAGCTTCTACCTCCGAACAAGTAGCGATGTACACATTGCTCCGGCATGGCCAAGTTTCCATTCGCTGGTCAGACTACGGTTAGTCACTTCCCGGACGCCTCGGTCGACACCGCTCTGAAGGCGCCTAGAGTGGCTATTCCCGCTAGCTAGGATAGTTGTCCACCAAGTGAGGATCACCACTACGTCTTGGAGCAGAACCAAACACATGCCTGCTACGTGAGCGTGACTGGAGAGAAAATTGGGGCAAATTGATTGCTGTGTTGGCCTATGCCCAGGTCTTGATGCTGTGGTTTAAAGCCAACTTGATTCCCTGGTCTGGAGGCTTTATTCAACTCGAAACTCAGGCACATCAAGCAAACAACCTTCTTCTATCCTCATCTGTTACAAGTGCCATCTCTTTGAGCCTTCAATTGGTTGAGTAACGCAATCTATCTCATCATGGTCGGACGTTGGACTACTGCGGCGGCCATTGGTCTGCTCGCCATGAGCACAAACGCATCTCCACTGGAATCTGTGAAACGACAATCACAAGGTTACAAAACACCATCATTTGACTTTGGTGGGCAAAAGGTCCGCGGAGTCAACACTGGTGGCTGGTTTGTGCTTGAGCCTTGGATCACTCCCAGCATCTTCGAAGGCAACGGCGCAGTTGATGAATACACACTTGCTGGAGCAATGGGCAGGGACGCGGCAAAATCCATGCTGCAAAACCACTGGAACACATGGTATACACAGGACGACTTCAAGCAGATGGCTGCCGCCGGTCTCAACATGGTCCGAATTCCAATTGGCTGGTGGAGCGTACTTCCACGTGATGACATGCCATACATTGCTGGAGCCTACGACAAGTTTGGCGAAGCCCTTGACTGGGCCGGAGCCGCAGGTCTCAAGGTCATGATCGATCTCCATGGCGCACCCGATTCACAGAACGGCTTCGACAACTCGGGCAAGCGCGGCTCGGTTGGCTGGACTCAAGGTGACTCTGTCGACTACACCAAGAAAGTGCTGAACAAGCTCCGCGACGACCATGCATCACACCCTGCAGTCGCCGCTATCCAGCTCCTAAACGAGCCTCTGGGTCCGGCCCTGGACATGAACACTGTCCGACAATTCTATATGGATGGCTGGGGTAACCTCCGCGACTCTGGTGTTGCTGTCACGTTCCACGATGCCTTCCAAGGCGTGACTTCATGGAACCAGTGGGGTAGTGGCATGTGGAACTTGCTTCTCGACACTCACCACTACGAAATCTTTGACAACTCGGCCGTTGCCATGAGCGTGGACGACCATGTCAAGACTGCTTGCGGCTTTGGTAGGCAGATGGCATCGACTGGCAAGTGGACTATTTCCGGAGAGTGGACGGGTGCCATGACGGACTGCACCAAGTGGTTGAACGGCAAGGACAAGGGCGCGCGTTACGACGGCACTCTTGACGGAAGCTCCAAGGTCGGTAGCTGCGACGGCAAGTATACCGGTACCGTTGGCAATCTTTCGGAAGACTACAAGACGGGCATGCGACGCTACATTGAGGCACAGCTTGATGGTTTCGAGATGGCGAGCGGATGGATTTTCTGGACCTGGAAGACGGAGAGCTCACCTGAGTGGGACATGAAGGCTTTGCTAGCCAACGGTGTCTTCCCACAGCCACTGACCTCGCGAAAGTGTGAGTAAACACGAACCCTAGATTGCCTTTGTTTTGACATTGTATGAGCATGAAGCTGACAGCTACCAGTCCCTGGTCAGTGCAACTAAGCAGTTTGACATTTTAGTAGTGTGCAGTTAGCTTGCTATTCTCTGCTGTTGTTGCACGATGATCTGCACACGAAGCCCACTCTTCGGGCAAAAGAGAGATGTGCACGAGCTGCGCACTGACGAGAGATGATGAGATGACGATGTTACGAATCCCATTCCGCCTCGAAGATACCCCGACGCGTCCGTTCATTTTCCACCTGGGGCCCCACCTTGCAAGCGCAAGCTTTAAAGTACAGAGTTTATCTGGCACACGAATGTCACGGTTTCAGGAGCTGGTTACGAGGAAGTTGTTTCTAGGATATTGGCGCCCCTGCCTTGGGTGTGAGGATGGGCCAAGAGAGCTCTAGTCGGCGCATTGTACATAAGACATGAATTTAGCAGCCTAGTTAGTCGAATTCTAAAGATGAATTGAATCCCAACAAGCATACTGAAACAAGAGCAAATGTCCGTGTCGCAGTGTGGAGTCGCAGCATGGTTGGTTTTGACAGCGATGGCGATTGGAGGGGTCGTCGGGCAGGCGGTGGACGGCGGTAATTTGCGGGCTTATTGTGGCTAGACAAGCACAAGGCCTGGTCGTGGGTGAAGGATGTGATGGGTGGTTATGACGAGTGCAGAGCTCGCTTGTCAGAGATGAGTGAGGATGATGCAAGACGACGGACGGCGCCAAGCGCGATGCTCTCCTTTTTTAGAGGGTGGCCTAAGAGAGGGGCTAGGGGCAGTGCTGGCGGTAGTTTGCATGACTGTTCCTGAGGCTAGCAAAGCTGTCAAATTGCAGGCGGTGAGTGGTCGCGCACAAGGGGGGGAAGCGGCGCGCGCGCATACTTGTAGCTATGTATGAAAGTTCACAGCATGCTATACACACAGACATATCGAATTTGAAGCCTATGGCGAATACGATGTCGATAGCGTAGCCAATTGTGCCATGGCATCCTTGTCGTCGTGGTCAAATGCTTCGCGCGCGTGCGCTCATCTCCCGTGGGCTGGCAGCGTGGTCAACGGGCATGGCGGCGCGGAGCTCCTTTGTTTTCCCTTCAGGCGCCCTTCCGATGCACCACTTCCAGGCCTCAATCTCCAGAAATAGGCCGTGCCAGCAGGGCCAGGCACTTCACCGGTTCCGCCACCAACCCTCCTGGCTGTCTCCAGCACGACCAAGCTGCAATTTCCCAGGGCGCCGCCATTGGCTCCAGGCCCTCAGGTGAGATGCCCTTCAGGCCTAGCGGGCCAGATTCAGGTACCAGGTCAGAGTAGTGCCGGTTTGCACAAAGTTCTGTCCAATCTCCTGTCAGCACTAGCCAATGCCTCTATCCCTGCATAGGACCGTTTGGGGGCCGCTCTCAATAAGAATGCGCATGCCGTGCCGCTTCAGTCGCGTTTCTTCTCTTTCCCTCCCATCCTACAGTATATTACTGCAGCCTTCAGAAGACATTCGTTGCTTCAGCCTTTCTTTAAGAAACTCTCCCACAGTCGTCACTCTTTACCACAATCTTTGCTTTTGTAAAGCTACATAATATTCCCATCGATATCCCAGCGATAATCTAATACCACCACCACCACAACACAACCACCAAAAACCAAAACAATCACAATGTACTCCAAGGCTACCATTGTCTCCATCTTCGCTGGCTTCGCCGCCGCCCAGATCCACCCTGCTGTTGGTGACCCAAAGGGTAACCCCATCACCCGTCCCTTGAACGAGGTATGTTTATTCCACACACTCTCTAAAACAAATAAACAGCAAAACTGACTCATCCCCCCTTCAGATTGTCCCCAAGTGCGAGCCCTTCACCATCACCTGGGAGCCCACCACCCCCAACTCGGTCTCGGTCCTCCTCCTCAAGGGCCCCTCGACCAACGTTGTCAAGTTCGGACCTTCTCTCGCTGAGGGCATCAAGAACAGCGGCAGCCTGACCTGGACCCCCGCCGCTGACCTCCCCGTCACCGAGGCCAACCAGGGCTACGGTCTCCAGATCATCGACGATGTGACCGGCCAGTACCAGTACAGCACCCAGTTCGGCATCTCCGCCGGCAAGTGCGGCTCCGTCGTCTCTTCGTCTGCTGCTCCTTCGGTTGCTCCCTCATCTGCGCCTGCCGCCGGTTACCCTGCCTCGTCGGCGCCTGCCGCCTACCCTGCCTCGTCTGCTCCTGCTGCTGGTTACCCTGCCCACACTCCCGTTGCTCCTTCCTCGGCTGCTTCGGTTGCTCCTTACCCCACCACTCTGGCTTCTGCCCCTGCGGCCGTCGGCACCGGTGGTCTCTACCCCAACGGCACTGTCCCCAAGCCCACTGGCGCTAACAGCACCACTCCTCCTCTCCCTGAGCAGACCACCAACGCCGCTGCTGGCCTCTCTGCTGGCCTCGGCCTCGTCGGTGCTGCTGCCGCCGTCGTTGCCTTCATGCTCTAAGCGTTCTTTTTCTTTTCGCTTTCCCTTTTTTCTTTTCCTTTCAATTGGTGCCTCGAGCTTGCGAAAGATGAGGTTGTTAGTGCTCGCTCACCCCATGTGCTTGTAGACTAGCAAAAGGGAAAAAAATTCTTTGGCTAATGGAATGATCGCTTATACCACTTGTGTTTTCTTGGCTTTTGAGTTCTGGTGGAGGGGCATGAAGGGATGTCGCGACGAATGCGTTGTTGGTTTAGATGATCACGCGCTGTTGTGGATATCGATGGAAATATATTAGCTTTTTTGGGGGCTGATTGTCATTAAACCGTGTGTCTCTTGTCTCCAAATGCATTTGTGAAATATTATAAACTCTACGTCTTATGAGCGTGCATTTGTCAAGTCGGTCGTCGTTGGAAGATGTGCAGTTAAGCCTCGCCAATTTCCTTTTGTGTTCGAGCTCCACAACGCTCCTTGCGCAACTATGACCCCCATGCTTCTTTCCTTTTTTTCGTCTTCTTTTCAGCCGCGCAAAGTCAGCCCAGAATAGTAATGGAAGAAAAAACAAAAAACTCAAGTCGTTTCATCGTCTCTTTCCCCGCATACACACGGTACTCAGTTGGAAAAAAAGAAAGAAAGAAACAAAAAAGTAAGCGTTATCGATCTTTTCCCCCCCCAGAAAAAAAAAGATCCATGGATTCTACTTTCCCACAAGGTGTAGGAATAAAGGGTATCTAACGTATAGCTTGTCTTTCTCTTTACTTTTCTCTCTCTCTCTTTCTCTCTCTCTCTCTCTCCATTTCGTTGTTCGAAGCAAGTACACCAACGCAGTGTAACTTAGTCATGCACCGTCAGGTATCTCCTCCTCTACCACCCCAAACGAATGTAAAACCCGCAACCCCTCCTATCTAACAACAAAGCAACGCGAGAAACAAACAAACAAAAAAAAATCAAGAGCTCAAAGATATGGGTATATACGTAACCAACCAAAAGCAAAAAAAACACCCCCTCCCACGTTTCTATCCATCAGTTCATGATACTTTACTTGTATGCCTCTTTTTTTTTCACTTTGCAAACCTCGATATATAAATCCACTCTCATCATGCACCCTCTAAAACGTTATCACATAATGACACAATGCGTCCTCCTCTTCGCCTTCTTTCCGTTGTCTCTCCCCTCTGAATCTGCGTTTTGACGAGTGTCCATTCTCGAACCACTACCACCACCGCCTCCTCCTCCTCCTCGTGCACTAAGCGACTGTCCTCGAATCTGTTGTGCACTTGCGGCTCGGTGCGAAAAACTGGCTGCATGGTTGGCAAGTGGGGGCGCGCTCGTGGGGAGTTGGTGGGCCGATGCGAATCGCTGGTGATTACTTGTCGGTGGGATTAACGGTGGCAGAGCGGCCATTCTTGGGTCTACGGTTGGTCTCGATGCAGCGGGAGAAAAGTTGGGGTAGGGAGCAGGGACAGGAGCAGGGACAGAAGCGTTTTGTTGAACGGGCCGGCGTTGTATGTGCGGTGCGGAGACGCGGCGGGAGCCTGTGTTTGCTGGGCCGGATGATGATACCGAAGGAGACGAGTAGAGGTCGTAATTGGCGTGTTCTGAGACCGGATTTCTTAATGGAGTTTGGTAAGAAGAAGACCTGTACGTAGATGTCGAAGGCGCCGGATGTGCAGAGTATGGCACTTGACCTAAAGGGCGTACCGATGAACCTCGTCGACTTTGCATTGGGTCCGAGGGGTGGGGAGCGGGATACGTAGACGGATGGACGAGAGTCGGTCTGCGGCCTCTTTCCTGATCTGGAGCAAAGGATGCGCCACTCGAGATAGACTGCTGGCGTTGTCGGTACGGATGCATAGGCACTTGTGAAATGCGTGCAGACGTATTCGGTAATGCAGAAACAGGAGGCATGGAAGACGATGGCTGCACACTTGACGCTCGTGGCACTGGAGGCGCGTCGGGATGGCTCAAGCTGACGCTTTCTGCCGCCGCCGCTGTAGCTGTGTATGCCGGTGGTGGTGGCACCCAATTATCCGCGTCGCTCTCGTGAGGTATCTCTCGGTGTCCATCTGCACGACGGTACTCCAGGGGCCTGTACGGCAAGGACCGTAGATGCCGCCGGTTGGCAGGAGATACAGCTGCCACTGTAGCAGCTCTAGCTAGCGACATCTGCGACCTCGGCTGCTGGTTATCGTATGGAATTTCGAACATGGCCTGTGCCTCCTCCGGTGTCAACTCCTCAGACTCGTCCGTTGTTATTACCGGCCGCGGCGCGTTTTGGTTCGCAGCAGAAGTATTTGCACGTTGTATAGGCGTGGATCCAATTCTCGAGTTTCTCCGCGATACCGACTCGTTACGGTCCTGAGCCCTACGCTGGGCAATGGTCCTGGTCCGTACCAATTCAACCTCGCGGTCAAAGTCAATCGACCCCTCTGGTAGCACCTCCCCAGGACACAGCGGATCGAGGTCATACTCTGTCTTCAATGGCGTTGACGGGACGCTTCCAAGTGGTTTTGTCTTGTCAAAATCGAGAACGATAAGTACTCCCTTTGATCCCAATGGCGCGCCAAGGACCTCGTTCTCGTCAGGCACTGTGCTCGAATTTCCAACAGCGACGAGTCGCTGGACATTGGCATTTAGCCTGACCCATCTCAGCACGCAAACCTCTTGCAACGTCCCCGCATCGCCATTTGGTATCGGAATACAAAAGCAAGGCTGAATCGGGGCTTCCTGTTTCGACTTTTCCTTGGGTTGGTACTCCCAGCCAGGAACTTGATAGATCCATATGTTGGTCGTGCCTTGGATACGTAAAGCGACAGCTGCGAGGTCAGCATTAGGCGATACCGCAGGCATGGCATCGTCGACGAATTCTGAACGCGTCCAACGTTGGTGGTCAGGAAGAAACATTCTCCTCTGTGTGAAGCGCTGGCAAGCAATATCGTAGATGCCCCAAGAATCCTCTTCGGCGTTGAAGGCAAATAGTTCGTTGAAGGTGCCAGTGTCGGCATCTGGAAGAAGTGTAGCCTGACGCGCTATCCTCGCTGTCTCTGGAAACAAGACCGAGCCCGTCCATGCAGCTTCGGGTGGTTGTGGTATTGGCTCCCCCTCCTCGGTGAGGGGCCCGTCGTACAAACCAGGCAGAACAAACAAGGCAGACCCATCCGACTTTCTCGCATATCCCGTGATGAGCAGAGTCCTCCCGTCGTCGGAAAATTCCAGTGCATCGCCTGCGGGCCCCGAGAGCGTGCGTCGCAAAGTTTCAGGTGCTTCAGGGCCAATAGCTATGACCTCGATACCAAACTTATTCCCCGTTATGAGTATGCGTGCATCTGGGGAGACGACAATGGAGCTGGCCTCGTGTACCAGCATGATGGTCCGCCTCTTCTTGATCTGGTCGGTTTCCTCGCCATGTATCTCGTAGAGGTCGACTTGGGAGGGTCGCGACAGAACGGCCAGGAGGAAGCCATCTTCGGTAATGTCAATGGCAATGGGCTTGCGTTTGACTTGCAGGGTCCGGGCCCACAGCCGTGGCAGCTCAAGGGTCTTGATCAGAAACAGATTCGAGGCGGAGTAGACGGCCACGAATCCGCCCTTGCGCGAGACGTTGACGTCAAAGCTGTCAGGCAGAGCAGAAGACGAGGCGGTGTTGGAGACGAGCTCGAGGAGCGAGAGGGTAGGGTGAGCACACGGTAGGGCTGTGGATGGCATCTCGGGGCTGGGTCGGTCATCGTAGGTGGTGGCCGAGGTCATGGCCGTCGAGTGGCCCGAGGACGAGAGGGCGTCGGCGTTGACAATCGAAGAGGCCGAGAGCAACGTGTGCAGGAGGTCATCTTCGCCCGAGTCTTCTGAGCTTATAGAGGCCGCAAGGGGACGGTGTTGATATGCAGCCCGACCTGGCTGGGAGGTGGCGTCATTGGCAGTGAAGGCGACGCCCTTTGCTCTGCCCTGAGCGCCCGGCAGCGCCGTCGTCTTGGTCCTGGCCGTCGTGGTCGTGGTCGAGGGAGCGGAGCTGTGGACGTGGTCGGGCATACCCACCATGGTAGGCCCCGTTGCAGCGTGCCTAGGCCGACAATGGGGGGGGAGGGGTGATGGGGGATTAGTCGAGGGGTATGGTGGCAGGGCTCGGGGTCAAGTAGGCTTGGAAGCCATGGCCGGCCTCGATGTCTGCGTCGGTCGTCGGTCGTCGGTGGTTGCAGGCGACGGGTCTAGCAATGGCAAAAGCAAGTTGCGAGCATGGCGATTATCAGCAGGGCCGGACGGGGGAGGTCGGCCGATGTCTATCAAGTTGTGTTTGTGTGCATGTGTATGGCTGGCTGCTGCAGCCATGTCGGTCGGAGGTCACGTTGCTGCATTCAGGCTGGCTGCCCGTGGCCGATCTGCCGCCAGCACGCTAATGCCAACACGTCTTGTGTGATGCCGGCGGCGTGTGCTATTTACAGCAACACAGGTGCCCCGTTGGTGGGCGTAAACTCGTATCTTTCCACATGGCGCAAAATCTGGGTCGCTTCTGACCGCCACCGCAGCTGCACAGTGTGGACATTGCATACATACTTACATACGGACATACGGCCAGATGACAAACGGCACCCATATGTACAGTACACACACACTCTCTCTCTCTCTCCGCGGTCCTGCAACGGCAACGGCAACGGCAACGGCGACACGCTGGCAGAGCTCCAGCCAGCTCACACGCGCCCCTGTGACGGTATGCTGCAACTGCAACCCCGGGCTGAGAGGTCGCCTTTCCTGTCCGTCTGGTAGTGGACCACTCTGCTCTCTTCGGGCCCCGCCTAAACCTGAGGCTACCCACCTACCCTACCCACCTGCCCACCAACCCCCCTACACTTGCAGCTGGAAACGCGGGACAGGCCTGGCCTTCCATGCTCTACAATAGGATCCCGCGGATTCCTCGCCGCCACAAGACCTGCCGCTAGTTCCGTAAGCTTTTCCGCCTGCAGCTGTGTGACTTTGTTGCTCATGCACACCAGCGTCCTGCCTATGCCCTTTGTTGTGCATCCTGTAAACTACGCCCCGCTATACGCTCCATACGCTCCATACGCTCCATTGTACGTGTGCATGCTACGCTATGCTACGCTACGCTGCGCTCCCCTCCTCTCCCCTCCCCCAGGGCTGCCCCATCGGTCATGTCCTCGTGTTTCATTGTCAGCCGCAGCTAACTAATCATCTGTAACCCCGCCTAGCCCCATCAGGCAACAATCTGGAAGACCCATTGAACTATATCAAACGCCAAACTCCAACCATCAACCCATGCACCACCACATGCATCATTCTATGCACCTCCCCAACTCGCACCTCCCCCTCCAATCCCCGTGCTGCCAAGATTGGAGCTGTATCGCCGGAACCCGATGCCCATACCGATAGGCACTGACGATCGTCTTCGGACTGCCCGTCTCCTGCTTTGTGAATGACTTCTCGCCGGCTCCAGCCCATGCCCCACCCATCTTGGTCCCGCATGCTCTCCTCCGCCATCCTCATCGTCTGATGCTATCCCAAAGCTTGATCGTGTCGTCGTGAGGCTCAGCAGGTTCGGTGGCTCACCTAGGTCTCCAAACTCCGACTCTGACTGCACTGCATCGTCGCGATCTTGTAGCCCCGACACCCTCCCATTCTCGACCCCACATTCCTCTTCCTCTTGCACAACAACCTCGACGGTATTTTCCTCGTCATCAATGTCGGAATCCTCACCGAACCCCTCTCCTTCCACCAACCATAATGTCGGGATGCACGCAGCAAATCCAATCACAGATAACGTCCAAAAGGGCACAATCACATAGCCGCGTTTGACGCCCCATGTGAACAACCCGCCCGCCAGCGTCGGCCCGGCCGCCCTACCAACAGCACTGAAGCTTGTAGCCAGCCCGTTGATTGTTCCCAATACGCGTAGACTCGGTGCACTATTTGTGAGCATAATGGTGCTCGTCGGGAATGCAAATGTGCCCGCAACTCCTCTAACCACCAACAGCAATACCATTGCAATCTGTCGCGAAATCGGGTCCTGAATAAGCGACAAAAATGGTGTCACAAAGAACACCAACGGAAACAAGATAAAGGCGATGCGGAGACAACGGAGCACGCCAAGATGGCGAGCAATGGGCGGGAAGAGCAGGAATTGGCATATTGTGCTCGAAATGGCAAAGAGGGTAAATATGAGACCAATCCGGCGCGACTCGAGACCAAATCCTCCTGCAAACTTGAGCGGAAGCGAGACTGCGGGATCAGAGTCGAGCTGGATAGGGTGATGCATAAATACGGGAAGCAGCTATAGATGGTTAGCAATGGTAGATTGACTTGTAAAATGAACTTACCTGATCGTATGCTTGACAGTACAGGGCTAGCAACGTATATACAACCAAGTTGATTGATGTTTGAAACGACAGAGCATCTCGAACTGAGGGCGTCTTCTCCTTAGTGTTTTGTTTCTTCACGCGAGACGAAGCAGCTGCTTCAGCATCCACTGCCTTTTGCCGGCCAAGAAGAGGTTCATTCTCGCCATCAAGACCCTTTCCACCCGTCTTCAAATGGAGCAGTTTCCAGACAAAATATTTTAGTCTGGCGCCGACCCTCAGTCCTAGATCCGGCTCGTGCTTCTTGCTCTCCAACGTTTCCCGGAGAAACAACCAGCCAACAATAATTCCTGTCGTGAAGAACATAGCGGCGGCAATATTTGGCAAAACGTAGGGAAATCTTTCCAGAAATGCGGTACCTCGTGGTTTCCGTGGATCCACGCCCAGCGGATTCGCAAGCGCACCACCGAGGGTAGGTCCAAATGTCGCGCCTACAGTCCATACAAGAGGCATCACACTGAAAGCCCTAGGTTGCAGCTCCTTCCACGGACACAGTTCTGCCACGGTCGTTCGCAGGATGCCGACATTTCCATTCGACAGACCACCCAGAGCGCGCGCCACCAACGCCATGGGCAGATTGACGGAAAAGCCCCATAGCAGCATCGTCCACATGGTATTAAATAGGCCAAACAGTATGATTGGTTTTCTGCCATAGCGATCCGATGCCGCGCCCCAGAACAAGCCCGTAAACGCCTGGCAGAGGGAAAATATCGACGACGAAACACCAGCCCAGCGCGCAATGTCGTTTTGGGGGATACCAAAGGATTCCATGAGTTCAGGGACGTACGGGAAGACCGAAGTCAAGGCTATAGGCTCGGCAAAGCGGCATATTGCTGCAATATCACACAAGGTCAGCGACAATCACACAGGAGTTTGGGGGAGTAGGCGCATGCAGCATTTCCAACCAAAGAAGAAACTTACATAGAATGACCAGCTGCTTAACTGGTAGCCGATGTTCAGTCATGACGGCGGTGACTGCGGTGTTTGCATGCTACTATGCTCCGCTAGCTATCTAGTAGCTAAATCTCAAGGCGCAAAGCGAGAGAGCGAAACAGAGAGAGAGAGCAAAAAAGAAGGAAGGCTGGGTAAGAAAAGAGAGAAAGAGAGAGAGAGAGAGATAACAGTCACATCGCCAAACATGCAATGCGCAGGTCGCATCTGCTTGAGTCGGCCGCCGCCGCCGTGGTCCCCATGACCCATAACCACGAGCGGCTTAGTCCGCCGTCATTGCGGGGTGCAAGCACAAGCGTCTTGACAGGGCGCCTATCTGACGGTGTGAGAGTAAGGATCGAGGCACCCACCCCCAACCCCGTTTGTATCGCTACTATGTTGCTTTGCCATTCCGAATTCCGATCGGACTGGATGATAGATTGTGTCGCACGCGCACACACACACACACACTCTCTCTCTCTGTCTCTCTTTCTCGCGTCTGTTTATGTCCCTGCTGGCGCGTGATGCGGTTGCTGGCGTTTGCATTTGAATGCGATTGCTGCTGCGCCGGTTCGCAAGTGGTTGGGGCTGGGCTGCGTACTATTGCCGGAGGCGAAATGCGCCGCGCATGCAGCGTGTTGAATGGAACCGAACCGCGCCAGGGTTCAGGTACCTGTTTTTGGTGTGTGGCGAAGAAGAGGAACTCCACTTGGTTGTCGCTATTTTTTTTTCTCCACTTTGCGTATTTGCTTATCCGGTGCTTGTAGCACGCAAGCACAAGGCGCTTTGCCGGATTGGAACAGTCGGCTGTCCTTTTTTGCATGTTGAGCGATGCAAGCGGTGAGAAGAATAGAGTTTCTTGTGAAGTGATGCTGGTGATTGTAATAAGGTGGAACGCCTATTTTGGCTGAGCATGTGATTGAATAGTTTGCAGGTAATATTACAGCGAGGGAGGATAACTTCCTAATTGGGAATTCTTCGCGCAAACTCTTGTCTTGGGAGTCTAACGATTTGCAACATGGGCCAATCAGCGCATGTTCATTTCACTGTTCTTAACTAGACACGCTTGAGAAAGTTGCCTGGTAATAGTATCTTTTGTGTCATCCCGCTTGACATCATAGTATTTCTCTCTCACTACAGGTGGTTCTTCATGCGGCTTAGCCTTCTTCTCTTAGGTTGTCCTTTACCTTAACCACCTTCTAAGTGATACTCTACCTAATTGAGCCTAGCACCGGTTACGGTTACTTCTTTCCTTCGCAATCTGGCAGTGCTTTCTACACCTTTTTCGGTCTTCTCTATACAAGCATCAAAAACTGCTACTTCCTCAGCAAAATCACACTGGTACCTATGCGTCCTTTCCAAAGCTCAATTAAGATGTATGCATCTAACTCATCACAGTCAGATTTCTAACCATGGATATCCCTACGACTGCAGCTTCAGAAGACCCGCATGAGCTGGCCTGCAAGACTGAGACTACACCATCATCACCATATTATGAGACTGGCAGTACCAGTGCAGACGAAGAGGAAGCTGACAAAAAGCCCGATCGCATAGTCTCCGACGATACAAAGCAAGACGTGACCCAGACACAAGCCACGAAGAAATTCTGCACCTTCGCTGTGAACAATGGTCTTACCGGCTCACCCGGACTCCCACCGGAGTTGCGCTTGATGGTCTACAAAGCCGCGTTTCCCGAAATGGACCCGTCTATCGTTTACAAAAGATTTGATGACTACGTAAAAAACAAGTTAGTATTCATTAGACGTGTGGAATGTCACCATGATCACCCAATCCTCCTCAAAGACCCAATTTCGGGGGCAATAAAGTGTGTCAGTCGCATATCCCTACCGCCCAAAAACAGTCAGATTCAAGCGGCACTGAAAAGTAACTTCGTGCGTGATCCTGCCACCCGTTTGGAATTTCTTACAGAGTACATGCGCTACGTCCAGTTTTGTTACAAACCAGGTCGTCTCTACCATCACAACAGCGAGAACACAGATCTAAAGCGATTCCTCAAGATGCTTACTAGGTCAGATCTCATCGGGTAATTCAGACATATTACACTTCTAATTCGTTGGGATGGGACATACGATAGGAAAATGTCTCTTCTGAAACGTGACATAGTATCCATTGGTTATGTTCTTACTATTCTATATCGCTACAAGGTAAAGTGCGAACTGACGTTCTTTCACTGTAATCCACGGATCCTCAAGCGGTTACTCGACTATCTAATGGGGGCATACAAAGTGGCTTCTTCCCACACTAGAAGGGACAACCACCACCAATATGACGAGTTTGACTGCACCGTATATACCTTTGGCGAGTTCAACTGGATGAATGAGGAGTTTTTTTACTTTAACAAAGTACTTCATAAACTATGCAAGCTTATGAGCAGAGAATTTCAGAAAATACAGGGGGCGAATATGGAATACAAGTACGATATACTAAAGTATCCTGTCGACTTTAGCGGGCGAGCGATCCGTCGCAAGTAAAGGTGGTCATTGTGGATGCTGAATGGCCTAAATGCTTCATAAAATCTGGGATGTTAATTTCTGGTAGCTCATCCGATCTGCACTTTCTGCTATTGGTGTAGGCTGGACATTCTGGAAGGATAGCTGCAGGCGTTCTGGGCAAACAGTTCAGGGTTATATTTCTTAAAATCAATATTTTATATGTATGGAGCACTCTGTCAGTCATGAAATCCTTAGAAGATTGAGGGCCAAGGAAGTACGTGTGAATGAGTTATGAACGCAAGTTGAATTAACTCTACGCCAAACTATCACTGGGACGAGCGCCACGAGTTACAACGTGTCGAAAAGTCAATTCCATGCACCAATCACAACAACTAGGGACCTGGTGATCGACAAAAGCTTCGTGCCTGGGGGGGCTATTGATTCGCTTAGTAGGAAACACGCTACAGCAAGTGACATTGAGTGACATCATCAACATAATCCAGCCAGCAGGTTAGCAACATGGCTTTCCAACAACAACACGTCAGCGTCCTGTACCGGATGATGCCGGAAACAAAACTTAGCAGCTTGGAGCGGCAGTACAAAGGTAATTGATCTGGACTACCGACTATGAGTTCGTCCTGGCAGCCACTTGACGACCACGACGACACGGACGAATCAATCATGACAGATCCACTGGAAGAGCTACAGAGCCCACGCAATGCGAAAGACGACTTCGTCAAGTATATGAAAGATGAGGTGTTCAGATTGAATTTTTATCGCGCACACATGCTATACTTTATTGTCGTCATCTTTCTCTCGTCGCTTTTCGTGTATGGTCAAGGTCGTGCCGATGGACCGAAAGAACTGGGTAGTGCCTATATGACATACACAGATGCATTGTTCCTGTGCTGTAGTGCCATGACTACAACAGGTAAGCTCCGTCATACCAATTGATTCTATCCATTAACTAACGGCAAGGCAGGTCTCAATCCGGTTGATCTCGGCCCACTATCTGGTTACCAACAAGCCACCTTTGCCATTCTCATGATGGTCGGAAGCATACCGTTTGTCTCCGCAGCCGTAGTCTTAATCAGACGAGCTTTGTTCCGCAAGAAACTAGCAGATGTCGTAAAGCACTCGCACACAATGCAACGAATAGTCCACGATATTGAACAGAATCACCAATCAGACACAGCTGGAAGTAGCAACAGTAGTAGAAGCAGTAGCAACAGAGGTCTGCGACAAAGATCAACAGTATCTCAAGGTCTTCAAGCCCAAGGCAAACAGTCCCACAATGAGACCCCATCCAGAGTGAACATCAAGCCCGCATCTCGCCAACGCAGCTACCACTACGAAACAGGCTTCGGCTTCATCCCCACACCCTGGGAAACGCAATTCGCACAGAACCTCTTCCACCGCTTCATCGACTTCTTTGCCGCAGAACTTAAACCCGAACACCACGACTACATCTCCTTCAAACCGCACCTGGATTCCAAAGGCCGTTTCCGCGACCTCAGTGAGGTCGACCGCATGGAACTCGGAGGCGTCGAGTACCGCGCCCTACAAGCCCTACTACTCATCCTAATCGGCTACCAACTCTTCTGGTACCTCCTCGGCATCACCTTCCTCCTTCCCTACGCATATCGAGAAGATACCAAAAACGTACTCTACGCCGCCCAACCCGAAGGCATCAACCCAGGCTGGTGGGGCTTCTTCGCCACAGTCACTGAGTTTGCAAATGGCGGCCTAAATATCTTGAATGCAAACTTTATCCCCTTCAGCGGATACCCCTACGTCCTGCTCGTCTCCGTCGTCATCGCCTTCGCCGGCCAAACGCAATTTCCCATTTTCCTCCGCATCACGATTTGGGGACTGAAAAGCATGGCGCCGAGGCAGTCGCGGTTCAGGAATACCATGGAGTTTTTGCTGCAGCATCCACGGCGCTGCTTCATCTACCTTTTCCCCGCGCGCGAGACGCTGTATTTGTTCGTTACCCAAGTTGTGATTGATGTTACCGCGTGGCTTTGCTTTGAGATTCTCAATATCGGTATGCCGGAGGTTGAGGCGCTACCGGTTGGTACGCGTATTCTGGATGGGATTTTTCAGGCAAGTGGACTTAGGACCAGTGGAGCGTACATTATATCACTGAGCTCTCTTGCTCCAGCATGTCTGGTTGCATATCTCGTCATTATGTGAGTTTGCTTAAAAAAAGAATTACAGATGGATGAGATATTTATAGATTATGCTAACATTTTTATTCCTTTGTTTGTTCAGGTACATTTCGATTTATCCAACGACACTGACACTGAGGAAGACGAACACTTATGAAGAACGATCCATTGGGCTCGAAGAGAGTGATAATAGTGCTACTGGCGTAGCGTCACACTTGCAGAAACAATTAGCCTACGACATCTGGTTCCAGTTCCTCGTCTTCTTCCTCATCTGTTGCATCGAAAGAAGTCACATTCTGAATGCCGATCCCGGATTCAATGTCTTTTCCATACTATTCGAAGTCACATCAGCATACGGCACCGTCGGCCTGAGTCTTGGTGTCCCCGGTAAAAATTACAGCCTCTGCGGCGACTTTGCCAGCCTGAGCAAAGTAGTGTTGCTATTTGCAATGCTCCGTGGTCGCCATCGAGGTCTGCCTTTTGCAATTGACCGAAGCATATTATTACCAGGCGAAGAGCTCATGCACCGCATGGACCAGGAGTACAGTGCCAAAGGCACCGAGGACCCGCAACAGGAAGCTGAGCTGAGAAAGGACATTGAGCGGAGCGGTGTGAAGGCGTTGGACAACAATGGAAAGGGGGGACAAGACCCTAAGGACAGGAGACGCTCGCAACCGCATAACCACACTGCTTGCGAGTCGTCGTCGGCGACGACGACGACGATGGTATAGGCAGAGTCAGATCCTTGATGATGATGACGACCACTTGAACATGCTCAGCCACCTTGGGTTTTTGGCGGCATTACTATCGGTCCAACGTCACACCGTGCGGTACCGACAATGAGCACATAGTGTATTGGATTCGGGCAACGCAGCTCCGTGACACAGAGTCCTGACGAGCCTCCTTATTCAGCAGCCCACACACGTCCCCCCTCCCCTCCCCCGCCCATGCCTGGCATGCATACCGTGGACCGGCAACTCTGATTACTACGTACGTGCAAAACACGTCACGGATTGTCGGTCCTCTTTCCCTAACGCTTTGGTCGACTACAATTTTTCTAAGTGAGTAAAATAAATCGGATATGACCGACGAGCGCCACAGCAACATGCGTGGTGTGGTAGGATGACATGATGGGGGTGAACCTGTACTTTGTTTATGCAAAAAATCATGGGCGCAGAGTCATCAGCCTTACAAGGCTTGCAATCCATCGCGCGCGTACGTAGTTAGCAACGAACAATTATGCGCCTTGCGCCCGTGCAAGAGAAAAGCAAAAACAATCAGAGTGTCACCGTCCCCACTTGAAGTCCTTCCAACCCCAGTTCGCATAAACGCCGCTTGAAGCGCTCAGACCCTGAATCTCCACATGGACGCGCCCGACACGTCGAGTGGTAGGCGGGCGACACCAAAGAGACCCCCGACAAAGATGCGCAAGGACTGCCGGAGTGCAGATCCGCATCCAGACTTGGTAGATGCGCCGGGGCGCAAGGGACATGGGGATTGACTCGTTGGAGTGGGAGGATCAAGGGGGATCAAGGAGGATCGGAGTTCCATGGAAACGGTGTCCTGGTTACAGGGAACAAATAACAGCCACATCGATGGGCCTGGGAAATTGGCTTTCCCGCAGAGTACTGCGTAATCCGCCGTATCAGCGAGTCAGATTTTGGGGGGGAAGACCAGCCTGTGGCGTTTGGGGATGTGCGTTGGACAATGACATCGGGGGTGAGCAGCGGACGGGAGATGTGCACGATGGTTCGGTAAGTCGAAAATGAGGTGGCTTTTTTTGGACAGGGGGGTGCCGGGGGGTTTTGGTCGAAAAGAACACCATGCCTCCTTCTAGAATGGAAGCACACCACCCACGCTAACGCCATGAGCCATGGAAAAGGAGGCAGCCTTCTAGTTGGTCAATACGAGAAAGACAGATAGACGCATGAAATGCGATCGTACACCCAATCTTGCGGACCCTTGATTCCTTCTCATTGCATGTGCAACATGCGAGAAATTCCAAATCCAAGACGGAAAGACCGAATGCAGTAGGGAAGCAACTAATTCACCGAGAAAACATCTCCTTCCATGTCTTGCCAATTTGTGTGGACCCTTCTCTTCCGTTTCTCTTCTTTTTTGCTCACCGGAAGTACCAGGAACAAGGGCAACCGAGGGACAAACACGTTGCCCTAGAAAAAGGCAAGAATACTACCTTGACGTAGCAATCTATCGCTGGCGCAACGACAAAAGTATTAGGGTAACCTGACGTTAGCGGGTTATAGTAATCATAATCGATTAGGGCACGGCACTGCTTCTGTTCATACCGAGCGATCGACATGCCTAATTACCCAAAAGAGTTCATAATTCCCCCCGTCCCGCAAGGGGACATGGTAAATACATAGCTGAACGGCACAAAATCGTACGATTTTTCGAGATTTTTTTAGTGATTGATTAGGCTCTAGCGAGTACATACCCGCCTTCCGATAGCGGTGAGTTCCGTCTCGCGTCTGCGGGAAATGCGGGGAATCGCGTAAGTAGTGCGTGCCGAGCGATATGGATGGAAAAAGGAAAGAAACGCCGTTTATGGTCTTCCTGATTGACCCTGAGGCTGAAGGGTACTGGTGAGCCTCGGCGCCTATTATTCTAGGAATTCGAATAGGAAGGTAGGGCACCATGTTTCCTCTGAGCTCGTATTCCAGCAGTAATTGTTTTGTGCGCAAGTAAAGGCGGGGCGAGGAGGAACTGGTGCGGTGTAAAGTGTTTCATAGCCATCTTGTATAGTTGGCTCGCGCGCGACGAAGGATTGTTTTGGTGTCGCTATTTTGATGGGTTTCTCCACTTTGTTCGTATGCAGTGGATGTATGTAGATGAGGGGAAGGATGCGATGCCGCTGTGCATCGTACTATGGCACCCGTTGCAAGTCAGGAACATAGCGTGTATCAAGCAGTATGTCAGGAAACACTCACATGGCACTGCGGGAAGACAGGCGAAGAAACCGGACCATCGTCAGCCCAGCAAATTAAGTCCTCACGAGTTCCCAAGCCACATTGGCGATAGCCGTTACGGGATTGCGGGGAGGGCAAAGGCGGATGCATGGATGCGAAGTAATCTTTGTTTGGCATTGTTTGGAACAAGTTGTGCGGGGCGTGGACCCCCATCTCATTGTATTTGAAACATTTTGAGCAAAACGGTGCGTTCGGCGCTACCTGATTCTTTTCGCCCGACACGCGCGCGCAAACAATTGCAGCAGTGCCAGCAGAGTACGAGAAGTGGAGGGTTTCAGTGTAGCGAGTAGGTGGGCGAGAAGAGTTGGGTTGTGCAGTGATGGTGTTTTGTGGTTGAGGAGTAAGGGGGGGAAGCAGAGGCAAAAGAGGTTTGTGAGGAGGAAGGTGGGGGAGCAAGTGCAACGGAGTGTCGAGATGAACCGGTCATATCGTTGTGGCTGCCGTTTGTTTGTGTGAAGTTTATTCTGTTGTTCTTGCCCTTTTTGGTGGCTGGTGTGCTTGCGCTGCGGAAGTCAGGAAATGAAAGCATCGGCGCCCAAGTGAACGCCCCGGTGCGCGGGGAGTAACCTGGGGGGAAAGAAAGGCGAGAGCCGGAAAAGAAACTAAACCCGTTGTTGATTCTTGCAGGACGGGAGGGGCATTAGTTGTTTTGATGTTTGATAGACATGTCCTGTACTTTTTCGGAGATTAATTGTTTGCAGTGTCATTGCTTTCAATCAAACCGATGGACGCAAAAGTAAAAAGATATCAAGATACGAAAATGCGGAGGAACGGCACGGGGGATAAGGCGCGTGTGCACGGCCGACTTACCGCGTTCCCGGCGATTGGGATTTTCTTTTGTTTGGCTTTGATTGTTTACTTGATAATGCTTGTTTGGGAAAGAGCTAAGAGATGTGATACATAGCCGCCGAGGATGCATCGCGACCTGTGATGAAGATGGAGAAGACAGAAGAAGCTGGGCGATGACCGATGCGTAGTAGAAACTTTGCGCGATAACCAGCATGTCTACTCCCATTGCAGTCTGGTGATTTTTGATTTTGTGCAACATGGAGTTATGCACGACACGTGCATTTTGTTGAACGCGAATGCGAACAAGTAATTTTGTAATGCAAGCAAGCGCCGATAATATCACAACCTACTATAAGTCTTACCCACTTGCGACTTGAAAAATGCACCCAAAGGATTCATGACAGGTTCACAAATCTGCAATGTCGAGTATGGCGGCTGGCAAAATGTCAAGCGCTAGTAGTAGTCCCGAACACCTGTTACAACATTCTCGCTTAAAACCCTCGAAATAACAAGGCATGGGGCTTAAGCGAGATTATCAGGGTGACTACAGTCCAATATCGCAAACAATGCTAGATGATAATATATCTCCCACACTCACAATCAAGACAATGGGGCTTTAGCGCCACAGGTTCACTGCAAGTGGAGAAGGCGTTCATATGGAAACATCTGTTCTAGACCTGGGGTTGCGCCACATGTCTGGACCCTACATAGCTATCTGACGCTACATCCACAATTGCAAAAAAGACGAGACAGTTGCAGCGCCAAAACACCCGCTCTATCCAACAGCCAATAAAGTACCCTTGCACTAAAGACGAGGAAAAGTGGAAAACAATGACAAATCCCAGAGACGTGAATGGAAGAAGCTCCGCCCCAGCCAGACCAAAGCGAAACGCGTGCAGTGTCATATCAGAAGATCGCATATACCATGCCATGCCTAAGTAGTTCAACTGAGTCGTAGAGGAGAGAGAGAAAAAAAGCGCATTGATTGAATGAAGAATTAATGAAAGTAAAGAATTGAAAGCCGTGCTAACCCATAATATGCATACTCCCAGTGTGCCTAAATGCCAAACATGTGTTTTTATCGTGTACAGAAACGTAAAGGCAGTAAACCAATCTAGTTCCTGTCGTCGTTGAGCAGACTAGCAATGGGCATGTTGTCCCTTGGGGCAGAGCTCCAAGACCTTGGGCGACCAGAAGAGGGAACTGGCATGGGGAGGACATATGGCATGCGCTCTGGAACAGAGATAGCGCTAGCGTTGTTTTGGCTCATGGGGCTGTAGTGCTTGGCTGGCTCGCTCTGGGCAGGGGAAGCATAGGACTGGAAAGGAACAGGCTTGAAGACGGGGTTGTGCATCATGGTACCGTCAGGCGAGGCATCAGGCGTAGGAGGGCGAACAGCGTTGGAGCCGCTGCGCCAGATCTCCTCGAGCTGGGCAGGGGAGACATCCGCACCGTAGTCAGCAGCGACAGTGGCCCAGAATTGCTGGCGGCGAGCCTCGTAGATGGAGCGAAGGCGATCGGTATCGACAACCTTTGGCTGATGGGCAACCTCGGTGTTAATGCGGAGACCATTGTATGGCTCGGGCGAACCACAGGGGGTAAGAGTGCGAGGCTTGGGGAGGAGAATCTTGTGCTGCGAGCGGCCGGGAGAGTTGGATACCGAGCCAGCACGGACATGAGGGCTGCCCGTGTAGCTCATAGGGGAGCTGTGACGAGACGACTGAGAGTAGGCATCCTGTTCGGCGACCATGCCATAGGCAGCAGAAGTTCCGGCGGAGCTGCATGAAGTGGTCGAGGAGACAGAGTTGTTGCGCTTGCGGCGGTGGCTACCGTGAGAGAGCTGGTGGTAGTGGAGGCGGCAGGCGAGTTCAGTCTTCTTGAGGTGTGCTGCAATGTGCTTGTAAGGCATCTTTTGCATGCGGGTCTGGAGGAGGTAGTTTTCCTGTCTGATGTTAGAAACGGGAGAGGCTTTTCAGGCATGAACAAGGAGCTCACCTCTTCTTCGGACCAGGACCTGTTTCCACCGGCCGACATCTTACGAGCACGAAGGTTGGAAGAATCGGTGGGGGACTGGGAGTTCATCTCTGGGAGAGGAGAGAGAATCTGGGGCTGGTGGTGAAGCATGTTGATAGTTGTTGAAGAGTTTGTAGTAGCTGAGGAGTTGGCAAGATGATTGTTTTTGCAAAAAGGTCGTGCCGGGTCGTCTTGTTTTGAATAAAGAAGTCTGTTCGCGGTTGATCGAGTCTAGCTCTGAAAAAGAAGGTATTATGCGGTAAGGACAAGTAGATTGCACAGCAATGTGGATTAAGTGAATGTAGGGCAGCCCAAACCAGTGGGGATGTAAAAGAGAGTATTACAAGGCTGCTAAGAAAACAAAAGACTGATTGCCGATTGAACAGATGCGGTTGAGGCCTCGAAACTTGGGGCAGCGGAGTAATTATAGAGTTTGGACACAGGACAGGAAACGGGATTGTCTTGGAGGTGGCAGAATAGGCTGATGAGGAGTGGCAGTCTCTGACATTGGCAACGTTTTCAAACCGTCGCTTCTGCTACTCGAATCTTGATCGGCGGTATGGGGCATGACGGGCGTTCGTAGCCAGAATGTTTGGAAGAACCTTGACACGAGACATGTTAAGCCGGAAGGGGAACGGACTTTTGGTCGCATTCAATGTTGATGCCTGGGGCCCTTGGGTAGGCGAGTGGGGCGCATAAGAGAGTGAGCCTCATCCGTGTTCACGGGGCGAGTTTCAAAACCGCGCGCGTCGGACTTGATGCAGTTTTGACGGAGGCAATGGTTTGACGTTGTTTGGCCCGCAGGGAAACAAGCAGCGCCCAGAGCGTCGTGACGGCGGGGGCTAACCCAGAAGACGCAGTGACAGGGTGTGTAGGGGACCGTGGCCCGGGCGGCTTCGCCAATGGCGTCGAGGGGAAACAAGGGCCATGGAAGATCGGCGAGGTTTGGTGGTAATGATAGGGCTCCTCTTGGCCTGCTCCATCAATTGCAGTAGTCGGACAGCAGGCTGCGAGTAAGTTTGGGGGATATGGGGGAGATTGGGGGGCGCAGACGCAACATGGACAGGCGGTGATGACGACGCTGTGTGAGACGAGCGAAACGAGAGCAAGTTCGGGTCGAGGGGATTCCGCTGTGAGCATCAACAGATCAGGCAGGCATTTCAGGCGGAAGCGCTTGGCAGCGGTGGCAGCGACAGCAACAATGGGTCGGCCTGCGACTGGCGACTGGCGGTCAGTGGCGGGGTCCAGCCTGAGCGGTTCTCTCAAACACCTGTGGCTTGTGGTGATACTGGCGCTGCGTCAGGGCGGCTGGAGCTGACGCTTGGCTGGCATGCGCGCCAGCAGAGGCGAGCGTGGAGAGAACGATTGATGGCCTGATGGCAGCGACAGCATGTTTGAGGCAGCCTTTAATTCCCCCGCATTGCCCACTAACTGTGTGATTGTCCATGTGCGAGAGCTGTCGCTGTTTGGTGAGAATTGTCCGATGGCAGTGCTGGTGCGGACTGAGACTGGGGTGGGTGAGTGAGTGGGCTGCTCACACAACGCAATATGGGGGTGTGTGCGTGTGAGTGTGCCCATGTATGTGTGCGTGTGTGTTTGTGTACGTACTAGTAGGTTAAGTACAAGCGTATACTTTACTTACTTACATGTATGCAGGCATCATGGACATACAAGTACGTACACACATCACATGTCCGGCGGGCCGGGGGGGGCATTGTATGTATGCATGGCGAGAGTGAAGGCGACAGCGACCACGACAGGGACAACAACAATAACAACAACAGCAATAACAAGGACAGTACGACAATACGACACCAACAGTCGATGACGCTGGTTCGGTGTGACGCTCGCTGGCTGGTTGGGGCCCATGGGCAAGGAAGCGGCCATGGTGTTGATTACCGATGAGGGTGCGGCCCATGCACGCTACCAACCCAAGCCTGCCCCGCTTCTGGCCAGCGACTTTTGTCTACCGCGCTTCCCTGTGCCCAACGTCGTAGTCGTAGTCGTCGTAGTCGTTAGTCGTTAGTCGTCAGTCGGGATCATCGCCAACCACCACTCGCTTGCATGCGACCACGGCCTGCGCGTCACCTCCCACCCGCCAGGCCATGACTCTGCTTCACACGACATGCACTCCCTCTGCTTTCTCTCTCCTGCCTTGCCTGCCCCGCTGTATACATCCACCCAGTACTCACACATACTTAGCATCGTGTCCATCCACTCACTCCCTCACCCACTCCCTCAACAGCCGCAAGACGCCATCCCGGCGGCATGCTGCTGCTGCTGCTGCACCCATTAGTACTATCAAGTCGACGATGCATGCACCTCACCTGTCACGCGCTGCCCTCGCTCTCCTGCTCTCGCTCTCTCCCCCGCCCTCGCAGCATCCATCCATCCTGCTGTCGCGGTAACATTCAATCGCCAGCCACCTGTTCATCTAAGCCTGGCCCCTAGAGCCGGCTACCCCGCTTCTTGTCTGCACCGCGTCCCCGCGTATCTGTACTTTGTCCTCCACCATGACTTCACCTACTCACATGTACCCCCTACCCACCTGCCCCCCCCAGCGCCGCCGCCAACCCCCGCTAGCATCCGCCCACTCAACCTCACTGCCTCTGTCTCGTCCTCCACCATGCTGCCACTGCCCCCCTCCCATTCGCCAGCCTCCTGCCAACCTGACCTCCTTTGTATTCCTTGTACTTGATCAGCGCTCGCTCCTGCAGCCGACCGCCCTACTTGGGATATCATGATGCTTTGCTGCCTTCACTCTGGCCGTCGTACTCTTTGAAGGCAGTTCTCCAAGCTGTAATATACCGGCATGACACTGCTCGACATAGCCTCTCCTCGCGCTCTCCAGTGAAGCTGTCTTGTGTCGCGCTCCCCCCCACGAGCCTGGCTAACCTCTTATCCTCGTCTCGTCTCGTCTCGTCCCGTCTGCCGCCATGTCGTGAGTCTTCCCAGCAGCCTTTGCCCTGACCCAGCCCCGGCTGCAAGACCTTTTTTTTTGCCATTGCATTCTTGCGTTGACGTTTGCTCTTTTTTTTTTGGCCGCGCATGCTGACGTCGTGGCTCCCGACAGCTCCCCGCCCTCCACCAAGCGCAGCTTGAAGCCATCGCCAATGACCTCCAACAACTTGCCTCCGACAGCTCGTCCTGCTGCACCTGCCGACCTGCCCACTCTACATCCGGCCGCCTCATTGACTGCCCCGGCCCAAGACGCCCATCTCGGCCCTCAGCAGCCACTTCCTTCTCCCACCAGCCGGAAGCGCAAGTCAGTCACACTCGGACACTCGCACGAGCCCATGGCCGGTGCGACAGAGAGCAGCAGCGTAGAAGCCCACGCAACCAGTGCAGCATTACCCCCGCCCCCTCAACCAGACGCTGTCCAGGAACCAAAGGCCAAAAAGAGTCGTACCAACACACCATGGACCCCAGCCGAAGAATTGCGACTCAAGCAAATGCGAGATGCGGGCAACAGCTGGAGTGAGATTGCAAAGGTGCGCCATGTCGCAGTCGCTGCTTCCCTTTTAGCTCTTCACCCCAAACACACACTGCGCCTGCCAGACGTACCAAGTAACTGATCGTGTGCCTCATAGACGTTTCCGCAGCGAACCGAAGGAAGTGTGAAGAAGCATTGGTACAAGGTAGGAAACATCGCCAGTCCCCGACCGTTGCGCTGCCCCTTTGCTGACTATCCAGGACATGCACTACGCAGAGTTCGCAGAGGATGAAGTGAGTTGTGCACCCGCTGACATTGTCGTGTGTGTATGCTGATGAGTAAGAAGAGCGCCGCGCTGCTTGCCGCCATCAAGGAGTACGATGCCAACAAGTGGAAAGTCATTGGGCAGAAGGTCGGCAAACCTGCAAAAGTACGTTGCGGCCTGTTTCGCGTCCCCGTCGACAAGCATCGACTCTTCTGCTAACACGGACACCAGGCATGCGAGCAATACGCAAAGGAGAACTTTGGTGGCAAGTACTGAGAGACCCATGCCCACCATCCGTCTGCATGTTCCCACTTGCTCGTACGATGCGCCAGGTTCATGACGATACTATCAGCTTTCTTCTCCTCTCAATCTAACTCGGTCTGCACACAGCCGAGGTAGCCATCCGTCTGTCCTGCGTGGTGTTTCCGCACTCTGTTTTCCTGGCCAGTGGCGTACTCGAGGATTCCTTCGTCTTTGATGATTTACACAATGCTTGGGTGTTTTCGGGACAACGTGGCCAAGTTTATTTTGGGGGGAGTTTTTCTTGGTTCCTCTGGCTCTCCTTTCGGAAGAGGGCTCGGCAAAGGGCTTGCGAGGGGTGTTGTCCCTATCCCGGACTTAGTATCGGCTATCCTTACATATGAATGGTCTACCCATGGCAATATGGCGTGTCAAACGTGGGGAAAGGGCTTCGCAAAAAGAGGTCATCACTGCACTGCTCATTGGTCCGTCCTGATTATGTTTTTGTTTCATGTCAACGTATCGCTGGTTTTGCAAACCTGCAGCAGTTCAACCAAATGTTTCGACACCTTGCCACACTTTGAATCCTTTGCCTGATTCCTGCGAGTTGCCGCATGTCGATCAGCGTGCTCTTATGCCGTTGTTGGTACACACGCAAATTTCTAGTATACCACCACACACGGCAGCCCGCTTATAGGTGTGCCACAAAGAGCCAGCTGCGCCTTCAACAAAAAAAAACTAGACCAATTGCTCGTGCAATCAGCAGTCGTGTTGACAATGTCTGTTGCAAGTAGCCACGTGTAACGGGTGGCCGTTACCAGACGAAGGCTCCGGCTACACTACCGAGCCAGTTCAGTGGGTGTGCAAGTGGTTGCACTCCCAAGGCGCTTGGAAATGGGAAGGCGTCCTAGTTTTCTTTTGCCTCTCTTTCGCTTGTTCTTGTATTTCCTTTTGGGAACTGCGGTAGGTGCAGGTGGGCAGAGGCCTGCCGGTGTGAGTGAGCGACTGGGGGGTTCAACTCAGTCGCCCACCATGTGCCGCAACTCGCAGTCGACGCCCTGCACGCGCTCCGCTCACGAGACAGGCTGGATGACATGAGGGTCGCGGATGAGGGAAGAGTGCTTGCTGAACGAGGGCGAGGGCGAGGGTGAAGTGGGTTACATGGTGCGTCCCGTCGAGCCTATAGTTCACAAAGGCCCGCAACAGCCTAAATGGATAATGCGCCGCTGGTCGAGTACTTGAAGATTGGCAGGCCATTGCCAGGCCTGAATGTCAACGGTGAGGTCATAGCGAGGGCTGCATAGGCAGGGAGCAGGGAGGTCCCAGGCGCGGCCAGGGGTGGGTGGGTTTGTAGAGTGCAGGCTGTGGCAGGCTGTAGCAGGCCCATCACGTGCATATGAGGGTGGAGGTGATAGGCGAATGCAAGTACAAGGGAGCGTGAGCAGCCTGAGGAGCGTCGACTTCCGGGCAAGGGCATAGCCGTCAGGCGCGCAACCCTTTGGGGGGCCCACGATGCGCCGTCAGCGCCATCCGCCCTTCATCTCATGCATGCGGTCGAGAGATGAGATGTGTGTATGCGAGGGGGCTCGGGGCGGGCAGATCGCGGCCGGCCTGAGTAGCGAGCGAGCGGCGCCAAGGCTGCGTTGTGCTGTCGCTGTCGCTGTCGTTCGCTCCCGATACTAGCGCGTCCAGGTCCGAATCAATCGCAGCCGACGTCGACTCACCTTCTCCCCCACAACGCCTTCGCTGCCGTCATGCTCCCAACCACCCAATCGCCCCAACCTCGCCGGCCACTGTCTCAGGTATACTAAGGACTATCACTCGGCACATGAACGCAGCCAAAAAACAAAGCAAAAAACTGTCACCGGTCACGCAGCGCCGGCCCGCTTTGCTACTGGCCGTTGGCAACTTCCGCACGCCTGCTGGCTCTCGGCAGCGTGCCCGAAATGCGTCATCTGGCGCGGGCGTCGGGGTATTCTTGTGGCTGGTACCAGTGCCAGTGCCAGTGTGTACCAGTCCCATCTCACGGGGGGGTGACGAAGCGCATATAGGACAGGGTCTCAATGTATACCTTGAAACGGCTTACGCATGAGCCAATCTGAGGCTGTCTATGCCAATGCGTTAGAGAACCATGACCAAAGGGCCCTGCCCATCGCTCGGTCCCACTGCTTACAGGCGGGTGCTACGGCAGCGTGAGTGCCGACAGAGACAAGCCCATCCTGCCTGGATCAAAGCTTCACGTCTTTGCAAAGCTCCGTCATGCTCAACGGGTTTCTGCGCTCGGCCAAGGTGCTTCCAGGCATGAAGGGGGGACCCTCAGTTGACGCACCGGCACCGGATGCCTGGACACGACCAACCATCACATCCACCACCATCCAGACTTACATGCCTTGACCATGCACATGCCATTACACACCGTTGCCCACCTCCTCCACCACCACCACCACCACCATGACCCTGGTAGGGCCGCTCGACGCATTCGCCCCCGAGCAGGTCCCGAGCGCTCCTCCCGCGGTCCTGGCTGCGTGTCTGCTGGGTAGAGTCTGTCTCATCCATCTGGCATACACCTGCTCGGTGGTGGCGCTCCCCTTTCGGCAACTGCCCACTGTGCCCCTGCCGTGTCGCTAGCCGGTTCAGAACATCCTCAATGCACATCTCCTGGCCACCACGCTGCGCCAGGATTCGTCGTGCAGACGCTGCAACGGTGCTGGAGATCTTTCTTGTGATATTCTAGAAATAAACGACATGGCATGGACCGCGCACGCCCCGGGCCCCGCTGGCCCCCGCTGGCCGGCCAAAGTACCTCATTCCCACCTCATTTTGCAACGGCAGCCACTCACCACACGAGCCAGGCAGCATTGCACTCGACGAGATCGTGTGCCAGGCCCCCCCCTTCCCCTCGCAGGCCTGGTCATTGATCACCGCATTATGCTTGACGTAGAATCAGTTCCTGGGCCCTTCCCTACTAAGCTCATTTGGTCCTTCTCAGGAACAGAGCGTCTCGTGGAGAGGACCCATTACTGTACATGCTTGGAGTCTGTGTCCGTGTGGCAATCGCACAAGACGGACCGGGTTTTTGGAGGGGACATACTGCCCGACCTTGTTAATGCCTTCTGCCCTCAGGCACAAATATCATATAATCCACAGCCGTCCCCAACAATAACCTGCTATTCGTCTGTTCCCCTACAAGGCTGCAAGCTATAGCCGGCTACCCCAAAGCTTAACACACGCGATAACACTTTGTCCGATGGCGCGTTCCCCCAAGCTCTTCTTGCTTCAACATTTGTCAATATAGAAATATTGGAGATAACCCAAACGCGTGCGACACATTTCATCGCAACCACTATCCTTGACTCAAACGAGGCACTCTTTTTTCTCTCTCTTCTCCCTTTTTTGTTATTTTCTGGCTCAGGTCTCATATCGGCGGCCTGCCAGAGCGAGTTTGCTCTGGTAGTCTCCATGCGTATTAGCAACACTGGCGAGTCCCTATCGAGGCCCTTTCCTCGACTACAGCGTATCAGGCAACGCTGGGGAAGAGCACCATATTCCGACTTCAAGCGTCGAACACTCCAATGTCCTGCATTCTCATACCGGATTGCCTCCGGGATACCATCACTCCTTCCTGCAGCCACACCCGTCTCAGACCCTTCAACATGCCGGCACCAGCTCCCACCCTACTTACACGGACATCGAGACACACTCACTACACCCAACTCATCTTTTGCGCCATCAATCCATGTCGCAACACTCTCCCTCATCCTACAATGTGGGCTATCCACCGCCCCAGCAAACCGCCGGACGCAAGCGCAGCCACCCAGACGACTTGCCGCACGATCTTACCCCAACCTTAGAGCAACAGCTCAACCCGTACGCACAAGCAACGGGAAGCGTCTCACTACAGCACGCGACTCAGAGTTACTCTATTCAACAGTATCCGCCGCCACCGTCCGCCCCTCACTCCACTCTTCCTCCAACTCACCATCACCATCTACCAAGCACTCATCGCAATAAACGACACCACGCAATGGAGGGCGCGCCTCCCTCACCATCTCATCATCATGGCCCTCCTAGCGTCGTAGGCCAAGAAGGAATGCCTGCACCCGCACAACGACCCCGCGGCCCCAAACTCAAGTTCACCCCCGAAGACGACCAGTTACTCGTCGATCTCAAAGAAAAGAAGAACCTCACCTGGAAGCAAATCGCAGACTTCTTTCCTGGCCGCAGCTCGGGTACTCTCCAGGTCCGCTACTGTACCAAGCTCAAAGCAAAGACCACGGTTTGGACGTCCGAGATGGTAAGTTCCTACTCCTAGTCATGAAACACACAACGTCGTGTGTGGCAAACACAAGCCCGAGCATGCTAACCCTAATCGGAAAAACAGGTTGACAAGCTTCGCAATGCTATGCAAGAGTACGAGAATGACCGATGGCGCATCGTCTCTTCAAAGGTCGGTAGCGGTTTCTCGCCCAACGCGTGTAGAGACAAGGCCGAAGAGCTCCAGGCTATGGAGCTTGCTCAGCAAGAGGCACAAGAGGAGGAACATTCACAACTTCAGCAACAGCAACAGCAACAACAACAGCAGCAGCAGCAACAACAGCAACCACAACCGCCACGCACATACACCCCGTCGCAATTGGGAACCGGCCCGAGTGAACCAGACGCAAGATACCATTGACTGGCCGACCATGGCTTTGGGGGCTTAACTAGTCAAGTCGAGGCCCTCCGTGCATGGTGAGAACCCCAATGGTTGGGAACACGAGGAGAAGGGGGCGTGGGGTGGTTACAGGGTTTGTGCTGGTCACAAAGTCCTCTGTGTGATTTACTTCAGCATCTGCGACACACTTTTTTCGGACACGCATGCATTCTTCTTTAATTGGCAAAATATTTTCTACGACGTAACCACGATTTCGGCCATGGCATGCCTTTCTTCTTCGATTCACACTCCCTAAAACTTTTCGAATATATCGGGGAGTACGTACATCTTTTCGACGCGCGATAGTACAAGCGAGTCGAGCATTGCGGCGGCGTTGGGAAGACAGGATAGGTTAGGAAATACTTTACGAGGAGGATGGGATTTGAGTTGATGGCGCAGCAACTAAAGATTTGACAAACGTCCGGCGCATACCACAATTCTGGCGAGGCAAACTTGGCAACAACAGACTAGGTGTTCGAGGGCGTGTCAACAACGGAGCAAGAGAAGGGAAGATACCCAGGCAATATTGCAATACGCGCGTTCTCATTGGTCTTTCCCCTAATCCTTTCCTTTGTACTACACAACCAGTATCCTTTTTTTGGTTTTTCTATATCATGCGTTAGCTTTCCTTCTATAACTATTTACCTTTACCTTTCTTTGCGACATTTCGCGCTTTTTACTTTACATTTGGATGAATTGGGGATGGTTTTCTTTTCTTCAACACCCGGTTGTGGTACACGGTGCCGCAGCATACTTTCTCATGTTTCTTTACGAAACTTCGATTCTGTAATACCCCGTTACTATATTCAGTCCTTCCAGACAGTTGCAGAGTTTACGGCCCGCACAGCACCACTTCCAACACCAATGTTCTCATCTTGTTAGAAGTTCTGGAACGTTCGAATGCACCCTCAGTCTAGAAATGCAGTTACACGGCTCAAGATTACTCAAAATGTCGAAACATGCGCACACACAAGTCTCACATATCGCAACTTGCTACATGACGATGAACCAAACTCATAGGGCGTCAGCATGTTCACGCCAACCGAGACGAACCCACGTCATGTTGTGTCTAGTAATCTGGGGTCCTGCCTGTCTCATAGTATGGTTTCAGATGTTGACGTGCACAACGGCACGACGAAGTTGATCTGAGACAGCGGTAGCCGCAGCCACAATATCGTGGCCTGACGAACATGATCACGTCAGGGCCAGAACGGCAAGGAACATAGGTTCTGTCCGTTGGCAACAGGGGAGAGCTTAGGCATGCGCATCACAAGTGGTGTTATTTGCAGCTACCCTGCTTCGTCGATGTATCACACACTGAGGAATCTTGCTGTTCCGAGAGAACGATTGCACGTGATGTGTTCACTTGGCAGCTTGGGTTCTCTTTGCAGCTTTGTCGAGGGTTCATTCCAAGGATACATTAGTTTTGCTTTGGTAACGAAGCACGCGTAAGGGGTTGCGGAATCCTCTCTACCACGACCATGTATGTACATACACTTGTCCCATTGGCTCGGAAACGTCGAGTCGTCTAGCTCAAGCGAACCTCCAATACGACTACATACTACTGCCAACCACAACTCATCCCATACACACGCCTCATGGCTATCCCTCCCTTACAAAATCAACCGCATGCCAGCCTCCCTCGTCATCGCAATCATCGCCACATACAAGTTATCCGCCCAAGCGCGATCGCGACTTTCAATACTAGCAACCCTGCGCAAACTATACCGCTTGCAGGCGGACCCTGAACCCTGCCCTTATAACGCCCAGACTAGCAATTCGGGGACCTGTCCCGCGCCCACTTCGCTACTCCTGCGCCAAACGGCTGCCGAGCAAGCGTGTGGCAAGCCCCAAAACCGGAGGAAAATGCGATAAACCACAAAAGGCCAAGAAAAAACAATAAGAGGTGTGGTAGGTTGCGCGAAGCCGAACGCGCAAGCGGGGAACAGGATGCGCGCACGAAGCGGCAAGAAGGCGCGATTACTGGGATGGTCGATTATTCGCACCGCGCAGTAGAGCTAACCGGGGTCTTCCCTTTCGTTTGCGGCGCCGGAGCAATATCAGCGGGAAGGGAATCTGTCTCCGACGTTGAAACTATTGAAGAGCTCGGATGAAGGCGCGATGGACCGGGGGACTAGGGTGCGCGTGTGTGTCATTGCTTTTTGGCGACTGCCAACGGGTTTACCCTGTTGGCAATCAACGACCTTGCTATGCTGGATGATCAACATAAGCAGGGGGCGGCGGTGCGGAGAGATAGTGTCAAAAGAAAGTACTTACACAAAGGGGAATATGGACCATATGCCGAGGGAAAAGAGATATGGTAACAAGGACGTTGCATGAGGAATGAAGAAGCAAAAAAGAGAGGAGATCAATCCCCGCGTCAACCAACCAAAAGCCGTTGTTATGAGTATATTCTCTTTCATTCTCCGCATCCAGCATGTCCATTTCTTGCTCTGCAGGGAAGACTGCATCCACTCAATCAACCATCTTGCGCCGTAAACAGAAAAGCGCAATCCCTCTATTCGGACCCCCCTTGTCCCCAAGGGATCGACTCGCCTCCACCCATTCTCCAATACCCGGCTTTGCCAAAATGACCCACTATCAACTACTTAGGAAAAAACCTTGTCTTAACAAACGACGATGCGGCGGAGCAGCTTACCCGTGACGGAAGGCGAACAAGACAAGAAAATGGGCAGAATGAGGCTGGGGCGGCACAAACAAGGTAACTGTCGACGACGATGACGCCTCCAACTTGTTGTCTCCAAAAAAAATTCACAAGAATAGAAACGTGATCAACGTAGCACAGATCCGCAACCACTCGAACCGAGTGTCCATCTTCTCCGAGTATGAGATGCCGTGGCGATAGGCGACAAGACTCGCAATGATGAGCGAGTGCGAGCAAGAAAAAAAAGACTCCGATGCAGATGCCGTAACCATTCCTCCGGGCCCAAACACTCTTTTCGTTATCCTTCCCCCTCCCGTGCTGATTTATACTCGCCAATACTTGCCTACCGATAATCATACCATGCGCTTTGATCCTCCCACCCCCTGTGCCGTTTGCACTAAGCAGCTCTCGCCACTCTTCCCTTTTCCTTGCCTCCGATAGGCAACCGGTACCTGTTTTCTGCCAACAAATGGGGTCTGGCAGCAATCGCTAACCAGCCACATTCCCCATAGCATATACAGACTAACCAACGGAACGGCAAAGGAAAAAAGGCAAACAACGCGAAAGTTATTGATCATCTGCCCAACCTAACGGCTTTTAGATGGGCTGGGCAATGCTTTTTTACCCCACTAAGTATAACGGTAACGGCTACACGCCGCCGCTCCCCCCCCCCAGACGGACGACTTTTTAGAGATGCGAGGGGAGGCATGCAGGTGTGGTGCCGTCACGCCTCTGGATTAGGCAAGCACGTAATACGCCCGATGCGCGGATGGCGGGAAGGAGGGGGGTGTGGGAGGGAGAGATGGGGGTGTGTGTGTGCGCACACACACTCTTTCTCACACCCCTTGTCTTCTGCGTGTGTGCCCTTGCTTCTTGACCCTCGCTTGCACTGGGCATCATCAGGGTGAGTGAGAGAGAGAGAAGGAATGGAGCTTGTGCCGATTGGGCTCCTGGGCGATTTACTGGCCAGGGGTGGTAAGTGGTGCATTTGGGCGGGTGGATGGGGAGAGAGATCTGGTCGACCGAGGGTCATGTATGGTCAGATTTCTTTCCTTTTCTTGACCTTTTTTTTCTTCTCGGTAGGGATGGAAAGGTGCGGGCTGTGGAAGGGGTCAAGGTGTGATTGAGACGTGTAAATGGTACGAGAATGATGCGCGTATGTCTGACAGTAAGTAACACCATAGTGTAGCTTTCACGTTTTTCTCTAACTCGGCAGTTGGAAGTATATTGATTTGCCCTGTCGCAAGTCATGTCCAAGCAAAAAAACATGTAGGTAGGTGTCGCGGCGCCAAAACGAGTAAGTGTAAAACTCACTTTTCACCGGACTGTGGGGAAAGAAAGAACAGATACAGGATGACGTGGGCCCCCCGAAGCAAGTCGGAGGGACCTGGGAATGGGGGACCACGGTAGCGAAGCCGGGTTGTACATGGCTTTCCCAGCATACGTGCTGCTGCTGCTGTGTGTGTCGCTTAGCTTTCCACGGTCAATCGCTCGGTGGGAAATCATGGCAGCCGTGTGCGCAGACAGGGTCTTCGTGCAGAAATGGGGCGTCTCAACAAGATTGAGAGGGTGGGTTGTATGTAGTTCAAACACACATACACACACACACACACACACACACACTCCCTCACACGTGCACATGGGGTGAGGCAAAGAGGAAAAGCGCGCGGAGGCGGGTGAGAAGTCAAGCTAGCTTACAACGCGCGCAGAAGCAAAGACGGTCCGGATGAACGATGCAAGGCACACTTCTTCTCAACGGGCTTGTTCCTGGCTCGGAGGCTAAAGTACACTACATGAGGTTTTTGTTTTCCCTTCCGGGAGGGAGGGGGGTGTGACAAAAAATCGAACAAGGATTACTACCGTTTTTTGGCCCAAAGTGTGATCCTGATGAGGCAAGAAACGTCATATGGTTTCGCTACACACATTACTTGACTAATGTTTCCCGATCTCAGCCCTTGTAGCTGGAGTCATGGAAGCGGGAAAAAGGGAAGGGGTGGGTGCTGAGTTTAGTTTGAAGAGCCACACATTATCGAACGATACTCGCATATCTCTCCCTCCACAAAATGGACAAGAGAGGGAAGCGGATAAGCAGATCACTTTGCTTACTAGCTCGGTGACTTCGCCGCGTCTTTTTTTCTTCTTCTTCTTTAAGCTAGCAAGTAACTACGATGGCGGCCAGCGCCATAAGATACTTGCATGTGATGATTGCTAAACCATCTTGCCCATCGCCGGGCAACTTGGTGCCTGCAAACAGCAAAGAACAAAAAAGATTGCGGCTACGAACTAATGTCCCGGTGAGCGTTTATGCCATGGGGGAGTGGAGGGGGTGGGCTCCACTACCGAGCGCTGGATCCGGCATTGCGACGCACTAATATCCTGAAACAGAGTCGACTAAACCATTATCATGAGCCTTGTGTGTACAGGTACACTAATGGAGCATTTGACCGGACACTCCACTTTTGCTGACTACATGTGTGCCAGAAAGAAGGTTTCAATCGTTGGCCGCATATGCCCGATGACAACGTGAAGGTTGTCCAAAGTTTCTTCGTGTAGTCCTTGTTTGTGACCAAAACTCGGTCGCGTGGTCGAGGGTTGAATAGAGGGCTCCACCGGCCCAGTGACTCAGCTTCTCTCGGCCATTTATTATTCTGGGGCCGGGGCTACTAGGCGCAAATGGGGGGTCTTTGCATTTAGAGACATTGCTTGACACTTGTTGCACAAAGTCAAAAATAGAGATATGAGAAGGAGTGACATTCGTGATTTAAAAATATATATAATTGAAGGGGGGAGGGTTCGGCCTATAGTACAGCCGATATGTAATCTTTCCGAGATTCTAGTTAAGAGAAGTAGATAGGCATACGAAGTGATAAAACGATATATCTAACATTGACTATGAGATAGCAAGGTTTCTTTTTTGCAGGAGTCGTGAATACACAGGGAATTTCAACCAAGTCCATGCCTGTAAAGTTTCATCAGTCAAATGCGACTTGACATAGTCATGGTTTGCGCTTTGACTATTCGGCCATATTAAGAGACGCTCTAGACAATGACATGAGACCTGTCATTTGTGAGGCTGTGTTTGACAGCAGGGACCTTCATTTGAACAGGCTACTGACCATCAGTGAAGCCCAACTCATGATCTAGAGACCCCAATCCTGGTAGTATAGCTCTCCAGCCTAAGCTCTTCCTCGCTGAGTAGTTTCGATGCACTTTCTAAAGGGTATTGTTGCTGCTTTGGTGTGAGAGTCCTGAGTGAGGCTACAAAAGTGGTCTGAGCAAAAGAACAACATAGACTTCATTCATTTCGCTTGGAGATTGCACAGCGATATCATGCCTATGGCCGGAGATGAAGTATGTGATCTCTATAGCTCTAGGTGACTGCACATGATTGAGATGATTCCGGGTTTGTATGAGATAGTGGAAGTTAACTCATAGGTGGTCAGGGGGTGGGGGAAGGCCCAAGGTGGCGGCAATTCGATCATGTTTGTTTATCGTAGGGACTTGCCATAATGAGAGCCCTGAGCACTCCAGTATCATCCTAGAAAAGTGTTCAAAAGTGGCCTGATACCACGAGATGTCATTGCTACTGGATTTGACAATGTAGCATCTGCTTCCGGATGAGTCCGCTTTCAGGACACAATATGTAACCTGGCTTGTGGTGAATCCCGTTTAGGCGTGAGGGGACCTGTCGGTAGCTCATCACATCCTACTACCACGTTCATCGCCGGGCAGATGATCCCGTAGGCAGTCCTGCCCGGGGCGACAGAAAATGCACCCACATGCTCACCCACAGTGGCAACCTATCAATGCCACCTTGCTGGCTAAGTGCACCCACTCGTGCTGCAGCCATGTCTTCCAGGCAATCAAGCTGCGGCGATCCATGCTCGACAACGCGCAAGCCCCGACAGATTATCCAACGGGAGAGACCACCCTCTCGGGCTAAAGACAGGTGATGTGGATGACCGAAGCATTGCCGCAAACCGGAAGTATGTATGCTGCAGTCCCCATCCGGTAGCGAGTGATCCATTTCGCCCGCCTTGTGACCAAGCCTAGCCAATGATGCCTTCATGCTGGTGATATCAGATGCCTGCTATAGTTGAATATTAATCGCGGTCAAGTAAGACAGCGTATATGGCTGGGTGGATCTGGCCGTGCGCAAGGTGTTGGCCACTGGACTTGGTGATTGCACGCTCAACGCCCGCTCCTGCGGGTGAACCATTAGTGAGGTAAAATTTTCTGCCAAAGATCTGGCGGTGGCGAGTCTAGACGTTGGGAGCTTGCTCTTGCGCTCTTCGTGTGCCGGCTGTTAGGGCGCCACCTGACTGCCACATACCCCTTTGTCTCTCAGCGCATGCCGGCTCCTTTGACCTTTCTATCCCTTTACTCAATCTACTGGCGTGTAGCCTAGAGTTACGCATCCAGGATGTGGGCATTCAGTATCACTCCGGAAGTTTGCAGTAGAATCTATCCCTCCTCAGGTCTTCAGGGGAAGGTTAGTTGTCCAACAAAGACCGATCTGTAATACACACAGAAAGACAGTATGATGCTTTTGCTTTGACGCGTGTCAACAAGGCAACGCCATTTTTCGATCCTCCTGCGCCTGATTTGATGCAGTGACAGCTGGTTGGTCGTGATTCCTGCAGAAACCTATAATCCCTTCTCTTATCATGTGAGCATTGTCGCAAATAGAACAAAGTAAGCAATAAGCAAAGAGTGTCACTACAGATACGAGTGATACGAGAGAATCATGGCGAAAAATTGTCGCCCAACGCTCAACTCTCGCTTTAAGTTATCATGAAGCCTGAGACCGGCAAAACAGGGGGCACGTTTCAGAAGTGGAGCTGCTGGCTGACGTGAATCCTGCAGGCTTGCCTGAGTCTTTCCTGAATGACTGCATTTACTATGGATTCTTTATGCGCTGCCGACCGGCTGTGAACGCATTTGTTTGATGACGTGAGGATTTGGAAGAAGGGAAGTAGGTATGTTGCAGAGCGGGTGTTGCGCCAAGGCTTACCATCTCGAATCATGTTCAAGCGAAACCCGTGCTTTGCATGACGCGGCCGTAGCATGTCTGTTTTCACATCTCAAATTCAAGAATGTCAAATACAACCTCAAAATCCAAATCGAAAATTTGATTTGAGACGATCTGTAATTTTCCGTCATAATTTGTGGTCGCTTCATGGCATGAATAGTATAGGTAGCGAATTTGATTTGCATGTCTGATCAACAGCACCGCATTATAGAAGACGAGTTTGAAGAAGACGTCAAGAATATCCATGGTATTAGGGCGTCAAACGCTAAGGAAAAGTTTTTCACATGAGACCCTCTTGTGGTCAAATCACTGCTATCCATGGTGAAATGATGCCCATTCAGGCTCGTATGGGCCACATCAACCAGGACAGATATCGACCGTCATAGTTACACATGCATTCGATCACAACTTCTCTTAGATACACATGCAGAGCTTTCAAAATATTACATATGGAGTCATTTGAAACAAACGTATACCTTCATAGGACACCTGCAACCAAAATTGCGCAACGGATCTACCGCTCTTCCGAGGAAAGTCTCCCTGAAATTGACAGCTATGTTACACTGACACTCAGTAATGTCAGCCAAGATGAACGAATCTGATAGTTCTGCCACATATGGTTTGCAAACTCTGCAAGCTCCGCTCTTAACTCAGCATCATTAATCGGCTTAGCACTACCCATAAACCTCGAGAACCTTAGGAACAATTTAATAAAGGCAACAAACGCGAACAGAGCGACCACGGAAAACTATATTGCATATTCCATTCATTATCACCGAGATCGATCTACCCGAAGCTTACTGGGAGCCCAGCAAGGTTATAAAAAGTGTCTGTATGCGTCTACGAAACAGTTGCTGGCTATATAAACTTACAGTTATGAGCTTGTGGGAATCTGAGAGCGCGGACATATATATGCATACGTTGCCCAAATCAAAGAAGTCATCACCTCAATATTTAGTCGATAATGACTCCTAGTATCCTCAAGCTATCTGAATACCTCCTTGCTTTGAAAATTGTGGATAAATGAAGAACTATTCAACCAGACTGTCTGCGAATATGGAGTATACTTGAACACCAGGGAAAAAACCTCCGTATGCTGCAGATAGAGCCATTGCAGCCAGTTGTTTGTGCTGAATCTCTGGACACAACCTCAAACGAAGCAATCGTTACTCGACCCGTCCACAATATACATCAGTACGTTACTAATAACATTGGCTCATAATAAAACAAGGGAGCTACATAACGAGCAAAGCACCTCCGATCCATCAGACATACTGAGCGACTTCATAAACCCACCTGCGACCCACTGCCAGCAGTACACGAAAAAATATCGCAAAGACAACTAGACTCCCTTAATTCGACTTACAAATTCTCAGGGTAGCAACTTCGAGACGTCGTACAATGGGCTTTGCACGCTAAGCCCACCATACCACCCGAACAAATACATATCTCGATTCATGCTTTGCCTCGACTACGATTTCCATAAACTACCATCTATAGCATCAGCTCGAACAAAAGCGTTGAACATGAGAAAAACGACGAATCTGCCTTGCTCGATCGCGCCCATATGTACTCATATCTCTAACACATCGTCTACCAAACACTATAACAAAACATGAACACACTTACAAACAAACTACCCTTTTCCTCATCACACCCCCAAGACCGGAATTTACTTACTCCAAACCACCCAGCTTCATCATTAAGCCAGTCTCTACATCAGTCATCTCAAGAAATCAAATCTCACACCGCACTCAATTACAGCTAAAACCCCCATCGTACCCGCCATCCATCAGATCAGCGGCGATGAACCGCAACACTGACACTACAACCTTACCTCTATACACCCATAAGTCCGATATGCAGCGTCCCGGAAGAAACAAGCTACACACACACACACAGCCAAATGCCACGAAAACCTCTAACAGCACTGAACTCGGTACATCGATCAACGCCTTACCAAGCGCCACCTACCTCCATTCTTATTATACCCTTTGCTAAAAAAAAGAAAGAAAGAAATATTCTTCTCTCAGCCATTCCACTACCAAGCTACCCAAAATAAACACCTAGGGTAAGGAAGTAGTTGATGTTCAACAAAAGAAAAGAAAAAACAACAACCAAGGAAAAATTGACTTCATGGATTCAATTGCAACAGATAACATCCCCGTATGGAAGTGTAGGGACAAACAGTCGATGACTGACACCAAGAATTTACACACGTAACGCATTATCGTGACGAAAAGAGAAAAAAAAAGTGTGTGTGTGTTCAAGGCTGAGAGAAAGGGAACGAAAAAAAAATACACGGTTGTATCACCTCCATCTCTCTCTCTCTCTCCCTCTATATGTATATATATCTCGAGGGGTCACGTCACCAACACTGCACAACCTCATACCAAATACTTCATATACTTGAGTCCTCATTAACACCCTCATTCATTCCCAAAACCACGTCACATCATTGTCATCACATCGAGCACCCTTAGCAGCCTCCCCGAAAACCTCACAACCTTACAACCTCACAACTTCACAACCACACAACCACACACTCACACACATGACAGATATCTCACAACCCCACTACGAAGGCACACAACCGCAACAACATCCCCTACGACCACCGCGCATCTTAGATTCAGACGACGTATCTTGGACATCTCTATAACTAAAGCACGAAAAAAATATGATAAGCCTTTGTTGAAAATTTGAAATCATTAAAAAAACACCCCCCACAGAGAAAGAGAAAGCGAGAGCGAGAAAAAAAAACAAGGAATAAAGGATAAGGGACATTAGAGACCCTGAAAGATAGGAAGAAAAGAAGAATAGCAACGCTGATACACACGCAAACACACACATGATGATATTTTTATTATTTTCCGCGCACGCCTCTCTTTGGAGGAGGGGAAAAAGAAACCCACTCACGATTGCGCGTCATGAAACTCTTCTTCCTCCAATGTCTGGCTGTCTGTTCTCCGCAAGAGATCATCCTTGTGTGCTTCTTTGGCAGGGTTGGAATGAAGCAGTTTGCTTGGCGGGAGTTCATCGGCGAACTTTGGTGGGTTTTCAGACGGGGCCGTCTCTGGCTGAGATGCTGGCTTTTCGAGAGCTAGATTTTCGAGAGGTGGCGGTTGTGCATTACTCGGGTCGGTGGGGTTACTGCTGTTTATTGGGGGCGTGGCATGAGCCGTTGTTCCGTCGAAGTTGCTGGGAGGACCTACGCTCTGTTGCTGATGCTGTGCTATTTCTGCGGGCTCTGATTGTACAGTAGTCGGCTGAGATTGTGCGGGTTGCACCTGCTCAGTAGGCACCTGCTGAATGGGCTGAATCGACTCGTTTGTTTGAGTCCGATGGATACTCGATGTCCGTGAAGGAATGTTGAATTGTTTCTCGGGCTTCTGACCGGGGAGTATGGCATGGATTTGCAGGATCTGTTTGACCACCTCTTCTGGGGTCTTTCCGTCACTGTGTCTTGTCAGATTGAATCGAGCACAACAGGATTGAATACGAACATCTTGGCGTTAATGATCCAATCCAAGTCTTCCTCGCCTTCTTCGCTCCCACCGTGACCGCCCCTTACGCGCCTAAAGAGTTGCGGGTGCCAGTCAACACCCTCGCTGTTTCGTTTTGCGGCTTCTTGACGTTGCCTGTCTTCGATCTTGGCCTTTGCATCCGTTGCAACGTCCTGGTCCCTCCGCTTCACGGCTTCTGTCACTTCATGCCACAGCCTCTGTGACTCTCGCTCGTCTTGTTCCTCCAGAGGGCGTGCGCTGGGTGGCGTATGCTTAGTATGTGCGGCGTCAAACAATAGCTCTTTCTTGCCAGTCTGCAAAAGTTAGCCAGTTCTTGTAATCCAAGACAACAGATCCCTACCGTCAGATCCTTGATGTACATTTCCTCGTTCCATTGGCCGGAAAGTTCGAACAAGTTCTTGCCGCTCGCATCCTTGATAAAGCCACCAATGGCATTGTATGTTCCGCTAAAATAGCCCTTGGTCTTGAATTCAAGGTCGGCGCTTAGTCCAGTCTCAGGACAGCGAATATAGGCGTGGTCGCCGAGTTCGTATTTCATGGTTCCGAAAAGAATGCCGCGCGCATACATGTTAGGTTGTGTGACAAAGCTAAAATCTCATGAGCTTTCCAGACGCAAAGGCTATGCCGGCTACTCACAATCGTTCACCAGTGTTCAAGAGCCGCAATATCGCAATGCCCTCCATCATACTCGCAGCAGAGTTTCCCAAAAACTTGCTCCTGGGCTTGAGAGTTCCGTCAATGCGGATGTGGTGTTCAGGCGCCATAAAGAAATAGCTCGACTTTGGTGGGTGGTGCGACGTTTGCTCGGCAATGTAGTATCCCTTGGTGCCATCTGGGTAGTCCCAATAGCCGGTGAATATCTCGCCGAGTATGGGGTTGAGCGGCTTCTTGACTCCACTACACTCACATCAGTTGCTGCGTACGGGCGGGTCATGATTGCGGGTATGCATACGGGGGCTTGATGTGCCATCCACTGAGATAGAACTTTGTCACAGCCACGAATCTTTGCACAGGGTCCTCAATCTTGGTAATGGGAAGCAGGGTTTCCGGATGTGCCATGAAACTATCCTGTCAGTCAGCATGCGTTGCCGACTTTGGAGTCTTCCGCCTAGTACACACTTTGTTATGCGCTCCAGCATCGACCGTGGTTCGAGGATAAACGTGGGCAGTGTCACTCTGCTCAGATCGGCACCGGGCCGCAGCTGTGATATAATATGGGTGAGCACTGGGTGTTGTCATGTTAGCCAGGGTCTAGTGTAACAGCCAGCCTCGCAGCGTTTTCGGAAGACGCACTATTGCCCTGCTCCGGGTCTATGATAGTCTCATCCTCTTTGGTGACATCTTCGCCACCATCATGTCGCCGTGTCTCGTCTATAGAGGAGCCGCGACTGCCTAGATGTTCAATCAATCGTCAGCGTCAGGTCGTTGGCAGAAATTTATTCGGAAGACTCGGTACAAGCGGTGGCCGGGGTATGACGCACTTGTGAGGGACGTCCGCCGATGTTTGGAAACACCAGGTATGTGTGGCATGTTGGCTGCTGGTTGTTGAAGGTGGGAGTAGGTATGAGGAAGTAGGCCAACAGGGTAAAAGGAAATGTAGGCTTTGGGCAGCCTGGCAACGCCCCGATCGAACTTGTCTTGGTGCTTAGGGCGCGTGCGGGCGTGGGGGAGCTCTACTAGTCCAGGGCTCTCAGCAATGACGAGAGGGGCGGCTTCACAAAAACTAGTAGCGACCCCGCGCTACGACACTGGTTTGACAGCACAGGACAAACATCAACAACGAGCAATCAAGGGCCTATCTACAAGCGATGAGGGGGCTCAAAAGATCTGCGCGACACTGCATAAACAATCTCTGGATACTCAGCTGACTTGCACCGTGGCGACAGCCAAGCTGGCTTCTTTGAGCCGACAGCGGGGCAGTTGTCTCGTCCGCCGTGTGTCCAAGGTCGTAGGCGGCATCGCTAGATACAGAGGCACATCTTGGGTGCGAGTAAGCCCTGATACGTATCCAGTGGAGGTGTGTATACATCACATGCGTGTTCTAGCGGTTCCATGGAACGCTCGGGTGCAAAACGGTGGAGACGTTGTGGATGCTTCATGGATGTCCATCCCTGTGTGCTTCCGGTGGAACCGACAGAAGGGAATATGGACAAAACGATGCGGCAGTTGCACCCTCTGCCACTCACACTGGTCCCCCAATCATGGTTGTATTTGCATTATTTCGCTGACATAGGTCGTATCCAAAATTGGTACATAGCTGCTCATATTTTCCTATAAAGGAAAGAGAAAGTGACAAGTGTACGTAAGTATGCCTGGGTATATTAGTGGAGATTGTGGTGAGGCTATCCTAGTCCAAAACGCTGTCGCCAGCCTGGTCGGCGTTCTTTGCACATTGTTCCTAAGTTTTCCTGGGCAGGTTCTTGACCTTGAGGATTTGCACATCGCTCCTGCTTATCACTTTGACACCGTGCTCCTCATACTCTTTGTGCACTTGCTCCATGGCTGAGGGGTCCACCGCTCTCGTTGCCTCACCAACCACCCATGTCTTGAAGCCTTCGTTCTGTGCATCTATGGCCGTGTATTTCACACAGTAGTCAGCTGCCAAGCCAACAACGTAAACGTCTGTGATGCCGGCCTTGTGCAATGTCTCTGCCAGGCTGCTCCTGGCGACACACGGACTCTTGAAGGGATCCGCAAATGCCGAATACATCTCGACACGCTTGTCCTGGCCTTTTTCCACAATACGGTCTACCTTGCTGACATGTAGCTCTGACAGCAGTTCCGAGCCCTTTGTTCCCTGGACACAGTGGTCTGGCCATAGCCGCGTCTCCTGCTTTTCTTCCGGGTTGTGCGGGTTTACGATTGTTACTGTAGATTCAAACGGTTTGTTCTTTGGCGCTGGGTGGTTCGAAGCGAAAGAAATGTGGTCTTGCGGATGGAAGTCTTTGGTCGCCACTTTCAAGGTGAAGGGGTAGTCGAGGCATTCGTTGATCACTGGTACTATGTCGCGGCCTCCTGCCACTGCCAGCGCTCCGTCCTGGTCTGTGAGCGACGGTCAACAAGCAGGCTGGGCGACTTACTGGCGGGCAAAAGTCTTCCTGCACGTCGACGATGATTAGCGCGGGTTTGAACGACATTGTTAGTATTGGGATAGAATCTAGTAGTGGGGTGAGGTCACAATGGTTCGTCGAGACGATGCAAAGCGTAGACGGAGGACAGCACAGCAAAAGGCGATGTCAAAACGTGGTTTTTTTTATTGTACAGGATCGAATCAGCATAGCGCATAATGCTGCAAACGATGATTAGTATGTGCAGCTAGAAGACGAACCGTTGACAATTGAATGATTTGCAAAGGAAGGAACTGCAATGGAGTGGGTGGCTCTGCTCAGTTGCTGTGGCTTGACGAATTGGGCCTTACCTAAGCAGTGCGCAAAGCCAAGCTTCTCTCGTGACGGAACGCAATCCCACGATCACGAACTCGCAAGCTCGATAGCCACGCCCACCCTCTCCACTCAACCCCAATCGCTCTCGCCATGTTTCTCCAACGCTCTGCCATGGCCGCGGCAAGGCGGGCGGCCCCCCGCGCGCTCGCCCAGCGCACTTTCACGACGTCGTTTGTCCGCCGTAGGTTTTGGGACTACCAGCTATCGTACGATGTAGCATTGACACCATTGCAGGCGACGACAGCAAGATTGCGCAAAAGGAGACTGGCCACTCGGCCAATTCGCCCAGCGTTCTCGAGGGCTTCAAGAAGCTTGATGGTATGTCGCGCCCGCACTTGGGTAACCGCAGTGTTGCGGATGCCGCGTGGGAAAAGTGTCGATAGCTGACGAGAGCATTGGGCGTTTAGAAATCAAGTCAGAAGCGGACCTCCTTCCCCCGGGTGCTAAGCCCGGTACTGTGCCTACAGACGCGGAACAATCTACCGGTCTGGAACGTCTCGAGATTCTCGGAAAGATGCAGGGTGTCGACATCTTCGACATGAGGCCATTGGATGCCAGCCGTGTCGGTACGTGATGAAACAAACAAAGCCAAATGCGGAGCAGCAGTAGTAGCAGCAGCAGCAGTAGCAGCAGGCAGACACAAGTACCTGGATGAGAGGGGGCATTGATGCTGACCGAGTACAGGTACCATGGAGAACCCCATCACGGTCAACTCTGCGGGTGATGAGCAATACGTTGGTTGCACCGGATGCCCCGCCGATTCGCATAACGTTCTGTGGATCACCCTCACCCGCGAGGAGCCCAAGTCACGTTGCATGGAGTGTGGCTCCGTGTACGAGATGCATTATGTGGGCCCGGCAGAGGATGCTCACGGTCACCACGACCACCACGACCACCATGAGAACCTATACCCCAAGCCCAAGACTATGGCCGACTTCCTCAAGCCCGAGTACCAGGAGCTATAAATGTAGCTGACTCATTTTTTCTCATGTGCAGGGTGTATCTATAGGACTGAGAAATCTGTAGCATAGGACGGGGTTTTTTTAGAGAGAGAGAGCCATGCAGAGACAGAGAGAGAAGTACTATTAAAGTTTCAACGAAAGCACTAGTGTGAAGTGATGTGTTGTTGCGTGTTTCTATAATTGTATAGTTGTGCATTGCAACAACGATCAGCGGGCCAGTCAGCAAGCCACGGACTGTAAGCCGTCGTATGGCAGGCCTGAGACAAGGGAGTGAGTGGTTGATGAGCGGTTCAGGATCCTTTGAGAGCCATGGTTCCTAGGACTAGACTCTCAATGTAGGCTTTTTCATCTTGAGAGTCATTTCCGTGATTATCCCCGTTGGCTTGTTTGGTGGTGGTGGTGGTGGTGTTGCTTTGAGAGGCACGGTCAGCACTAGCCAGCTTGTAGACCTTGCGGACCTTGTCTAGTTGACAGAAGAAGCCCAGCTCTTGACCGTTGTCGGTAATCTCGATGCTGGAGCCGTGCACAACGTTGCTAAGATGGGCGCTCACGGTTTGATTTGTGATGGACTCATCCTTGACATAGGTACCATCAGGAGCGGAAGCAGAGAGGGGCAGTTTGACGGCAATGATTGTAGTCGACGAGTCTGAGATGCCGAACTTCTTGTAGGATTCACCAATGTTGTTGTTGGGGGAGAGGCGAAAGACGAGCTCCGAGTGGGGAGTGCGCGTCTTTGGGCGCGAGGTCAAGAAGTTGTGGAGAGCAATGAAGGTGGCGGAGAGGAGGTGCTGGGGTGAGATGATCTATTTTAGTCAAGAGTCAGTGGTCTAAACGGCGCAGGTAGCAGGTAGGCAGCAAAAGATGATTAGACTCAATGGAAGCAAGATTATGTTGACATTGGGAACAAGATGGGATGGTTGTCATAGGCGCGGAGAGGTGTGGCCCGGTCTGCAGTAGGTAGTGGGTGGAGTGACGTTGAAGCAGCACCAGGTGGATGCTGGTCAACGACACCGTTTGGTGATCCAGGCGTTGGCTGTGGTTGTGCGACAGGGGTGTCAAAGCCCGAACCATTACCGGCCATCCAGATTAGTGCAGGCTGGAATGTCACCAAGCCACGTGAGAGGGAGAAAGGGGAATGGACGAGGCAAGAGCATCCGCGGAGAAGAGGTGCAGATGGCAGGCGCACACGACAAGTGGGCTGAGCCAATGCAGTGTCTTTGTGAGTGTGTATGTGTGTGTGACTCTTTTCTTTCCTTTTTCTTCTTTTTTTCTTCTTCTCTTCATCTTGCCTGGGCGCTCATTTTGTTTTCCCCTTTTTTTTCTTCCCTTTTTCTAGGACTGGAATGGGTGCGTATAGTTCTGGTGCAGAGACAAGATGGAAAAGGCAAGTCTGGGGCAAGGAGACAGGGCCGTACCATTGACGCGTCCAAAAAGGCATAGTCGAAATGCGGATTGGCATCTAGTAGCTGACGCCTGAGATGTGAGGCGTTTACGACATCCTTGAACAGGGCCACGTGGACAGGGTAGGCATGATAGTGTGGCAGCTGAAATGTGCGCACCGACGCCATGGTCGTAGGAGAGCTTGGGGGGATGGACGGTGGTTGATGTGCAGCAGGGCACTAGAACGGTGGGGGGGAGGGTTGGGTTACGAGGTGGGGAGACGAGTGGGTGGGTGGATGGATGGATGGATGGATGGATGACAGCAGCTGAAAGTTTCAAAAAAGGAACGGAGCGCAGGTTGTTTCGTACGTAGTAGTATGTAGTGGTAGTGGGGCAGTGTGTGAGAGTATGTGGTGCGTAGTGTGTGTGTGTGTGTGCACCCCACCGACGACAGGCGAGCGGGCGGGAAGGGGCAGTGGGAGTGGGAGTGCAAGGGTATCAAGGCATTAGGGCGTCAGGGCAGAGGCGCTGTGAATAGGGCTGTAAGTAAGTAAGTAAGTAAGTAGTTAGATAGTTATTAGTGCAGCAAGTAATGTCGCGGCTGAAGGCCCATGGCGGTTAGCAGAGCCATGTATGTATGTGCCTTGGGCAGTAGTACGTGCGAGAGTGCATGCATGCATCCATCCATAGGCAGGCTGGCTGGCTGGCCGGTTTGGGAAGGCTATACTTGGGGCGCTGCACAGCTGGGAGCGCAAGTGGTAGGGGCAGCAGCAGCTCCAAATTGGCCGAAGCTGTCAGGGCATCAGGGCACGGCGACCGAGCCGTCTATGTTTGCTGGTGCTGGCGGCCAATGGCGAGGGCGCGGTGCGTGGTCGAAGGCGGTTGCTGTGCGCACGCCCGCCCGTGTGCCCCCAAAGAGGCGCCGAGGCTACTGTACCAAGGGCATCGCGGCGGCCATTCACTTTCCCACCGCAGCGCACCCTCACCTCGCCCTCTGCGCTGCCCGCTTAAAGCATTGCACACACGCGCCCTCGCTCGCCCCTCACCTCTCCCTCAGACGCCCTGCGCAACCACGCCCTTTGGTCCTGCCAACCAAGACTGTGGGCGCGCGGCTATGCGAGCGTGCAGCCTGCCTGTCTGACAGGTGATCGCCCCAAGCCACACAAGGCTCGTTCTGGGGACTGCCCATCGGTCGTTCCCACCGGCTTTCTCCGCCGAGTTCACGTCCAACCATGGCGAGCAAGCGACCTGCCGACGACGACCCCAATCTCGTCAGCAAGATCCAGCGCGTCCACCTCCACGCCCCGCTGAGTCCCCAGCATCCCCAGCACCGCGCCCCCGCCACGCCCGCGACAAACACGACCAACACGCCCAACACCACCACTCAAGCCACTGCTGTCACGGCCGCCGCCGCCGCCAATGCCCCTCCCTCGTCGTCTTCCACTGTCGCAACCGACTTCTCCGGCTCCGTCAAGAAGAAGCTGGCCGACTCCAAGCGGACCGGCCAGGCCTGCGACCGCTGCAAGGTCCGCAAGATTCGCTGCGATGGCCGCCCCGAGGGATGCACGCCCTGCGAGCAGAACAGGACGCCCTGCCGCACCACCGACCGCATCACTGGACGCGCCACTGTCCGCGGCCATGCAGAGGCCATGGAGTCGGAGAACTCGTACCTGCGCGCCCAAATCGCAGACCTGCACGCCCAGCTAAAGGAGAACGGCGTCGAGCCCCGCATGCCACCTACCTACAGCGCTGCACTGCAACAGCCCTCGAACCCATGGCCCTCGTCCGCTGCCAGCGATACATCGCCCTGGTCTGATGGCCACCCCCGCCGAACGAGCTCCTCCCCGCTGCCTGGCTATGCGCCTGCCGCCACCGCCTCTTCCAAACTCGAACTGCTCCCCCAGTTCAAGTATGGCTCCCTTGGCGACAACTACCTTGGTGTCGCCTCGGTACAATCGCCGCTGAGCCACATCAAGGGCACTTCGCTCTCCATCTTTGGCACCAACATCGACATTACAGACTTTACCGCCGCCGAGACCGAATACGAGAAGGAAGCCACGTCCTACTCGACCCTCGTCAAGATCGCCATGGGCAACCACCCTGTCGAAACGCCCCAGCTGCCGCCCTACAACGAGCTCAACGAGTACGCCATCTGGTACATGCGCTCCATCAACCCATACACCATGCTGGTCCACAAGCCCGCCTTTATGCAATTGGTACCCCTCCCGCACCCTGCCTCCACCTTGCTCCCTGGATGCCTACTGACAAGCGTAGATTTGGAGGATGGGAAACGACCCCAGCTTTACCCCAACAGGACCCGAGACGGTAACCGTCCATATGATGCTCGCCACCATCATGTACCAAATAGCCGTTCGCAACAGCGATCAGGGTGGCAGCACCTTGCTCGACAGTGCTCATGCCCACTACAAGTATGCCCTAACCTTTTTCAAGCAACTCGTCCTTGGCGAACATGGTTGGCAAGACGTCCAAGCATTGGCAATGATCTGTCATCATCTACGTACCTTTCCCAAGCCCGGCGCCGCATGGATCATGACCTCGATCGTCTATCTGTTCGCCGTACAGCTTGGCCTACACCGCTCCGTCAATGTCTGGGAAGACGGCACGGGTGAACTGACCAAGCTGGACATTGAAATGAGGAAGCGCGTCTTCTGGACCCTCCATGCCATACAAATCAATCTCAATGGAAAACTAGGACGGCCAATGCCTATTAGCAACGAAGATATTGATGTCGAGTTTCCAGAACCCATGAACGACTGTCTGCCTGGTGAAGATGCGAATCTGGACACGTTCCACCAGTGCTCGTTCCAGGTTGGCATTCAGATTGCAAAGTACACGGTCTGGGATCTCGAGTTGTACAAGACCATCTATGCTGTCCGGTATTCGCAAAAGGCATACCTCGAGAGTTTGAAACGCCTCGCGGCTGGCATCAGGCAGTGGAAAGATGAAATGCCTTATGAGCTGCGCGATCCGTCACAGGCCGCCGATGATGATTACATCTTCTCGCTCTATCTGCAGTACTGGTATCACTCGTACATGCTGCTCTTGCATCATCCCGGCGTGTGCAGATCAACCGATCCAGCCATTCTCAATTCAAACCTCGACCAGTGTTTGCATGCAGCGCAAAAAATACTGCATCACTGCACCGGACTGATGAACAAAAAGAGTCTAGATATCCCCTGGGTCAACACAGTCATCTACATTGCTGCTGCATTTACCACGCTCTTCATTTCAACAACGCGCCAAGATCAGATGACCCCGTCGGACATGACCAAGCTCAAAGACGACATGGCATCCTGGGTGGATCTCCTTGGCGAATGCGATAAGTTCCTAGGCTCGGGAAATCGGTTGAAGCTAGCCATTTCGAGAATTGTGGATCAGTCGCTGAGCAAGATCAATGACAACATCGTCAAGCGAACGGCAACCGAGTCCCTTGCCCGCGTTGCCATGCAGGCTCCCGTCCGTTCAGAGTCTAATGCTTCTGTATACGACCAAAGCGCATACCAGGATCAGTACGCCACAACAACCAGTGGGTCTACTGATCCTACTCTGTCATCGCATGCTGCAACATACACGACTCTGCCCATCAACACTGCACACTCATACAACCTCAGCACTCAAGTCAGCGTCCCTTCGCAACCAAACCGAGGATATGATCAGCAAACCTACAATAGTGGGGACGAAGCGAGCATGAACCCAAATCACGCTGCGGCACTTGCCGCTGCCGCTGCGGCCGCATCGTCAACCAGCGCCATCTCGCAAGCGCCTGCAGATGCATATGCTTACTCACACGCCCACATGGCCAACACGGCGCACCAACAGCCTACCTATACGACCAATGGTTACGTCGCCCAAGAATGGACGCAATGGACAAGAGCGTACATGCAACACGCCCACGACCAAATCCAGCAGCAGCAACAGCCTGGCGAATACCTCAACACCGCAACCACACTCATGACGCTTGGTCGCGATGCATCTTCCTCCCATGGTACTAGTAGCGATGGCCAGGGTCTAGTTCAAACATCTGGTGTTCAAAACCATCATCACCATCATCATAATCACCACCACCACCAGCAACAACAACAACAACAACAACAACACCATTCCCATAATCAGCATACACCATCGCATCACCCTGCCCCAGTCCACTGGCCGCAGATTGCCTTTCCCAATGTGACGAGTGGGTCTCATTAAAATACCTGGAAAGCATTATCATTATATTATTATTTTTTTCGCTCTTACGCGTGCATTTTATTCCTCTCACTTCGTCGTCTTCATATTCGTCTTCTTCTTTTTTTGTACTGTCATCTAGTCAGGGATGTATTAAAAAAACTTTCTTTGCCATAGATAGTCTCACGGCCGTGTTTTTTTTTATTTTTTTTTGACATCTTGCCTTTTTTCACTTCTCTTGTCCTCTCTTCTTTTCTTCAAGGGCGAAAGGTTGGAACGGCGGGTCTAAATGATATCACTCTGGGGGAAATCTTTTCTTTTTTTTTATCGGTTTCTCGGTTTCTGGATGGGGGGTTTTTTTGTTCGAAGGGAACTTGTGGGGTGGGGTAGGGGTGTGTGGATCAATCTTTGGTGGAGGGGTGGGAATATGGAAGGGAAATGTGCGTAGATGGGCGTTCTTTTTTCTTGTTTTGGGTTTGAAAAGACTTTGTTCTTGTATTTATTTCGCATAGCCTCCTCCCCCTTTTTTTTGGGGGGGGTGGGGTTCTCTCTGGATATCAATGGAGGATGATTAGGGTGAGTACCGCTTGTTATCTACTCATCTCTTGTTACTTCCTTTGTGGAGTAAAATGTGTACTCCTCTTCTATTTCTCTCCTTCTCTCTCTCTCTCTCTTCACCAATCTTTCGTCCTCTTGTCCGGGTGTACTATCAACCCTTCTATTCCCATTTCGATTTTTCTAATCCCCGCCGTCTCCCTTGTCTGTGCGTATAGATGTCTCTTCCTTTTTTCCCTCTCTATACATCGCCCCTCCCCCCTTTTTTTTATTGTGATACGCTTGACCTTTCTTGCGGGGGTTCAAGGCGACGACGGGTTTTCCTTTGGTCAAGGAGATGGATTGAAGGTATTTATGCATGTGTATGCTCTACTCTTTGATTAGTTTTCTTCTTGTTCTTCTTTTTTTTGGCTTTTGCTTTGATATATAACGATCGTGTAGGTTGCGTTTGTGGCTGTGGTTGTGGTTGCGACTGTGGTGGCTGTGTACATATAGCATTCTTGTGTACTTTTATAGGTAATGGAGTGTGTGTGTTGTATACCTATCAGTGCGTATAAGTGAGGCTTGCATGTAGATAATGCGTGACTTGCTTTCTGGTGACTTTTGGTGGTGATAGTGGTGGTGGTGCTGCGAGTGTATGTGTATGTCAGAGTCTATTTGTCGTTTCAACACGTGCAGTCTCCGCTTTCTGCGGTTTTTTGGTATAAATTCGGGTGGGGTTAGAGAAAAACCTTGAGTGTTTTCTGGGCAGTGCAAGTGGGATGGGGAATGAAGATTTGGGATTTGGTAATTATTTTTATGAATTTGGTAAGATAACAGAAGAGAAGGGTTGCGAATGCAGGAGAGTGACAGCGCATCCAGAGGTTGAATCTACTCAAGGACCTGTTTCGTCCTGTTTCGCCCCATTTGCTACCAGCAATTCCACAACTGTCTTGTACCCCCAATATGAAGCTGCTCTAAGTGCACTGCCGTATTGACCACCTTGTGCGTTGACACCGGCGCCTCTCTCTAGCAGTAGCTCAACGATATCCCTGCAACCGTGATAACAAGCTGCCTGAAGCGCAGTTTCGAAATGACCACCCCTCGCGTTGACATCGGCGCCTCTATCTAGCAGTAGCTCTATAACAGCCTTGTGACCGGAAGTACAAGCTGCCTGCAGCACAGTTCCGTATAGAACGCCATCCGCGTTAACTTCAGCGCCTCTGTCTAGTAGTACCTCTGCGATATCCTTGTGACCGTGACTACAAGCTGCCTGAAGCGCAGTTCCGTATTGAAGACTCTTCGCGTTAATTTTAGCGCCTTTACTTATCAATAGCTCTGCTGTTCTTTGATGCCCACCAGCGCAAGCTATCTGCAGTGCATATTCGTGACCGTCACACTCCGCTTCAATCTTAGGACATTTCTCTAGTAACAACTCAATAATATACGTGTCGCCTCCTTGAATAGCGACATGTAGTATATCCGGTTGGGCTTGTCGTGGTCTAACTTTAGCACCTTGGTTCAGAAGAAGCGTTACGAGTTCTCTATTTCCAATCAAAGAAGCCAAATGGAGAGCATCAGTACCGTTTTTGGATCGCAAGTGGATATTAGCCCGTCTCCATATTAGCTTTTGAGCAAGTGATATATGCTTTCCTTGAATTGCGCACAAGAGGGGGGTACGTCCTAAGTCATTTTTGCTGTCAAGAAGATCTAAGCGATTATCCAGGAGGAACATCACAATACTCTCAAGCCCTTTTGATGAGGCCACGTGAATTGTGTTGTCACCGGAACCATTTCGTACGTCAACATCGGCTCCTCCGAGGACAAGAATTTTGACGAATGGCTCATTCCCGATTGCCACCTGCTCATGCAGTACCTTGTCTATTAAAGAAGGCTTCAAGTCTGAGAAGCCTTTTTGTTTGTCAATTAATAGCTTAAGTACAGATTCATGGCCGCGACGCGATGCTTCCAGCATCAAAGATTTCGTATCAGATGGTGATGAGACAGGGTTGTAAATCGGTGACTCAATCAACCGAGTCATGACGTGCTCCGGGCATATCTGTGCTGCATTGAACATGAAGCTTTTCTTACGCATGTAAACAAAATCCCGATAACGATTTTGAACAGGACCGGCCACTGTCGTATCGTTTTCAGATTGTTCACGGTTTGTATCTGTTTTGGGTGATGCTGACTCAATCGCCGTCGAGAGAACTCGGACTGCTGCGTCGTTCCCAAGGGCGACCGCAGCGAACAGAGGGCAGCCATAGCGCTCTTTCGTGACCTTCAGAACGTTTTCAGATGTAATTTGGGACTTGATCAGATTGGCGCAGTTGAGTTCGGCTAAAATGTACAGCAGACTAACGGTCTTTCTATGCCTGCGAATGCTGAATTTCTCCAAGTAATTGTCCAGCAGAACCCAGCTTTCAAGCTGGAGTTGATCTAGAAATATTGACTGGGAAATATGATGATCTTCTGCCAAATCTGCATGGTAGAATATGTTGTGGACAGCGTACTCAAGAAATGGGAATTTCTGCTCCGCTGAGGAACGTCGCTCTAGTATTGCCATTGAAGATGGGTTGTAGGGATTGTCGAGAATGTATGACGACTTCTCTAGGATGATGTTGATATATTTCCAGGAACACTGCTTAAGCCTCTCATGGCTTTGACCCAAGAAGTTGTGCTGATATTCGGGCCAAATCTTAGCCAGTCCATTTTCTTTGAGCAGGAAGTCCCTAACTGATTCGTGTATGAATTGAATCTTTTGGTTTTTGGAGGCAGTAATATCGGTAAGGCCTTTTGAGGAATCAAGTATGTACCTCTTGATTGAATCTTGATCGATTTCGTCGGGGTCCCATGCGGATACAGCATCATTATCAATGCCGGAAAGTATAGCATAGTATAGCTGCTCAGGACTGAGCGGCTGTTTTGCAAAAAGTACCCATTGAATACACAGAACCAATTGTTCCGTGTTATTCGAGTCTCGGGTGAGAATATCGCGAAATAGGTCGTGTAAGTCGCTAGGAATCTCGTGCAATTTCTGCTGGAGACGATCGATGCGACCTCGATCCCATTCTTTGTTCAAGATGCCAATAACCAAAACGACCCACATGAAGATACCTGCTGCCTTCTCTCGAACATCGTCCCTTATTTTCTGTGCTTTTTTGCTCTTTCCAATTTTCAATTCAGTCCCAATGTAGTTGATGATGTCTTGATTGTGGCCCTCTTGTCCTTCTAACACCAATTCCAGTCCATTGCGAATAGTGATGTGAGGATAGTGCCTACTAGAAAAGCAGGTAAAGAAACCGGTCTCTATTGACAGGTCCCCAATCTGCTCGAAAAACTGAATCATGTCTCGAATTTCTGTTTCATCACATTCGTCTAATGCATCGATAAAACATATGACTGGTGCTTTCCCGTGCATCAGGATAGCTGCTTCTAGAAGCTCCTTGAGTAACTCCACACTCCACTCGCGATTCGCATCGAGGTCTGTTGTTGATGGATAAAGCGAGTCGAAGACTTTCTGTAGCTCTGTAAATCTCTCAAGAAGCTGCAGTAACAATGATCGGTAGGTCCCAGTTGTAGACTTCTCCATTGTGCTTCCCCGCGCATTGAAGAAGAAAGATATTGGTGAGCTGCCTTGGACTGCCTTGTGCGCTCTTTCTAGAGCAAACTTCATGAGTGTGGATTTTCCTGCTCCAGCTTTTCCCTTGATCCATAAAAATCCATGGTGCTCGCTTCTTTTCGTAACGTCTAGCCACTCTAGATAAGGCGCGCTCTGTAAAAGCCATTTGCATGTTTTCGTATGAGCCCTTTTAATTGTGTTCTTCCGTTCGTCAATCTGGCCAAATCGCAGGGATTCTAGGAGCTGCTGTCTTTGCTCGTCGCTCAGTACCCGGCGTGTCGGGTTTCTATTTTGCGGATGATGGAATCGATCTTCGTTCAGTGGCTGGAGGGTCCGTTGCTGTACTGTTTCAATTAGTTAAAAATTTATCGGATGTTCGTGGTTGCAAGTCCACATACGTACGACAATTTCCCGCCTAGAGAAATCAGCTTGTGTGCACAAAATGTGAGGGACTACAGGCGTATAAGACTCACTCTTCGAGCTCAGGCACCTGGCCCCTACTGTGTCCGTGCGCGGAATGCGCGGATTCGCGCAATGCGCCGAACCACCAAAAACAGCTCCACCAAAATTG